TTTGTCACTTTCACGGCATCGTCAATCATCGTCCCCTCGACAAAATAAATCAACTCAAAGTTCAATTTTAATTGGATGCCTCCATCGTTAGCAAGGCTTTATAAAACTAGATGCGATGATTGGGGGAGGGGTGCATATTCATATATTCGTTTTGCCGGACGAATTTTCTCTGTATATACGTAGAGTTACTGGCACGTATTCATACGTTTTCAAAACAGAATACATAATTATCCAGCCCTCATTATGAACGCCCTATAGTTTCGGTCCTGATTGTAAGGTATTTTTTGTGGCAAGATATTGCAATAAGGATGATATTGGTCAGTTTACCTTTCTCAATTATGCAAGGATGAATGTTCGGCTGTATTCGTATATTTCAGTTCATGAGTTATTTCAAACAGCAGTGGAGACTGAATTAGTGAATATATGTAACGTCAGTGCAATGGTCTTTCCATGCAAGTAGTTTGGCAAAAAAGGTAGAACATACGTTGGCAATAATTCCATGCACCTGCTTCCTTTTTTGCATATAATGCATGAATCCACGCTGAGGCATATAGTAAGGGCTGCTTTCAACTTATGCGTTTTTTTACACGCGGAAAACTTTAAATGCTCCCAAATTTTTATTATAACGGATGCTTAATAAATACATATTCTTTCGATTTATTCGCTTAGCTTTTTCAAATATGGATGACATATATATAAGGATTTAGACTTTTGCGTGCGTGGAAAGCAGTCTAAACAAAAAAACGATTGACTACAATGTGCCGTTTTAAATCATCACTGTCACTGAAATGCACAGACGCAGGCCACGAATGCAAGGGCTGGGCGTTTTTCAATATACCAAAAAACTAAACGTGCATGATGCAGGACCTTGTAATCAACGTCAGACGTCCAAAGATATATAGATTATAGTTATTTCAAAAAAAACCTATACTAAAAATCCTGGCAAAGTAATTTCCAATTATTTATTGACCTCTTTTCGAATGAAGCATTTATGTGCGAAAACATTGACTATATAGCAATGATTGCCGGTTTGCTCTATTTGAACCAAATACATTTTGTCATTGTCTGCGATGTTGAGAAGTGCATGTGTCAGTGCCACACGTCTTTTCGCGGAGTCGCCCTCTTGTATTTAAAAAGTGTATCTAGCGTTCTTACTATATATATACTCATGCATGCACCAGAGCCATTGACAAAAATTCAACCGCCTGGTTTACTTTTTTCACAAACTGATTGACCGCCTAAATACCGTTCAAGTTTTTACTTCTACTTATAAATCTGGTTTATATAATTCGTGTTATACTAAATTTAATTGATTATTTTCACATTGCTCCACATTATTTTCTGTTATTAAAAACAGTTTTTACATTGTCTTGTCTCGTTTATTGACGTTTGGTATTAATGAATTATATACTTTATTATGAAATAAAAAATTATAGATTTCGTACCTTTGTCTCCGAAACATGACTACTTTTGTTGACCCTATATAAATGAAGGAGGCAACACTATAGTCTTTATAGTCCAAAGACTGGGCGCAAAATGCAAAAAAAAACTAGAGTTGGCGTTGTCCTGAGGCTTAGATAAAAAGTGTGACTATGACTACATGCTATTTGTTTTTTTATACCAACTCTGTTAATAATGGCCATATATGCCATTAGAAATTCACTTTAACAGGTCCGCATTGAATTTAAACATTAATGAAATTGAGCGAATTTCTTCTGCTGGTGGCCCTTAACCCCAATATTCAATAAAACTTGCATGTTAACAGTGAAAAGTTTCTCAACTATTCTCACGTGTTCCGTGTTTCCTGGTCGTGTATATATATATATATATATATATATATATATATATATATATATATATATATATATATATATATAAAAATATATATATATATATATATATAATATTATATAAGATATATAGATATATAATATATATTATATATATATAATATATATAATATATATATTAATATATATATATTATATTAATATATATATATATATATGTGATATGAATCATATGATACTTTTAAAGTGTGTGAACTTGTTGCAAAGCTATTTGGTCTTCATATATACGACTATACGTCGACAACTTGTTCAATGGCGGCAATCATACGGTGACAATTCGAATGCATAAACTGTTTAAGTCCCAATACCCCATGGCAATGGGGGCGTGTTAACAACGCGGGAATCCCGCGGCGGGATCCGGAAATCCCACTCCTGCATCGTACAGTACTCATTATAAAGCTGTCAAGGCCGTGTGCACGGCCGTCAAGGAAAATTGATAAGGAATTGCACAATAGGGAACAGCGCATCAATCGTCGAGCCAATCGAGCGGGTTTTTGAAGTTTTTCAATTTTTGTTTGTTTGGAGATTCAGACGTGTACTCATATTATCATGGCTCATTTTATCGTAAAATATACTCATATTATCGAAAAACTTGTCAAAAAAAATGTCAAATTTTTTCGCGTACACACGAGCAAATAAAACTTGACAAGGAAAACTTGTCAACGAAATCTTGTTCGCCATACACACCAACAAGTGAACTGGTCAAGAAAACTTGCCAAGGAAAACTTGCCCGTCTAGCTGTACGCCAAACTCGTACCCAGGGTCTTTACTAATAACACCAACCTCGTTTATAGGACGGCTACAAGACCTTGGGTCCTATGCAATAATCGCAGACTATTTGAAGAGTTTATTAACCTCTATTTCAGCTACCGTCATTGCGTTCATGCATGCTGACGCGCTAATTTTTGCTAAAGTTGAGTATTTTTTGCTAAATTAGAGCACAGGCACACCGGTCAATGCGGGCACCGCGTACTATCTTATGTGACCAGAGTTGCGAAACTGAGACGTAAAAATGTTGCTGACCTTTTGTGAAGCACTAAAATACGAATGAACCATACCTACGACCATACACAAATATCTGAAACGAACGATGGCTACATAAAAGCAGCGCACAATTTTGTAGTACATGCTTTGAATCCACACTTTTAACATGTTGCGTTAAGTTTGACTCCAGTCACATTCTAACGCAACTGCTCAAATATAAATAATATTACTACAACTCGCAACATACGAAAACCATATTGCATGATATCAGATAGGACAAAATGTTGCGATTGTTTGACCAAGGTTAAATTCTGTGTCGCCAAACACGTATCTAAACTGTAGGGCATCGACGAACCAGACAGTGGTTTGATAGATCATTACAACTAACCACATTTGTCAGTTTGTAATAGAGAAATACAAAATCCACTTTCGGCTGACATATTGGACTGATTGTGATATTCTTTTGAACTACGGACGGAGGCACAGTTTATATCTTTAAACTGAGACAGAGGTTTTAACTTTCTATTGTTCTGTTCGTGGACCATGAAAAGAGCTGGCGGCTTGCAGGGGGTCACGCAGAAACGAGTTGCGTGAAAACGAGTCAGGCTGCTTTACTTTCTCGTTTTCATGCAACTCGCAACAAGTCCTACAAGTAAAGTTGCTAAAATATAGTAAAAGATGTCGGTATTTTCTGAATGGAGTTTTAGTTAACATTACATCTTTTAAATTAATCTCACAAGAAATTTAACACAACTCTAACAAGTTAAGGCTGTTTATAACGTCAAATTGCATGCATCATTTTGCAAGTTTATTAGTTACTGGCTTACTGCTTGTGTATTTTCTCCATTAGGAGTTATGTTCTTCTACAGAGTGTATAATCGCTCTATAAGAGCAAACGTTGGGTATTTTTGAAAAATATGACAAATTTTGCCTAAATCACACTAACTCATGGCTGTAACTAGAACAATAATTTCTTTTTTGGGGGGGTGTTTATTCATATATTCAGTTCTGACAGACGGAATTTCTTTTGTAAGTGCATTAGCTTACAATAGAAATCCATCGGGCAGAACTGAATATATGAATATTCACCCCCCCAACTACCGTTCTAATATAAAAAAGTATTGTGTACACTCTGGTATTTAAACTATTTTTAGACTACACACACTTGGTTTCCTCCACTGATTACCTGACAAAATAAACCTATTAGGGTTTATCGCCTTATCCGTGATAAATCGCAATCATCCACTCACGATAAAGCAGAGAGAATTCTACAGGGTGTCCCAAAAAAAACGAAAACCATTGAAATCACTCATTGTTAAAATTTGAACGGCGTGTTAACGAATTTCAGCCCGTGGGGATTCAATGCAACTTATAAAATGCTAAATGCTCTGTGTTGCTAGAGAAAGGGGACATGTCGAAGGTCATGGTCCTTGAGATGCACATCTAAATAATGTTATCCATATTTGTAAATTGTAAATATTGTTAATAAATATCATTTTTGCGAACAAGCAAATTTTACTGCATCATATGCATGCGTAAAAATGAGTATATGGTAAACATTTATACACCTGTGGGTCCCAACAGAGTGCTTAGGCATTCAAACTCTAACAATCGCATTGTTATGGGTGATTTCAATAGTTTTCGTTTTTTTTGGGACACCCTGTAGTTAATTTACAGGTAGATCACAGGGTTGGTAGATTTTATGAATAAATAAGCCAAATATATTAACATAACATTTGTTTTCTTTGTTTAAAACAAAGGAATCAAAGGGCCGCCAATAACAATGTTTGGCTTATTTATTCAGTAACTTACCAACCCTGGTAGATCAGGCGTGAATTGAGCTGTTAACGGACGTTAACGTTTCATAACTCTTTTCATTACTCCAATAAAGAAAGATAAGATTCTTCATGACCAACAACAGACTGTCATAGCATATGTACATATTTACTCTATTTTACCGCACACTAAGGCCAGGTAACCAATAAACAACAACCTAGGATTAGGGAGTTGGCGGATTACTGGGCGTCCTTTTTCGTTCAGAATCTCCTTCTTTTTTACTAGTAACCATTTCAGGAACCGTCGCCCCTTTAGTCAACTTAATATCGCACACTCCAGTCTCAATATTATACGTCAGATCGAGGAGAAAGTCATCTTCGTCTTCAAAATTCTGAACCATTTCCTCAGTAACTTCATTCAATCGCCTGAAAGATACAACTTCCATTTTAGATGTAGAATATATCACATTTTTCTCTATAGATTGCACAACACACCGCAGGAACATCAACAACCCAATCACATCAAAGAAAAATCCCAAAGAAAGTCAACTTAAAACTAGGCAGTAGAGAAAAATGGATAATTATGCGATACATAAAGATTATATACTTTTTTGACCTAGATAATATTAATAAACGAATTCAAGCTTTCTCTTAAACCGTGCACTTTATCGCAAGTACTAATGCAGTACAAACGAAGTCGAATTTTACGTCACTTTCTTTGCACCATCTTCGTTTCAATGACTGGGTAATTGATTATTTGATTAAAACTATGTGAGAAGAAAAAATTACTCCAAAAGCGTAATTTTCCAAAGTTTATTCCAATGGAAATTTTTGTGCCCATAAGTCTTATGGACATAACACAATCAAGCTCTGCGAATCAGGGACTATATATACAAGTCATCTAACCCAAGATTTCCAAAGATATTGCTTATGCTAAAACAACAATCATGTATCTGGCCAATTCTTTGATAATTTACAAATGCATTCAAGATGAAAACTATCGCCTATTCTATTGCACGGAAACAACAAAATAATTTTGGGGGTGAACACTTTCACAACCCTATATCGCCAAGTAGCACCGCTAATAAGACAAGAATTGTATATTGCTCAAAATACCTCAATTGTTGTAATAGCGCAAGAACAGGTGGAAATTTGAGGATTAGATTAAAGAATTAGTAAGCACCCACTCCTGAACATCAAAAGCGACAATTCTGCATTACAGACACACATGCAGTATTTGGACGTACAACTACACGCATAACAAATAAATATCATATCGTGCATGTATAAGGTGACCAAAACCTTTACATTGAGATCCTGATCGCGTTGGTTGTACATAAACCTGATTGTTCTTGAGTTAGTTATCCTAAAAAACAGTTGGCATGCAAGGCAAATCATATCAATTTAGTACATGTACATAAAGAAAACTACATTTACTGCCGAAATACGAATTCTCAGGAAACGTTTCTCATCAAAACGAAACATGTGCCGACGCCCAATGAGTCATGTATCGTCAACCAAGAATGACATGCCAATTATATACGTGGCATGAAAGTTAGATATCAATTTAGTCGACCTTACAATTTTGTGCTAGGGATATACCCAACTAGCTATATCCTGACAGTGCACAAGCATGGATTTTCCACCTCATTTTTTTTTGTAAATCGACAGTGGCTAATGTCAGGATTCATTTTTGTTTCAAGGTGGACAGGAAACCATCAACTCTACCTTCTTTGATGGCCCCACTTGATACATCACCCCAACATTTGAGAGGGGAATAGCTAGCCATGTCACAAGTGCCACATGGTTCTATTTCAGAATAATACTAAAACCCGATATTACATTCTAAAATTGAAAACAAATCAGTCACAATGAGTCAATGACAAGAATATGCGGAGGGCCAGTTTTCTGATTTAGGTCCATTCCAGTCTCCAGTTTGTGAAGCAATCAACATTTGACTTTCCGAATGCGATTTTCCCGTAAGCGCGCGAAAATTTTACATATATATTAAAAAGCAACAGTAATTTTCCTAAGTTAAGCCAATTTCGGTAAAAGCTTTTAATGGAATGGTCAGCAAATTCCGAGACATAAAATTCTCAAAAGTAGAGGATAGTAAGGATATTGTTTCACTTGCTTAAATTAAAAAATTGCTTCAATATTTCAGTTATATTAAGAAGTTACATAAAGAAGTAACGGAGACGAGTGCCTTTAAAATATTTTAGAAACTACGAGTATAAAACGCTGATTTGCTTAATTAAAAAGACTACAGACTACTTAAATTTTCATTTAATTTAAGGCTGCCAAAGCGTGTATTTTCTTGTACAATATTGTGCAGAACAGTAGAAACTTTTAAGTTTGGACATAGATGAGTATTGCCATCTTAATATTAAATGTTACGTTAAAAGATATTAAAGGGGAGGGTTACAGCATCCGCACATCAGTTCTGCTCCTGAAATTAGATGGGCTACTTGATTTATAATTGCTTAAATTTCATGCTCCTAATTTTCTTCTTTGGATCAACTCTAGCTTATATTTGAAGCATAGTAAACCAAAATGGTGTTAAATATTAAGACAGTATATGATTTTTAAGAATACAGCAGTTCAAGTGTTTATATTACGGGCTGTAAGCAGCCATATTATTAAAACAAATATTAAAATGTTATAAAAAACAATATGATAGTTTAGTATGAAGAGTTGTATTCTAATCATATCTAAAACTGAACACACTGCAGTATACTGAGATATTTCTAGCAAAATCTTAAAAATTTTTGGTAATCAATATTATAATGATGTACTGTTGGCCACATCTTCCCCCACATTATGAATAATATATTACATACAGCAGGAGTATATGAATAACTAAAATGTTTATGTCCCCAATTACATGAGGTGATGCTAATGAATGATGAACACTATGATGAATTGAACCTTGACATAAATTAAACTTTTAATTTATATATGGAAATAATGGAAGCAAAAATAGTACATGGGACCCTTCTGTAATGAGACTGTTACAAATCAGATAGCAAAATTTCAGAAATCAAAATAACATTTTCAGCTAATCAAGAAATAATTTTGCCTGTAGACTAACATTCATCCAGAATTTTTTAATTTGGTTGAATAAAATATTTCTTGCAATGTTCTCTGTTTCTTGCACTGTTTCTTGTGTTATATAAAAGTGCTCAAATCTAGTATATTTTAGCACATGGCTGTGTATGTGAAACCAATTTGAAACAATTGCTAGTTACTTGGTTTGAGTTTATGCCTATTAACATCTACCCTAATGTCATATTCTACTCTGAATTAAAGGATAAAGTGTTAAAGGATGAATACTTTTAAAAAACAAAATCATGGACTTCTCTAGAGAAATCCTTAATCTGTTAATCTGGCAGTATTAAACATGGTTGCCATTTTTCATCATATCTGAAAGCAGCAAGATTTAAATCATCAATGATTTACCCCTTGTGATAGATTCTAATCTCTCTGTCACACAAGTGTGGTTGTTGTCTGGTTTGCCAAATGTGAAACCCATTTGTTGGTAAGAGTAAAATGCTACCTAGATACCGCATAGATTTGGCAGTGCTTGAAAAACCCAGTACCGAGTGCACACCCAACTTAAAATATTAGCCTATAATTTGGCACACCCTGCAAGTGTTTTCATCTTTCTGAAAATTTATAATTCCAGAAATTAGAGGGTTTTCAAAGTCAGGGTAAACAACTGCAAACACACAATTCAACACAGAAATATATGTTCATAAACTATGGTTCATTCACAAGGACCAGATTAATTCAGGACTGTGGTTGTATTCATCTGGTTCACTTGTGTGAACACATAGAATTATGTGAGAAGAATAAATCACTGTTTTCACCATGTAAACATATGAACCTGACGAATTTGAGCTTGTAACAAATTCAACTGTCCTATGTGAACATACCAGGATAAAAACATAATGAAGTCAAACCAGTTTGTACTTCCTGGTAAAAAAATAATGGCAATGATCCAAGATGTTTAAATCCTTTTATATGAAAAAAATTGTGCTATGTGTCGAACCAGAATAAATGAATTCACCAATATTTTTAGATTTGGGTAATTCGTCGGTTTATAGAAAATTTATAAGAAAATTTATAAGAAAAAGTTGTGACAGCTGCATGTGAATGAAGGAAATGCGACATATTTTCAAATATTGTAAATATAAAATGCTGGGCCAATATTTTGCTTCTTGTGTAAGAAGATCTTTGTCCATCAAATCTGTTTAAAAATCCTAAATATTAAATGCTCAAATTCTTTATGATTAAAATCGTATATAATGGAGTGTTATAACACACATTTTCATAGCGAACCGTCGAATCCAAAATTGGGATATACCCTTGAAAATATGTGACAGGCTCGTGATATACAAGCAGGTCTAGTTGTCAATGACACAGCACCTCACTCGAACTAGTTTCAACAGCGCAAAACTAGTTTGGGTGAGTATATCTAAACCCAGCGTTATTTTCGCAGTTTAAAAGCTCGAAATTATCACCAGAAATTTATAGCTTAGCTTAGTCTTAGCTCACCTCTCACGTTTGCGTTTCTGAATACAATCAGAATTCGAAGACATCAATGTGAAACTAGTCACACAACTTGGCGCAAAGCTATATTTATCACCAAGAGCTCGTTTCAGTTCTTCCACTGTCTTTTGATTAAGTCTGATAGCATTATATACTTTCTCTGTCCTTCGCTTTACATAAATTGTAAGTGCAGCTGGGCCATGTCTGCAACCACGCGCCTTTTTTGCACGCGGAACTAAATCCAGTTCGTCCAAAGCATTTACTGCTTTACGAAATGCATCGAGTAACGTTCCCCTTCTTGACCGACACTTCGGGTTTTCTATGGCTTCTTTCGATCGTCTCCGAGCACATTTTGGACACGAAACTCCGCGTTTACATGGAGGATATGTTGACATATTTTTGAAATTATTTAAAACCTTTTCAGACGGACAGACCGTGTTAAAAACCATATCCAGTTTTCGGCAGCTCCAAAACCCTCTCAAGGCAATATATGGTTGCAATAACTAGAATACGACAATAGCGTTCAAGACAATGCGATTGCCTTCAAATTTATTCAAGCTTTTCACTTCTTGTGTAAGCGAGTTCGACCGTGTTCATACAAGTGAACGGGTTTCACAGTGAAATTACAAAACTTGTCACTTTTTCTGAGTACTTTACTTCGTCGTGCTTCGTAGCAGGAATACTTGCTTTGACTATAAAAGATAACTCTTCCGCACAGTCAATACAAAATTGCAAATACGAAAAGACAGCTGGTAAAAAACAATTACTTTCGTTTTAAAAACAGCTTCAGCATTCAATAATAATACTTTAACTTTAGCTTTTTATTGACAACTGGTTTCAGTCAACCGCGTGGAAATTATAGGGGAAAATACAAGGCGGAAGTGCTCAGTTTTACTACCACCTAGGTACCCCGGGTTAGTGGGCTAAATTCTAATAATCATAATATCGTCGCTATCGACTGCTGTTTAAACCTGCATGTCTCTCTATATTAGTAGAGAAAAAAAATTAAAAATGAAAGTTCTGTAAAAATTGTTTCTATTTTAAAATTACCTTGCCTAATTTCAGAATAAATTTATCCCCACTACGATAGACACAGGAAATTGTCGCGAGTAAGATCACGTGAAATATTCGTGGACACAAGGAATGTGACAAAATCGCAGAAATACAAGACTGACCAGTAGGAAAACGAGTTTAGCTAAGACATGATGTCGCCAGATGTCGCAGTATATATTACATTATATATAATCTCGTATATAATAGTGCTCAATTTTAATATATAGATAACCAAAGCTTATATCGTAGTAATAATATATAACATAAATAACATATTACATTTTGCTAGGCAAAGAACAAGTCTGTACGGGTTTATTTTGCCAATGGTGACAAAACTGAGAATCCAAGAAGAGAACTTATATATCGCTACTCAACAACATTATCGCCATCTGCAATTTTATGCAATATCACTACTCGGGTGCAATATCATTACTTATATGATAATTTTATGGTAGTATTAAAATAAAAATATTTTACAAAAAAACCTCGGTACGGCCCTATGCCTATGCCTATGCCTATGCCTATGCCTATGCAATGGCGAGGCCAATGGCTATGCCTATTGCCTATGAAATATGGAGCTGCTACTGGCTACAGGTGGGCTACAGACTACTTACTGTGTCTAGCTGTTAGCACTAACCTAGGTTTGAAGTTTGCTCAACAACCGGCCGCTGAAAGGCTGAAAGCGATTCTACTTTTTCGCGATGAATTTTTTTGCAGACCAATCACATAAGCAGCGTATTTTAGCCGGAGATTTTCAGTTGTCGCCGCTTCACGTCGTTGCGAAATAAAATCGATTAGTAGAGCCGAATTTTCAGGAAGTACAATACAAGTTAATAAAGCTAAATAATTTCTAATTTCTTCGTGTTAATACAGACTGTTTTTACCTGACAAAGGATTCTGGAACTATTCTTTATATTTGTCGAGCACATTTATACTTCTGGGGCCGGTTGTTCGAAAGGCACGGTGGATAAGCCAAAGTTTAAAAATACTCTATACATACATCTTGGGTATGGCTGAAGTTGCATCTTTAAAAATTAAACTATTTACATCGAAATATTTTAGCTCAGTTGTTCAATAAATCGATAGTTTTGTTTCTATTTTTAACTCGACTCCTGCCCGTACTGAGTTCAACCACAGTGGTTTAACCCCGAAACTAAAAATAGACACCCTGAAATGCGACTTTTATGACACCCCCTCGTCTTGACTTGAGAGGCTAGAAATCGATTTTTCTCGACATCAACGTACTTAAATAGGTGACAAAGTAACTGACACAATTAACAATTATCTAACTGGTTAGATACACTAAACGGCAGTTTCGCCTATTCCCTCCATACATTACTTGCTATATGGCCTATGCTCTTATATACGATGTTAACGATCTAGCTACGTATGATGGAATTTGAGCCATCCAGTTTGCCTTGATTGATATTACGAATTCTTTCATAATATCTGGCCGAAAAATTTAGATAGATCTATATCTCTTCAATTCACGCCAAAAACTCTTATTGGTCGGATAATTTGACACAAGTAATTTGCCTATTAGCACGAAACTTACAATATACATTCCGCTAATAAAGACGCGGGCGGGTGGTGTTTAAAGAGTGGTGTACTGGTGTTACCAATCAACTCTTTTATCACTCGAGGCTGTTCGTTCTTTCATGCAACTACCGCACTGATTATACGATATGCTTCGTCGCCTGTTCTCAATTCAATATTGTCAGTGTTTACAATTATATTTAAATTAGGATATTTCATTCAACTAGGTGTCATTCAATATTAGTAATCCTACGGTGAACTGATCAATAGCGGAGTTAATTGTGGACAAGGATCAGTTGATGTAAACAAAAAGACGACCTTAGACCAGGTTTAGAGAGACATACCTAAGAAACATGGCAATTCGAAGCCGTTGGATTTTTCAAAGACCTCGAACTCGTACAATGCTCTTCTTCTCTTCTGTGCTAGCTCTTCTTAGCCTCGTAGTTATTTTGTACCCTATGTCTATGAAAACTACTGTCGACGAAAGAACTTTTGAAACACAGTCAGTGGTCTTCAAGGGACGGCGAAGGGAGTACTACATATTAAATCGAAATTTTTTCGATTTTCTTTCACGAACTAGTATGGAGTGCTTGATTCAAGTCGAACCGGCCGACGAGCTGAGCGAGGAAGCGATTGTTAGGACGAAATTGATCGATAATGGCTCATCACAAGACGACGAACAATCGGTTGAGATAGATACAGTTAAAGCAGACGTGACAAATATTCCTACGTCTACAAATACCGAAGACTCCTCAGACAAATACATCTTAGTCTATCGTCACTTTGAACAGCTAAGCAAGACGACAGAAAACCTAATTCAACTCGCAGCAGTTGCGAAACGTTGGGGAAGGAATGTGGTACTGCCTTACGTCAAAAATTCACGGTTTTTCTTAGGGCCAGAGTTTCATACCTATCCGTTGGATATTTACTTTAATGTTACTAGCATAAACATCTTACTCCACGCAAACGGTTATTCGCCACTTGTTCGACTAAAGACTTTTAACCAAAAGTGCAATTACGCGAAATTCGGTATAAAGACAACTTTGATACATTTTCTCTACGATGACATACATCGCGGTAACACAAAGTTATGGTTTGGTCTGAATGACCGGGAACTTCGTGAAATTGTTGAAAATAGTTTATCTAGCGGTTGGACCGAGTGCGATTTTATGAAAAGACACCTAGGTGTTTCAAAGTCAATCAACGGGATACAAATCGGCAGGCAATTGTGTGTGAACCCTGAAGTCGTGAGAACAGAACAGGCGTTTAAGGAAACGATTTTACAAGAGGACAAATGTACTATATTTATGGAATGGCGAGGTTTTGGTAAGCAAAGGATTCATTTTCATCCAGTCATGTTGCCGTTTTTCAATCCAGCCGAATTAAAACATCGTATATCACCGAGTGATCTAATTGACCAAGAGGTCACCACGTTTCTGCAATCTAAACTATCTTCAAAGTACATTTCTGTTCATTTGCGAACTGAGAGTTTATTCGTGGCAAATTTGTACAAAAAGTTGCAATCCTGTATAGATCATGTTGTGCATTTACTTAGTATTTTACGATCGCTACGTGGGGTCGACACGGTATTCTTAGCGACAGACTTGACTGATTTTGGCTCTGATCTCTTTGAACGAAAAAAGTTCTATATCACAAATGAAACTGGAGAGCATTTGATGCGACGGCAGGATATCGCAGCTATACATACACACCTTGCGCATCGTATGAACGCCGTAACGTACACACCAACACGCAAACCTTTCTCAAAAGACAAAGGATTAGTTTCATTAGTTGAAATGAATATTTTAAAACGAGGGATTGATATCATTACGTTAGGGTCAGGGACATTTCATTCCTGGATGGTAAGTGTCTTCAGACAACGCCAGAGCGAAATTGAACGTCGAGGCTACACAATTTCTGAGGTATGCCGCAACGCCATAGGTGCACCCTTGAGATAATCATATGCGGCAAGCCTTCACCGGGCAACTGTCATTTATAATTGTTATGCTGAATGAATCGAACGAGAAAGCGGAGAAACAAAAAGAGTTCAAGTGAAAACCTTCCTCAAAATGACGTTACGTACGTCACTGAGTCAAGTGGCAACCAGCATAAAGAAATATTTGGTTTTTCAGTACATGCATGTGATCAATTAAAGTGTTCAACTTTGAACCTTCCTCGGCAAACCTCATTCAAAGCAAACCTTACTCACGGGTGGTACCCGCAGCTTTTTTGCAACTCTGCGAGAAAGCGCACACAATTGAAGGACATGTCGTACCATTTTCATTTTTCAACAACACTAGACATTTATGCTTACCCCCAACTAGCCTAGACAACAATCTCGTAGCTCTTGTCGTCTATTAATTCCTTTTATCTTTAGACATTAACCTCGTTGGGTGGACATTTAAGCCTTAATTAAATTCGTCAGCTTGATGTAAACTAACCTGCGCTATGAATGGCAGAAACTATAGAGGAGGCCTTTCCCAATATGAAATTATTGTGTATTATCATTATCATACCCCCATTAATTTATTCATTACTTTACCATATGAAATTCGCCACCTTTATATCTAGAGACGTACTAATCGATGTATAAATTGTACAGTTGCATAATATATAATATATTTCACACAATCTTGAGCTTTGGGCTTGGATTATTCAAGACAAACGAGAAATATGAAGTGCTCGTACACAATGACTGCAGCAGGGGGCTTAACCCCCCCGTTAATTTTCCTGTTTTAAAAATGTTCTGCCTGTAACAGTTTGAAAAAACATTTTCAATTACAACTGGTGAATTTGGTGCATATCTACGCCCCTGCCGATTTAAGATGGCATATTTCTTCGAACGGGTTCTACCTTAGTTCTATAGGAAACCCCTTCCACGGCATCCTCAATTCAAATATTGCTTCGTGATTCATGATTCACCCGAAGAAATCTCTCTGTTGAAACTTTTTAAATTTTTTTAAGGTTGTGGGAGGTGACGGCAGAGCGGCGACAACTTATCTATAGGTATAATTAGTCGATTATGAAAAAAAAGCTGTTCAATATTAATTGTTGTGATAGTAATGCACCCATTTGGGGATATTGATGCTCGTAGCCTCGTACCCACCAGAAAACTGTATTACTGTAAAATGAAAAACATTTCACAGTATACACGGACTATTTCATAAAAGGAATTTGGTTTCTCCCTTTTCCAGACAGTACGAATATCGAATTTCCCAGTCAACGACTCAACAATGATATTGAGCATGAACTGAAACACTGATTTCAATTCGTTCTTTGTTCGAAAAAAGGAAACAGATGCCGGTTGCTATATCATCTATTATATCCGTTTTACACCCTCACGCCATCACGAAGATATTTCACGCATACATATATGGGTAATAAACAAACTCTGTTTTCGCCCCCAGTCCCGAACGCGGTCAATTCTCTTGTCATGTGAGCTATTCCTACGACTGTAAAATTGAACAAGTTCTGTCCCATTTGCCATATAGTGATGTTGATTTGATGAATACGATTGAATATTGTGTTATAAATAACCGAGTCAGATCAGTGACTTTCATTTAGTGAAATCGTGGTGAAATTCAGTGTTAAACGGCTCATCATATATCACTGAGCCTACATGCACTATTGCATGACCGACAAATTGCTTGTTTCCAAACACGCGCCAAAAAAAATGTGAATAACGAGTAGTGACCGCGGTTTTCAAATTGAAAATAATTGCGAAGTGAGTTATGTTTTGACGATGTCTCAGAAGGAGTCCATTTCCCTGTCAGCATGTGATATTAAATTAACTCTTAGCGACGTCGGCTGTTCGGAAACAATGATTACAAAAATGAAATCAATTAATCTCGTGTATCATCTTTTCCTTCAAAAAGGTGAAATAAATAATTGGTCCGTCCAGATCTGGCGACCAATTTCAAACGAATCAAACTTTTAAATATATTTACTCGTATTTAACAGCCTCTTTACTTTTACACTTGGTCTTGGAATTTGCTATACAGATTTCTTTGCAGTTAAAAGCTACTCTGTTTTCTTACCCAAAAGGGCATTAAGAAACAAACGCAAGTATAAGAACATGCTAGAAGCAACAATGAGAAAATACGCAGGGAGGAAGATGAATGTCAAATTTAAAACGACATTCAGAAATAATGATGAATTATCAAAATCCAATTTGAATCAATTTTCTCTCTAGTTTAGTCTTTAAACAAGTTTTAAATACTTTCTCGCCACGATCACATTAAAGGGAAACGTTTTGAGGCATGCAGTCACGACGGGGAAACTCTCCGGGGAAATTCACGCATGCGCACTGCAACTTTGTCCTTTTATGTGCTCTTGTGTTTGCGCTAGGCGAAACATGATGTAATGCCTTTAAGAACAGGCCAGCTAGCTAGGGAAAATCCTTTTGCCTTCTGTATTGCCACTTGCCATGCTCTAGTTTTGGGTGGATACTGCCGAGTGTTGCTGCTCTATTAGATTATCTGACCGCGAGTAAAAAGGCCTGGACAGGAGAATAGAAATTCATGTTGCTGTAATTAATATTATTTTCGGTTACACTAGTTAAAACGTTGTAGTAACATACTCAGCATCTGGAGATTAAAGTCAATTACAGATTTAGAGGAAAAGTAAACGTTGTTTCAATTGAAATGAATTTCTATTTGACAACTAGCCCAAGGCCTTTTCCTTCTTTTTAAATTTTCTGAATATAGCTAAGATGTGATAAATCAAGTGACATGGTTTTCGACCCCAGCCATAAAACTCTATAGTTAAAAATGTATATTAAAAGTACGTCATTGGGACTTCAGGTACACTATTGTTGTAGGTTCTTGCGTGTTAAATGGCCACGGAAGCTAGCTTGGATCTTTACCGCTGCTTTGCCCAGTTCCGGATCATTTAAATCAATTTCATCGCTGGCTTGGTGGTTCTGTCCTAGAAATGAGACAGTTCCGATTACTCCTCTGATATCAGTGTGCCTAAAAGTGGGATTCTGAAACGTTTTAAGTTGGGAAATTTGTTTATAGCACCTTATTTTCAAATAGCTTGGTCAAATATCGCATTCAAAGACAAAAATATTGGTCTGATCCACGACCCTCGAAATTGGCCTCATACTGTGGGGACTATTTTGCCCAAGGGGTAAAAACGTTGTGAACATGAAACATCTCGGGGTTTTGTTAAACCTAAAGTTAGATTATGTGATGAATAAAGAAAAAGCCGGAAAAGCAACATTCCGATTAAATACATTTCACCAGTAAATCTAGGCTATAAAATGTTTTTTCTGTGGCGAAAAGTTTGACATGCCTTCAGGGGATTTGAGTTGTTTCCTTGCCATGTGCCCTCGGAATCCTGCTTGGATTGCAGTTGCTGCTTTTTGTACTTCTGGATCATTCATGTCAATATCAACGTCCTCGGGCTATGAAAGAAACAACATGAGATTACAGCAAATAGTGTCAAGTTAGCACGCACGCGCCTACTCTATTTGGTCTTAGGAGAGAGCCGAAAATGAGGTTGATTCTCAACACGAATTACAACCGACAACCCACTGTAAAAATGATAATCAGGTCGGTTATACTATGACTATGGTTTTTTTTACCTGTACGAGAGAAAAAAAAAACATGTACGACTAGAAATGAATTGCACGACAGAAAGAAACTCCCAACTGCACGCACATTGCCAAAGTACATATGGCATCTTAAGACTTCGAATCTTCCCCAGTTTTATACTACCATTAACTTCCTCGACAAATACACAATAAATGCGGACTAAAATCTGTCATTTATCTCTGGGATTTTTTTATCTTTATCTTGAGTTAAGCTCGCTTCCGTAATGAACAGAAAACGAAGCAACCAAGAAGAATAATACTTACACCTGCATGCATGCACTCATAACTTCACAATACTTTAACCCGTCATGTTCTAAGTACCAAGTGTACGACTGAGAAAAATGGAAATTTTCTTGTTTTGGTCCAACAATTACGACAGCACTTACAGTATCAGTCTGTTTCATATGTTCTTTCGTATGTTTAGTTCAGCTTAGCTGTTATTGGTGTAATGAATTAAACCAATTTACAACCCCCTAACCGTATTTAAGCACACTCAATCGTACGATGGGGACCTTAAGTCCTTAACCTCCGAGCTGTCAAATGTATAGTACTTTCGTCTTTCGCAAAAGTAGTTAGTGTGGATAGATATAAAAAGGTCTGAAGTTACTTTAAACGTGTTTTTTTAAGGAAACTCCATGCACTATGCCAAGGCTATACATTATTGAACATCAATACTATTATATGAAATATGCATGCCAGTAAATAATTAATTTGGTAAATTCTATATACTACAATAGATAACCTGTGTGAGATGTCTCACTCTGTATTATTTTTAATTAATGTGTTTGGCGCCTGCATGAGAAAAGTGACATCTGACCGTGGCCTTAGGACGATGATAGACTAATCCTCTCTGATGATTCTCCTGTTGACTATATCGTCCCTCGTTCGTCAAACCATGGCAATATACTTTAATGGCTAAGTTCTCTCGGGGAGAAATGCTCCAAGAGTATTACGAATACATGGCCAGCTCGGTATCAATTGAGTTATACGAGACATAAACATTTTCTGATTCTAGAATGGACGTAGAAGTTGAATACACAGAGATCCGCATATCGCCGAGTGTTTCAAGAACATATGTATACGTGAAAGTTTTATAAAAACAGAATTTTAAGCACATAAAGTGATTGCTTATATATGCACAGCCATTCTTAAGCGAAAATAGTAAACATTATTTTAAGCGCACGACTATGAATTTTTAATCCTAAATAATTATGTGAATTACTGCCTTTTGCCCAGTATTTTTCGCGGCTGCCCCTCTAAACAGCAGGATATTCTCATACAACTCTCCTGACAAGACTCTTAGCCAAACTTCAACGTGTTTCCTTGACTATTTTAAGCAGTTGCTGAACTATTCCAGTTTAAGGAAAATATTAACACTATCTCATTAAAAAAGAAACGTATCTACTCAAATAAAATATTTTGCCTTAGAATTACGGACACGTATAATTAAAAACAAAAAACGCGTATATAACACAAACGAAACATTGCGTGCATGTGTACGGCTGGCGGATATTTTGCATATTGTCATCAACATGATGCACAGACGTTTGATGGCGACAACCACAATACCTCTTTCAACGGAAGATAAGGATACCCGCGGGTAATTTACATCGTAAAAATTGGTAACATATTTTATAACAAACGCTCGAAATCTTGCGTCGGCAGATGATAAAATAATCGAGGAAGAAATAAAAAATAGTTGTTTCGACAACAGCTGCGTGAAAAAATTATATTGATCACCTTTGTCGTTGAACTATTTGACTTTTGCTCAGACTTTTCCTCCGTAACCGTCGTTTCAGTTTTCACGTTTGTTGTTGTCGTTTCCGTAATACGGACGGATTTCGTTTCTTTATTGGACTTCTTCTTATCTTTTAGCGAGGATTCCTTTTTACTTTCTGCGGTTTCGTTCGAGTCGCTAGCGTTTTCAATTTGGCCGTTCGCCGTTTGTGCGTTCTTATCTTTTGCCTCGGCGCTGTTGTTTTTAACTTCATCTTCGCCCTTCTTTGAGGCGTCATCTTCTTTCGCTAAACTAGCGTTCCGAGAGTAACACTTCCCCATATCCGTTCGATACCTGAATTTTGTTGATCAGCTGGTCTGGCAACTGCCGTCGGACACGCCTTCATGAACAAGAGACCTATTGCATGTTGTCTATTGAAGGTAATAAGTTATTCACGTCACTTCAGCTTGCCATCAATGATTTAACAGCACAGTTCCGTGTCTTGGCACACAAACCCTACTGATGATTTATTTAAAAGGACCTCTGGTCAACACGTGTTGCCCTCGACGAAAACGGTGAAAACAACAATTAGACAAAGCTAACAGCATGAAAACCTCAAATCTTTTCAAATCCGCCAAAGGCGCCCCTTCTATGGAAAGTGGGTTTCGGTACACTTTCATGAGGGGTAAATACATATGTGCTTAGACCACGCCCAACCCATGCACCGAATAAGAATTTGAGATGCATTAAAATTGAGGTTCTTTATTGTATAAATAGAACGACAGGAATGTGGCTACTGATCTCCAGATTCAAACTATAGAAGGCGGAAGTTCCAAAGAACCAAAAGCGCAGATGTAGTGCATCACTGAATTCTATACTTTAACTGGACTCACACGCGTATGAAGCATTAGCAAAGTGTCTGGAACAGCCGAGGAAAAGATTTCGCTGTGAGTTGTGATTCCAATGGAGACAAAAACCAACTAAAGTAACTATTTTAGGAAAGGAGCCAATTAACAGTGAGATGTTGAATGGTTTAGTTTAAATACACGAATACATGACAATTCAAGTAAAACTTCTTAACTTGGTAAAGGAATAAGAATGGTCACACGTTTTTATTGCGTCCATGATTATAATTATGACGGTAGTTAATTCAAAATGTTGAAATTTTGACGGATTGTTGAACGAACCTATTCCTTGTTACATGCCCAAACAAACGAATTTATCACCTTTATATTAAGAGAACTTGTTTGATCACGTCAATACACAGGAACATATCACTATATGTATAGCTATGAAAAGCTCTATCGGAAAAAAGGGTTCAAGCCTACTCTTTACAGCACAACGTGAATGAAATATGGATACATGCAACGAAGAAAGACCATTGACTTTAGTTCACTACGAGTTGGGAATGGTAAGCAATTAGGCACATGTGGGCGATTCAATTCTCTCTCTCTTTCTGTTATAATTATCTTGCTGAAGAAATAATAAAGAAATGCTCTCACTTTCCTTACGCTCCCACTTGCGGTCAATCCGGCCTTATAGCTAACTAAAAATTTGAACTAACAACGTTACAACCTAAAATGAATATAAAAAACCATCCATAGACTATAAATTTCAAAATTTTCGACTTTTTATGCACGAAGGTTGTTACTGACGTCATATATATAACGCTAAATAGTACGAATATATGGAGTTTTAAATGGTAGTTGCACTTGAAATTTAGAATTTATCATTTATATCTAATTTAATACTATTTAGTTTTTGAAAGATCTAGACGTAAAATGAACGGCGGCTGGCTCATGCAATCAATACAAAAATATAAAAAATTGATAATAAATAAAAGTTTGACTTACAATTTATAGAACTTTCTTCTTAGAAATGCTAACATTAAAAACATAAAAGACTTTCAAGACATCTGAACATATTTCACGCATGTAATACCAATGTATATGGTTCTCAAGAGTATATATATATAGCATTATAAAATTTCTAAGGAGTTAACTGATTGTTAAATGTAGGGGGATCCGAATTTGACAATCAAAGTGTATGAAGTGTGAATGATAATAATTACACCTCTTGTCAAGAAACAACTGCAAACCTAGCGTGGATGACAGTAAACATTTTTATTCCCTCTTACGTTGACTAAATGTTTAGTCACGGCATTCAAAGCAAGCATGAAATATATATGCATGGCGCATTAGATACAGCCATTCGTCACACTAATATGTGCACACAATGCAATACATAAAGTGTCCCTATGAGAGAAACGATTGTGGTCAACCGACCGCTTACATTTCTATGTCATGGAGAAAGGGAACTAAACCGATTGACCTTATTTGGCGAGAAATGACTGAAAAGGATTTCAAAACTAGATAATGTATTATTCAACAGCAAAAATAAATTTCCGACTTACAAATGATATACGTAATGCATATATATATACACATTTTTAGTGACTTGATTATCGTGCATGCATGTCGAAAACGATTTCCGTGTAGTATAGTGACTTTTCTGTAATACCGATCTCCTCACTCCTTTATTTTTTTCTATAATTTTAAAAATTTTCGTGCCAATTTTCAACCGTATTATAAAAAGAACGACTAATTGTCGGTTTCATCAAATATTCAGTAAATATTAGAAGTATATTGTGCCCAATATAGTTTGAAAAAGCACTCCGACATAACATTTAGAATCGCAATGAGAAAAAATGATGTGCATGTGCATATAATATGTATATATAAAATGCGTATACAATCTATTTTTTTTTCATATAGATACTTCAAGTTTTATCTATTACAAATTACACTGCTGCGATGATGTAATAAAATATTTAGGTAAGCTAATAAATTAGATGTTTCAAAGCATAGTTTTCAATCATTACACTTGTTTCTGTTTTTGGTCGTGTGTTTTCATTTCGTCGCGTCATCGGGTTTTATTTGGACAAAATAGAGAGTGATTAAAAAAATTACTGTACATTAAATATTGATTCCGTGGTTGCATGCATGGCATGGGTAGAAAATATCTACCTGAAAAATACAACGAGAACTTCGAAATATAGGGCTGGGGGCTCTCTCTCGACAGATCTGCATTTTGACATGCATATATATAGATTGTTATACTGTATTTGATGACGAATCTTCGTCAAGGCTCTACAGGGTTATCAACTCGAGGTATGAGTGTATACGAGTTGCTTTGAAATAGACCTATTTTTTACATCCATTCTTGAATTATATGCTACAAAATAATTTACCATAGCATTGCATGGATTCTTTTTTACGTATATACAGGAGCAACGAGTAATGATTTTTATAACATGAATAAAGAACCAAATCAGATAATTTGTTTATCATGCATATATCTTAACGATAACCTAGCCCCGTTGCTTGGGGATTAGTTTCAAATTTTAAATCCTGCTGTACTAATTATGATGGACAGCTCTATATCTGCAGATTACTAGTGGTAGTAATTAATTGTTCTGTAAAACGCATTCAGTTCAATCATTAGAGAAGATCAGGGACAAGGTTGAAAAACGGTTTTGCGGGATAGAGAATCAATCTATATAAAATCAATCTATATAGAATCAATCTATATAGAATCAATCTATGGAGTGTCCGCGATATCACGCACGCCAACGTTTCGCTTCACGTAATTCTGCACAACCTATAGCAGCTATATATTATTAAGTAATATTAAACTGTTATGTTTTTTGATGGGGACGATGTACCGTACAGGTAAATCTTTTAATCTCAGGTTTTAAAAAGATCAAACCGTCTCTAAAAAATACAACTGACGACTGTTTTACAATAGTTTGATTCTAACAAAGTTTTGTAATTGAGGTAAGCCCTAAAAAAGGACAAACCCGCACGATTCGCAATATGAGAAGAATATGTCATGAACGTATTCCAGGAATCAAAGCCCGGAGACAGGGGTGGATGAAATTGGCATAATTAAGACACTAAACCTCTCCAGCGCCCCTCCTCCGTATGACTGGAAAACGCTTCATTATTTCAACAACTTTGTAATAAAACCCTGCTTACCCAGCAGGTTAATGTTATACGAGTACTTTTACCTTATCTTCTTGTTCCCTCATCTCCTCCCTCGTCTTGTGACCATTGTAACCAGCTTGAATGGTGACCGCGGCGTCCTGAACCTGCGGGTCATCCAAATCAATCCCTTCCACTTCATCATTTCTTTCCTTCAACTCTTTACGTGCTTTATGACCGCGATATCCAGCTTGAATGACCGTTGCTGCGTTCTCCACGTCGGGATCATTCAAGTCAACCTCGCTTGCCTGCGTGGTGCTCGTGCGTTCTTTGTGCTCTCGATAACCAGACTGGATTATACTTGCTGCTTTTTGAACTTCTGGATCACTTAAATCGATGTCAATACCTTTGGCGTCCATCTCACGGAGCTGAGCGACTTCTTGTCTCGATTTGTGACCACGATACCCGGCTTGAATCAAGGTAGCGGCACGCTGCATTTCGGCATCGTCAATATCGTCGCCATTCTGCTTGGCGTCTGTACGAGTTTTATGCTCGCGATAACCATCTTGGATGATTTTTGCGGCATTTTCAACCTCCGGGTCGTTTAGCTCAATCCTGTCCACATCACCGTCCAAGGCATTCCTCATTTGTTCTGTTTCTTTACGACTTTTAAATCCTCGGAAGTTTGCTTGAATTTTGACAGCAGCGTCCTTCAATTCCGGGTCATTCATATCCAAGTCATTAACATTTCCGACTTGGTTTTGCTCGTCTCGCGCCTTAAACCCTCGATACCCAGCCTGGATCGTAACGGCCGCCTTCTGGACTTCAGGGTCGTTCAAGTCGATATCGGAGTTTTCGCGTTCCTGCCTGATTTCCTCGACCTCTTTTCTTGCCTTATAACCACGGAACTGCGATTGGATTTTAACGGCAGCATTGCCGACAGCGGGATCGTCGAGATCGATATCGACATCCTCGCCTTGATTCAATTGTTCTATGACGTACGATCGTTTTGCATCGTTTCGGCCTGTGGCTAAAAGAAAATTTCATTTCATTACAACACTACAACGGGTAGATATGGGGGTGCATGCGTCTCTTTATTCAATAAATTTCCGACAATATATGTATTTTTTATATCTATCTATAGACTATATCTATAGGATTTAACTATGGAAAGTGTAGCATAAAATGTGCATGGTATAACAACTGCCTATAAAATAAACAAAAACACTTCTCGACGTTTCGACCTGAGGGCCTTCGTCATGCAGGAGAGTTAGCAAGAGTTAGTATGCAAAGTGTAGTGAAAGAGTTTTATAAAACCGGCCCCTATATATATAGTTGTTCCCGGTTGGTGAAAACAGGACTGCATGAACAACACCCAACGAACATGCATGTTGTTTTCAAGTTGCGGCAACTTGGTGAACCCTAACATGTTGCTACAATTTATTAAAAACCTGTTTTATCAATCGGAAACAACTTGAGTGCTTTTTGCCGCGTAACAATGGTATTATAGTTAGTAGGCTTGAGCTATAGTAGAGTGCGAAAATAATACAAATGTATAGCTATTATATTAAATATTATCTAAGGCCTATATGTAATCTAAGGCTTACAGCTTTTACGTCGTATTTTAGTCACATAATAAGGTGATAAACATCATTTAGCCTCATTTTCATCGCATGGATTATCTTTTGTTTGAATTCAATGCGACCAAAATGGACGATAAACTAGGCCAATGCTTTGTGTAAACGTGAATTTCTGGAACGTGTCGCAGATAATAAAGAATGAAGAAACGAAGTCAATATTGTGGCAAATTTTCGAAAATAAGTAGCTATTATCGTTCGTACTTTATTATTCATATACTAACAGTAAAAAACCCCTCCCCAGCTAATCATTTTATCAGATTATCAGAGAAATGAAGTGTCCAGTGATTAGTATGAGATAATAGAGATTAATCAACATAATTTGAATTTTTGATACATTCATAGAACAACGGGATGGCCATAGCCAATAAGGTGATGACATCGTTCATATCATACCCACAATCTTACTGCAACTTACTAATTTATTGATGTGCAAAACTGTAGAGCTAGATATAGTTGAAACGTGTTGCAAACTTGGGATTCTTTAATGTGCATGCGGGCATGTGCATGGATGTTTTTTGCATGTCTTTCGATCATTTTGCCTGTCCCGGACAATTGAGTATCGATTGGTTGAAAATCATGTTTTAGAACACATTATATTATTTTGCGCAAAATGGGTTTACGTGTTTGGTTGCATCCAATAATTATCGTCTATTAATTTTTTTTTTTGGATCAAACTTTCATCCAAAAAAACAATTATTGGACTCTCATGCCCAGAACTTGGCGCACCAGCAACTTGAACCCAAAAGAGCGCGAAAAAACGTTACAAACTTACAATAAAATAAAATAAGCATTAATGAACTTCGTTTAATCGTTTCTGATGTCTTTAATTTTAGCCTCCATCCAATAATTGTTTATTATTACCATAAAAAAGTTATGAAAGAGATTTGTTTGGTGTAATCTGATCATTGAAATAATCTCTGAGAGGAATATTTCAATGTTTAGCTTTTCTGAGGTACCATAATCAGACCCCATTTCAAGATCAAGATCTAAGCCTAAAATTAGCTGGTTTTCATGTATCATAATTATTTGTCTTATACAAAAAGTTATTTATTTTATTAACCACCTACAATGGATCATAGAGGCAATTGAGTACAGCATATGGACTGAACCAGGCTAATTAGGCACAAGGGTCCTAGGATTATAATTTATTTGGATTTCTATATAGGATGAAAGATACTTGACTCCGAAAATTGGATTATGGATCATCATTCACATCGGATTTTTCATTTAATTTAATCATATAATTTTAGTTAACCAGAAAAAGCATGCAAATTAATATATGCCACTTTCGGTATACCGGGTATAATTTATCTATCATTGGGTGACATGTGTAAACGTATATTTTCAGCTGTTCAATGTGTTAACTGTTAAGAGGTTGAGGATTGACAGCTGGAAACAGCATTAAAATTTAAATGGGCAAGCATACAAAACAGGGAATATTTAGGAAAATTTTAGTAGTTCAAATGTTTGCAGTTATTAGCTGACAAAAACACTGTTAGAGGACAAGATATAATGACATTTTAGTACGGGAAACATAGGAATAGCATGACTTAGTAATATTAATAAGCATTTCTCATAAACATTATCTGTCAAGATCGAATAAGTAGTTCCAATATCTGTGACCATAATATTTAATAGATATTATGCATGATGTGACAGGCCAAATCATTGAGAATTATTAATAACTTTGCAAACACATTTACTGATCAAAACTAAAACTAGATATTATAGAGAATTACTTAATATTGTGCTACCGGGCCCACATAGGGAAACTGAAACATTTGCAATGCTTTAAGCCCTATATTATATAGACAGGATGAACAGGCATAAAGACAAGCATTCACAATGCTCCTAAATAAAGCCAAATTGTGTACTCTCACTGTGGTGTTATTTTGGGGATATTGTTAGTTTTGCACTGTGTGGACAAGTGTAGTGGCAAAGAAGTGTTAAAACATTCAAAATTAACATTCATATAAAAAGGATCTGGGTCAACTAGTTCTAGGGTATTAGTTAATATGTCCATTGAGGCCATGTATAAGTATCCATTAAGGCTGAAGAAACATGCACAACATAGCATGCACCTCATATTTCATTTCGCTAAAACACCATTAAAAGGGCGATATAACAGCTAGCTTGAGATTAATGAGATATACTGAGTCAAGGAAAATATTGAGAATATTCTGGTGGAATGAAGTGCCCAAAGCAATTTTTAGTAAAATGACCCAACCTTTAATGTGTCATTGTCATTGTCAGTAGCACACAGTTGTTCACTACTACTACTTGTTGACACATGCATTTTTATTTCAAAATGATTCTTCAACCAGTTTAAGTGTGGTTTAAGCTACAAATACAGTGGACAGGAGAAAGATATACTGTACATCAACATGAATACTAGACTTGCAACCCCTGATCTGTAAAAATAATCTGAATTGGACTGAAAGATCGTTGTTTTGCAAACATAATTCACAAATTAATAAATTGCATATGGCCCTGGCTGGAAAGCAAAACAATAATGAGATTGATATAAAGCCGTTTAAACAATAATAAAATGTGCAGTACATATATAGATTGAACATATATTAGAACTGTTCGCGAAACGGATTGTGTTTGAAGTACTTTTATCCTGTTGACATAATAACGTTACATGTATCTCTTTATTATAAAAGGATTAATACGAACTTTGGAAGTAATAAAGCAGCACTACGTACAGCATGCATATTGAGCACAAACTAAAAACAATTAATATTGCCATAGCTTTTTATAACAGACATCAAAACACTTACTTTCACGTTGCTCTATCAAATGTCTGAAGTATTTGGCACAGAAGTCGACACAGTCTTGCGGCTGTTCTCTTAAAACCTCTCGCGCTAAACCTTCGAGTAACGCTTGAAATCCTGGTGGAACTCTGAGTTTATTTGGAGCGTACGAAACAGACATATTCTTCATGTGTTTGCAAACGAAGGCAACTCTTTAGATACGTTAAAATATGCCTGATGTTATCTATCACATACCTCAGTAGCCGTAGTTATAAAATAATCATGCCATAGCAACAAAAATGCCAATGATTTACACGAATACCAGTTGTAAACAGTTGCCAACTAGTTTTGTATGGCAACAACAAAATTCGAATTTCGAATGTCCGTGTTTCCACTATTTGCCAGAATATTTCAATGCGCATGACTTCAAAGTAAAATCGCTGGGCTTTGATGTATTGTGTATATACAGTATACAGTCTTTCTTGCCTGACAAAGTTTTTGTTTTCAAAAAGTTCTACAGAATATTTAATTTAATACAAATTTGTGTAGTTTGCTTTATTGTATTACTAACCTGACCTTTATTTTGTGGTTTTCCATTAACCGTTTGTGGTGAGCATTATATTGCCTGTATTAAAACAGTTATAAAGGTATGGTGTTTAAATTTAATATATAATTTTACTAACACTGTTGTGTCATAAAAAAAGTTTTGATGCATGTTTTATTGCAATGCAGTCATATAGATTCCTTACCTTACTAAGTTTCATTGTGATATGAAAAGGAAAAGTTTTTAAATTTGCTTGAAGTCAGAGTGATGGTGGTCTTTTAAATGCTCTTACTTATTGACTATTTTGGTGGGTCAAACAGAATTAATTGAAAACGCTATCACTAACCCGAAATCTATGTGTGATGATAATTCTAGTTTTAACAAGAACTTAACTATGGCTTAGTGCAGTTCAACTTGCAGGGGTGAAGTGTTATAGGATTTGCTAACAAAATCCATGCACTGAATATAGAAAAAATATAGTGTCACACCCCATTTAACCTGCTCGGAACACCACTGCCAAACCTCAGTCTTTGTGCTTATTGTGTCACATGATTTTGAGAGAGTAATGTAGAGAGTCGAGTTAATCATTTATGTCAGGTTTTAGCCAAATTCCACCCAACAACAAATTCTTTGCACAATTCTAACATATTGTGGTTCTAAGTGAGCACAGGTGAGTTTTGGGAGATGTAAACCTCAAAAGAAACACTTTCTCCTTGGAGCACTTTCCCCTCTCTAATTACAGAAATAAAATAAATTGCAGTTTTGTCATACTGAAGTAACAATTTAAAAATAACAAGGATAAAGAAATGTTATTAAATAGCATGATTAAGGGGGCTTTAAGGGGCATTCTCCCCTTACCCACATTAACAACTGTAGACTACCCTAGTCTCTTACTAATGTGGGCTCAGTGACAATCCACACCCAGTTCCCTCACTAAATCTTTTGGAACCTTTCAAAAATTATTTTTCTAAAAATGGTACATTAACACAGTTTTGTTTTCCGATCATCTCATGGCAATGATGGTATAATAATATTTATTTATGATGTTTTACAATGAAACCTCAAAATTGTCTTTCAGCTTGATCGCTTCATGCTTTTTATTAGTTCAGTCAGTTCGCACGAATAAATTCGCCAAGGCCCTAGTAAGTTTAAAACGCGCTTAAGAGTAAGGAAATTTCATCACTGCACAAAAGCGCATGAAATTGAACATTTATGTAAACATTATACGTAATACCGTTGTCTTAGAAAAACCCTGATTGGCCGCGGTATCAGCATGATTTATTATATGTACTGATTCGGTGATTCTGTAACCTAAAGTTACCTACGTAAAATGACTAGTTTTATAACGTTCAAATAGTGCATGTATAGAATAATAAATCATAAATATCACATTTTAAAATGACTCACTTAGGCCTTAGCGACGTTTGACCTACGCTATAGAATCCATTTCGAAGTATCAACTCGTAGTCTCAAGTCCGACTTGACCCATTGAACCCTTAGCTTAGCTCGCTCGGCAGAGTTTTGGACAATAAATAACAAACGAACCCCTACCCCTTTGGGTTATTATACTACTCAGGACTTTCATCTCTTCCTGGTGATTCCATAGCTTCCATCAACCTCGTTCTTGGGAACTTCCATGCACCAAGTAACATCGCAATTGACTGCTTTTAGTTGCAAGCAGGATCACGATCAAAGACTACATGATGCCTGAAATAATTCGGAATTCCTCTTTGTAGATGAGTAACCCTGCTGCAGTAGCAGTTCAAGTAGAGGATGCCGGAGATGGAAGATGGATGAGTATGGTAATAAAAGCCATTTCCGTAAAACAACTTATCGCTATGCGTGCGATGAGAAATTGGCAGTAGATTCTGGTTCTGCCTTCCCCCCCCCCTCCCCACTTTTATACTGGCTCTACAGGCCCTGTCGAATTGCTAACGCCAGTGCATGAAGCATTGACTGTATTACTGTGCCCTGATGAGATCACACCATAGAAATACTCAAACGGTAGACAATATTACGCGAGTCCTTTTTCTTTGGCAAATCATTAATTCCCGAATATGAAAACTGTCAGCTTTCGATCTTTCTGTCATCATGTCATGATATATTTCACACCAATTGTTTCTGGTCACACATTATGTGGTTCTGCAAGCACCTTAGTTAGTATGTTTCCTTTAAAGCATAACAGATTTAAAATAGAAGCAAAGAGAATGGCTTCAAAATGTCAGTTGTTGTTTATTGGCGATTCAATTATCCACCAGATGTTCGATAAAGAGGTAATTACTGTTTGAAGACCTCAATACAAAATTTCTATTACTCTAAACAAAAATTGAATATCACTAAATTTCTTTTGATAGATTTGGCGAACACTTTTTGAGCCATTGGGCTCACTGAACTTTGGCATTGGCGGCGACAGCACACAACACGTATTGTGGAGAGTTCAAAATGGTGAATTGGAGCATATTGATCCAAAAGTATGAGAGTTGGCAGCTCATGTTTTAATGTTTTTTGTCTTTTGCCTTAGTTCAACGAAAGTACATCCGACTTTCAAATATGATATGAATTTATTGTGACTCCACACGTAGCTAGTTGGTCGATGTCTTTTATAGGTTGTCGTTCTTTTGGTGGGCACAAATAATGTCGCTCATACGCCATCTCACACAGCGGCTAATATTGTGGAGGGGATTGAATCTATCGTATGGTATATCAATGGAATAAATTCAAGTATTAAAATCCTAGTTCTGGTAGGAAAACTGTTGTTTTTCGTTAATCATTCATTTTGTTATTGATTTTTGATTGTCCGTGCCATTCATCGGCTGCATTGCATGCATAACTTGTTTGCCAGTTGATATTTGCATGCAGTACAAAATTTCGTTATTTAATTCTCCTAAAGGGGCTGTTACCACGAGGTGAATTTCCAAATCCGTTGCGAACTAAAATCATGGATATCAACAGCTTACTGGAAACTTCCATAAATATCATTCCAAATGCGACATTTCTTAATGCAGATCCTGGCTTTGTTGACGGGGAAGGAAAGATATCAGCCAAAGATATGGCCGACTACTTGCATTTGACTTGTTCTGCAAACGAGAAAGTTTGCACTAAAATATACGAGGCACTGATAAAGCTGATGAAGTATACCTGATTTTTTTGCACTTCGCTAATCTTTTGATGCATGCATACGGATACATAATTATAAATAACAAAATTCAAATCAAAAGTATGTCGAATCTCAGATATTGTGTTTTATCATATGGATATGTAGTATGAATAGGGATATCATATGGATATCATATGATATCATATATGGATATCATATGGATATGTAGGAAAGTAGAGCATAATCTGCACATGCCATGCACATGCATATGAATAGGGATATCATATGATATCATATGATATGATATCATATATGGATATCATATGGATATGTAGGAAAGTAGAGCATAATCTGCACATGCCATGCATATGAATAGGGATATCATATGATATCATATGATATGATATCATATATGGATATCATATGGATATGTAGGAAAGTAGAGCATAATCTGCACATGCCATGCACAACATCGAGAACATGGCATATTTTTGACAGCTTAATCTTAATGTTTCTGACGCTGCTTTTCATATGACAAAAATGAGACAAAACAAAAGGAGCACTTATTAAAATTGATCTTCAAACAGTAGGTGACAGTTCATCAATGGTCCACAATTTTTATGAGATTATTAATGAGAATGTTTTAATGAAGTTCATTTAAAGAGACGGCATCGAAATTGTTATTTTTAATGTCAAAAACGTAATTATAGACCTTGGCACATGACGTTGCTTCATTAATTGTCTTTGTCCAGCCATATATGAACCCTTATTGCATAATTTTTTTTATTAAAACTGATCTGGAGGACAATTCTTATATAGGTAATGATGATAGTGCTATGGGTCTTCTTGTCAGTACAGTTTATATTAAAAATAACAATTCAGTCCTTTGAAAAACGTTTTTGCATGCTGAAGAGCTATATATCGTACGTAATAAAACAATTGTAATAACAATAATCCTATAGCAATAGAAATGAATATAATTATAAATAATGTTTCACCAATCAAAATAAAGTTATTCCTGCACCATATTGGATCAATGTAAAGTGTCAGTTCAGTGTATGGATATATCTCTATTATATGCAGTGGTGAATTCCCGAAGTCCCTATATAATCTTCATCAGTAAATGTTCATGACATCCAGAAAATGAAATTTCCTGAAGCAGATTGCTGATACGTTTCCTCTTAACTTTATAAGGCCTATACGTTAAACGTCGCATTTTGGTCGCGTCGAATGCAGTTCAAACAATATGGATAATGAAATGGTAATGAAGCTTAATGAGGTTTATCATCTAATTATCTATTGTATGAATTGCATTCAACGCGACCAAAATGCGAGGTATACCTAAAAACCAAATTTCAGAATGAAATGAAACATTATAGCTTGCATGCAGCCCGTCACACTTTTGGGAATAGTTTAATAGTCAAAGGCAATATGCCTATAATTCCATGCAATTCAAATGTCACATTGATGCATGCCCAAACCTTTTTATAAAATCGTACGGTTGCAAGATTAGATTTGGAATCTATATTGTTTGATATATAGTATAGCTATTAAACTACCGCATGCATACAGTGGCAGTGTTATTACTTTTCGCATTTTAATTTACAAAATGTCTTTTTTTTAATTATCTATACCCGGCTAAAATATAATTGCGGAACATATATTAATATTCGAGTACAAGCATTTGCATGGTCGACGACAATTAATATAAGAGATCATTTACATCAAAACTTTATGTCGAAGCGTCGCGCCGTTGTTGCTTAAAATCTAAGAACAATTTGTTAGTTATTTTCTTCGCGACATGGAAAACGACAGTTTATTGCAAACTTGCATCTACCAAGGCATCGAGTTCAACATGTCTATTCAATTTCCATCAAGAGGCTATTATATAAACTTTATTATCGCCTGTATTCTTCATATTTTACTGTCGACGGTGGCGATATATCTGAATACTGTGACAATTCTAGCATACTGCAATTCCACTCAGTTGAGGAAAAAGTTATCATTTTTTCTAATCATGCTGTTATCGCTGAGCGATCTCGCATCTGGAATATCCTGCTTTTTCACCTATATAACTCTTTTAGTTCACGCGATGATGGACGAGTTGAAATGCGACATTTACGTATTCACTCATGTGATAATATTTTTCATGCTTAGCATATCTTTGGTAAATTTATTTTTATTGAACATTGAGCGATATCTCGGTATTGTTTATCCATTTTATCATATGTCCAAGGTGACAAGAAGGAGAACCCTTGTAGTTGCCGTGGTTTTGTGGATATTTATTGTGTTACCAGCAACATTACTTCGACTATTCGTGCATGAAGAATCTAGATATATATCATCGATAATAATATTACTTGTTATCGTGGCTTTTCTACACATGTACATTTCAATATATCGTACCAGCCGAGATTTTTCGATGATGAATCGGCCCAAAACCGGGACAACCAATTCCTGGATAAAATTGAAAGAGTTAAGACTGGCTAATTCCTGCGCAGTCGTTGTTGTCTGTACTTTTATTTGTTACATTCCTTTTTCTATAACTGATTGCTTGCAGCCGAGCACTGTCGTTATGGCTATAAGTCACTGGGGAAAAACTTTTATTTTAATGTCCACTTCTATAAATTCGGTCGTATTCCTTTGGAGAAATACTGCCTTAAGAAATGAAGTACGGAAAGTTATTTTCAAAGCAAGAAAGCGTTAGGATAAGTTGACTTAATGTGTGAAAACACCCAGACCCCAATCCTTTTCAACTCGTCGAAAGTCTTCAAAATTAAAAATTCGTATAAAGAGTTATATGCTTTAATTTCATTGCCACTGCATGGTGCACCTAAATGCTGGGCCAAAGTTAATTGTTACGTCGAAATAAAAAAAGTTAAATCTAAAACCAATCGAAGCAAATAGTAGTTCAGTGCATGTGATTATTTGTAGTTATCTGCATGCGTGTTTGCAGAACGCCGTGGATCATTTGGTTTCCGGCTGCTCTTCTAAACTGCTCGACCGTCGTTAATTGAACTTAATTAAAAGGTGATGTTATAGATTGTCCTCCCATGCAGACGAGAAAACTATCATTTTATTGTACTGGAGAAAATGTTTATATGGTAGAACGTCCCTTGCACAACACGTGTCCACGAAATGTATACGCTAAATAAATCTCTATGACCTCTGACAACTGCATACATGCATGCTTCATCATGCAAAAACGTACACTATGTTCAGGGAACGGGAGAATAATCAGGATCCGTAACACAAGAATAATGAATTTCAAGATTATCGTCCAAAAAAGTAGCTGAACGTTGATGACTTTGGAATTATAGATTCTTCTATTTCAGCGAGTGATCTCGGGTGAAAAATATACTCATCATCAGAAGTTTTTCATAAAATATATTATTAAATATAATCAGTGGCCCACTTTTTTAATTGAAGGTAAAAAAATAAGGTTGATCTGGATTTTATTGTTTGTTGATGGTCGTTTCGTGAAAATGGCGAATTCAGTAATAATGTCGAATGCATCTTGTCTTGATATGTTGATATATATATATGCTGACATCAAAATCGTTACTCTTCTTGTTTAAAAAACCTCGTATAAAAAAACATTCCAAGGGAACATGAAGTCTGCCGACGAGAATCTTGACTTGAGAAGACTATATGGTGTTTGCCAAGTATGTAGAATATATAAAATATCGCGGATTCATGTCCTCTCTGGAGAGCCGACTCCACATTTGTAACGGAAAACTACACTATACATGTCTCCATTAAGTCTTTTAGCCAGCCACTGGTTTTTTATAACAGCTATTTTGAGTGATTCACAAGTGAAAAAGGCGTCATAGTTTGTGTGAATCGCCCTGCAAAAGAAAGATGAACTCATCACAAAATCTCAATTGTTTTATATTTTTAGCAAGGCTAAGAGGGAATTTTATAATGTTCACATTCTTATCATATAAAGAAGATAAAGTAAGATAATATGGAGCAGTCGACCACTCAGGTCGAAACCTTACAGTTACGTTTGTTTTCCCACGAATATCGCATTACTCACGAGCATTGCATTACCACTTATATTAACTGTGCTCTGACAGGGCAATGACTTGTTAGTTGCATGGCCTTTTGGGACCGGTTGCATGTATAAAACTCTTAACTACATTTTGCATATTTAACTCCAAATTGATTGATTCGCCAATTCTGTCACTATACATGTATATAGTGAGTCTTAGTGACTATATTTAAAAACGTAACACTAACTAAAAAAATTCAGGATAATATTCATGGACCTGGCCTTTTTCACACCCATCACTTGTAATATATATTGTCAGGTAACGATTAAATATAGCTCTCCTACAAAATTGTCTCATCAAGATATATTTGCTTACCTTCCCATTCCTTCTAAAACAACCAAGTCCGCTTTCGCGCATGTTTTCGCCAGCTCAGCGTCGACGCGTCTGAGAAATACAAAAAGATTTCCAATACAAAACCTTCTGTTGCCTTATTGATTTATTAAGAGGTCGCGAAACGCGGAATAAATCATAAAAAAATAGATGAAGGAAGTCATATACCTTAAATCTAGACATGGCGAAAACGTCCCTGACTCCATTATTATTAATCTCTTCTCCAGTACTGCTTGTCTATAATTATAAACACCGTTTTGATCTAGTTAATATATAACCAGATAATCACAACCAAATCGATTCTAAGACCATTTAGCCGATCCAACTTGATATGATAAACTTACCGTATAACTGGGTTAATTGCTGCCACTTTTTCCGTAATAATCTGCAGCTCTCCGTATGTTACATCATTTAATGCGGGGCGGGAATTCGCAGCAAGTATCACCTGTATTGTAAAAAACCGTCGATTTCAGGACCAGTTGTATAAAATCCTTCATAGACCTGCCGTTAATTCTCGTTTTACCAAATAGCCTCGTTCTCGTATACCTACTCATGTTTCGTGTTTAGTGGGGTTTGGTAGTAAAATTACTTTGTTATTGAACGTAAAATTATGAAGAAACAAATTCGTACAAGAAAATCTGATATATAAAATATAATTTTTTCCTGAAAACGAGGCATGAATGATCATAAAAACGAGGCAATTCGGTAAAAAGGAAGAATGGGTAAGATCTACTTTTTACTTAAAAATCCTAGTTCCATGCAAAGTACAGACTAACTCCATGCAAAGTACTCCATTATCATCGGGTAACTGAATGACTATATTTAACCTTGATTATATACGATTGTATGCATATCTGTGAGCTAACGATATGACTACATTAGAGTGCCACATTTCTTTTTATGTTTCGTTCTGCACCATAATTCGTATGAACCAAAGAAGCGTGGCAACTTACCACAGTTCCACGGGAAAGCAATTCTAGGGCAAAAGGAAATACTCCAAGAACAATATCCACACCACTGTTGTCCACAAACATCACAGCCATCTTGTGAGGTGGTCCCTAAAATATGATTATTACACTGTATCGAAATATTACTGTATTGAAACTGGGGGGACTGTATTGAGTTTCATAGTTTTACAACTCACATGACTGAAATGATATGGACTTTTTGCATTCATTAATATATGCTATACACACCCATCTCCGCGACACAACCGAAAATGACAAAATATCGCTAATTTTACATGCACTAACCTTCAATCTTGTTACCCAATCATCAACATCATCGTTAAGCCATGGTCTTGCTAGAAGGTTAGATAAAAATACAGGAAATTCTAAAACTAGTAGCATATTTTAGAACAATATTTTTTTCCTGAGATTCATAATGATCATAATTTTTGTTGAAATAAAAAATTCCATTGTATCTATTCCCTGTGTTTTCACCTTGTAATTTCTTTCTTGCTGTTTCGAAATGGAAATCACCATCCCTCATTAATCTAAAAATAACACCTGTATTGATCAACCAATGTATCGTGAAAATTGTGAAATTTTAGGACAGGTAGGGATGCAAGGCAAGTTTAACTTCTGAGATACCGAAGATAGGGATGTGCCAACACTTACTTTACAACTTCATTAGCTCCCCAGTCAAAAACATTTCCAGCCAAAATTCCTTTAATAATTTCAATTTGTCTATCATACCAGGATAACTTGTCCAGATCTGCAAGTCGCTTGGTCAAATTTTCTAGGGCAGCTTCATTCTCTTTCTGTTTCACCTGTAATAAACAGTATAATTATACTGAAATTATTAGGAGTTTATAGGTCAGTGATTTCGCTAACTATGAATATGCTTTCATGCATTAAGGATATTTTTTAAGTTTCCAAAGTATTGCATAGCCTCTTCAATTGGATGCTGCATGGAATATTGTTAACGTTTTAAATATTGTTGAAGCGCTTACAAGAGCGTACGGGTCAGAAAACTGGAATTCGTTTAAAATCTGTTCCCTTGTATCTAGCAAACTTCTGACTGTCAAATTTCCATAAGCACTAAAAAAGTGATGAAAAAGATTGTTTGATAAATGTTATATTTTACAAACTGGGCGGAATGTAAAATCAAAATCGTCACAATCGTGTCACGACTTACAATGGCTTCTTACGTAAAACTTTCAGCCGTTCCAGGTATTTGTTTCTGAACTGCTCGGCCCTCTCTTTAGCATCAGATAATTCTACCTGACTTGCAATTGCCTGAGATACGACCTTGAAAATATTCTTTAATTTACATCATATTCAAACAGTACATCACAATTTATCATGTGTGTCTCCCGCACACCACACACGTACCATGTGTAATCCGGATTCGAAACAATCCAACCAATATTCCCGCGCAGTTTCATCCGCTGTCAAGTCTTCAGTATCTGGATGGTATTTACTTGGACGGTACAGCAATGGAAATGGTAGAAGAGATCTATCCATTCTGTCTAATTCCAATACATCACACTAAAAACATATCGCCTCTCTCATGAAATTTACATGTTCCAACTAGAGACCAGCAAGCCTTGACGAGGCTATCTTTAAAATAGTAAACCGAGAACAGGGGAGCCATGAAACCTGGGAACAGGTGAACCGGAGAAAAGGGGAACCAGGGAACAGGGGAACAGGGGAGCGGGAGAAATGGAGAACAGGGGAACCGGCGGAACCTGGAAACAGGGGAACGGAGAAACAAGGGAATGGGAGAACCAGGGATGAGGAGCGGGGGAAGGGGAATTCCCCGGTGCCTCTGTTCCCCCGTTCTCACGCTCCCCAGTTCTCCCATTCCCCTGCTCCCCGGTTTCCTTGTTCCCCCTTTTCCCGCTCCCCAGTTCCCCCTGGTTCCCTGTTCCCCGGCTGGTTCCATGTTCCGCGGCCTTCATAACCCCCCAAACTTGCGGATATATATTCGTCAAGCAAATTGGAGCAAATTTAGATTCATTTACGGATATAGCCTACTTCCACAAAGCAAGTTGGTTTCATACATTGTCAAACAGGCAACATTACCTTAGCATCTGGTCGATGTTCCGGTGTCTTAAATGTTTTCGTCGGTAGGCCTGAGCTACCAGCATAATTTTCCCCCCAGTTCCAAAATAACGGCGAACCATTATAAGCTATACGAAACAGAACTTTATTAATTTCAAGTTATTCTTCCAGCTGCGTCTGAAGCTCATTGGTAAAGATACACACCTGCTTCTTCTTCTGCTCCTTTAATAAAAGCCCCAATGGCCCCTAAATATCCCTCGTGACGTAAAAACAACGCCTTTTGTTTCCCCTATGAGGCAGAAAATGATATTTAGATGCAAAATACGGGCAAATCTTTTGGGTAAACGCGTGCTGTCGTGCGCCCACTGTCACGATCTTACCATTAAATATATACAAACCTTGGACCAATAATTGATTGCAAATGTTATAGTATGCATTGTTATTGGGTAACCTCGAATGAAGAAGCCACCAAAAAAAATTCTCTTCAGACCATGAAGCTTTGCGTGAAGAGAAGCTAGCTGCAGAGAGAATAACGTGAATTCAGGCACGTATAAGGTCAGTCACCTATAGTCCTATACCATATCGACGGTTTCAGCCAGTGAACTGGTTTCAGCAGACTCCGGCATCACTCACCTGGCCAATATCATTGCTAATCATATGTAAAAGACTTTTCGCTATGTCCTTCTCCGAGAATCCTTTGGTTCCTATAATTTAAGTAAATCAAATTATTCTACATTACTTGGACATGCGTAGAATTGTAATATATTGCGTTGCATATTATGAAATCATTGCCTATTCACCATGCGTATGTCTATGACCTAAAAAATACACTGGATAATGCACACTGGTCTGAGAAGCAAAATCTTGATGACACCTTTTTCTATCCGATGAATAGCAATTCTGCTAAAGGACAATGCCCGCGTTCATCTGACAGAAATCACTCATTAAAATGCCTAATGAAACTAGCTAATATAGCAACTATTGACTAAACGATCCACACTTACTGTTGACGTTCGTTGCTGTCTCCGACACGGCTGACCTAACTGCCTTACCAAACGTACACGCAGTTAGATCACCTGGCAAACCTATTAATGAGTAATCTCCGCCGTAGATATCTTTTACCTAAAATCAGGAAGTATAACCAAGGAGCAGCCTGGGCACGTGTTCTAACAACTTTATATCAAATGTTATATAAAAACTGCCTAAAATAGACAAAAATACTTCCTTTATACCTAACACTCTTCGTTATGTCATACTTAGAACTGTCATGCGTCGCATATTGTATGATGTCATTGCCTTTTAACTACATTATGTCCATAGGAAGGCCCTTAGGCGAAACATCGAGAAGGGTTTTTTGTCTAATTTACCGAGTTGTTTTTCTACATTTGATAAAATTCAAAGAAATGTCGAAAAAAGTTTAATTCCTTCGAGGTAAGTGAAATTTAGAATACTTCCTAGCGCACAAGAAATATTTCCTGGTTCAAAAGGGGTTTGGTTTTGCAAGAAATCAAACCGAATGGCCATGCAAAAATACATATTTATCTGTAGGCCTAAATTAAAATTTAAATCAGGTATAGTGTTAATCGTGTTTTTGAACAACCTCCTCCAAATAGATAATTAATTTTTCGGTAAAAATTTCTTTGTTCAATGACAGAATACACTTTCTCGGAGGATATTCTCCAAAATGGATTTATGATTGGTAATGGTCGTCGAACAATAAATATAGGAGGATTCCTTTCTTTGATGCATGTACTTCTATGTTACAAAAATAGCGATATATTACCAGCATATCAACATTAGTATGTTGGCCACCATGCGCAAGATCCAGTAAATCGTCAAATCCCTAAATGAAAAGCATGTTCCGTGAAGAGAACCGCGCTTTAACTAATTGGGAAAATAAATTGGATTAGCGACTGCGTAGCAGGATTTACGTCACTAGGTTTACCGAAAGCTAACCTCATCCCCAGGGCGACGCTGCATTGCAACGTTGATGATGAATTCTTGCTGAGGCAGTATAGGCATGATTACAACTAAATTTACAGGGATAAATTTAAAAAGCTCGATCTCTTAATTTGGACAATACCTTAGCACTGGTAAGGAGGGAGCCCAGGCCCCAAAACGTTCCCCCTCCCATGCTTGTTCCTCCAACGCGAACAAAACTATCAAACGAATCAACCTACATTAGAAAAAAGACATTCTAAGAAAATTCCAATTGCGTCCCGTGGGTTCATGCAAAGAAAACTGTGATCGTAACTGTAACTATAGTAATGGAAACCAATTCTGCACATTAATCTTGTTGAGAATTTACTTGCTTCTTATTATTCCTTTTGCCCAACACTATTGAAATTACACTTTAAATTTGATCATATTTCACGAAAAATATATATCTCAAATGTATATACGAAAAGATACGGAAAACGGATGACGGATCATCTCTAGACCGTACAATGTACATCATTTTGGTCGAAACCATATATTAAAATCTCGAAATATATATTTTTCCACTGTTGATCTCATACGAATCGCTAGTGTAATATTAATTATATATCACGTCTACCTTAAGAATGCTGACTCCGGAACCAATGTTGACCAACAAATATGGAAATAAATCAGTTTCAAGCAGGTTTTTGAAAACATACTGCGGTCTTTGATCTCGATGAAATTCAAAAACCTCATTTGGAATATTATGAAGCATGAAGTTACATCCCTTTATTAAACATTGCATTTCGTCTTCTTTGTCGACTCTAGGAAAAATTTCAAACTTAATGCGAGAGCAAAATAAACGATATGAGCAACTAGTCAGAGACCTCAGCATTGCGGGTAATAAACCTCTCGAACATGTCCCTGAAAGCGTCATAAGTAAGAGCAAGCAAGAATGCACATTTATCACGGTTTTCAACATGAATAATTCACAACTACATATATAGATTATCGTATTTAAATTCAATCGTTTACGATATTTATGACAGTGTTATTTATTTTTAGCTTATCTATGAAAACTAAACTGATTTCGTATAACCGATTCCAGTGCACGTGACATATTTTATGATATTTTGAATGATTTTTCCAGTCATATTTCCTCAATTTTCCAGTGCAACATATGCACTTAAAGGTATAAAAATCAATATTGTTTTTCAAAATAAATCAAATTGTTTTTCAGATTTTTCTGTGTTTTAAAACAGGAGTAGAGTACTTTATATGTTGATTCCTGGGTTACAAAATAGAAAACTTTAGAGCCTACCTGACACCTAGCTTCTTTGTTATTTCATCTTTATACTTAAATGCACCACCACCTATAGATATACAATGTTTATAGAGGATATTAGAGGGGGGGGGGGAGATCTTAAGTAAGTAGGTAAGCAAGCAATTCTTCTCTACCATCACCAAAATCCAAATTTGCATACAGCATGAAATTTTTATGTGCACTTATGCAGTGTTTCATTTTAAAAGGACAACTTTGTTGCTACACAAAGTTGCCAGTTAATATAAGCCAATGAGCTAGCCAATTCTAAATCAATGAATAATAACCTGTTACTTTCAAAGCTTTATTCTTTTCTGTTGACCCAGGTTCACTGGACAAGTTTTGTTGAATGAAATCAAGGCATTTCTCCAGGAATTTTGTTTCAAATTTTACAAAATGTAACCTCTCCCCTGAGTCCTCTTCCTCCTTCACTTCATACAATGGAAACGATGATGCACGACACTACAAATAAAGGTACATACAACTGCCAAATGATTTGAGTTTCTCAGTTCTGATACTTAGAGGTTGATTCATAGAAATATCAGACATTGTGCTGTGATAAACTAATCAAATTATCCCAGGACAACAATCCTGGCCACAGAATGCTTGAAATATGGAATCCTAAAATAAACAAGTAACACATTTACCTTCTGGCCAAGTGTCATCTCGTCATCATCCACAGTAGCATAAGTTTGGGTTTTTGGTCTCTTTCTGGAAAATGCTGATACATAAGCAACCTTTGTCAAAGAGCCCCCTAAGGAATGAATATGGTATAACTTATAGTATATTCAGTAGAAATTAACAATCAACAAATTAATAATTTACAAATAACCCAAAATTTAGCTTAGTTTATCTGCATCTGTACTGGAGCATTTCACAGCAGGTTGGTGTTAATCTAATAAGTCCCAGTGTAAAATGAAACCAGCCCAGAGGCATATAGCCAGCTTAATTAAAATCAGTAGCTAGGGGGTCCAACTGTTAAATATACAAGAGATGTGGTGGTTGCACACCCCTTGACATCTTTCCTTCCCAATTCCCATACCTGGCCATTGTGTAATGGAGAAGCCCAGGGGCTATAGGGTTGCTGCCCTCCTGTTCCCCTGTTGAGGAATTTACTAAAATCGACAAATTATGGCTTAGCTGGTTGTCCTCGTTTGGAATGAATTCAATAAAAAGTTATTGAAATTAATAAAAATTTGTGCACAAACCAATGTCAATAGCCATTCTCTTAGCAAATTTCAGATCTCGAAATGCTTGAGGCAAATTAATGGGCAAATTGTTCTCATGATAGTCACTAGATTCTGCTTCACTTTCTTTATTTTCGTTCATTCTTTTTTCCCTCTTCTTCAGCTTGTTGAATCGTTTAATACTGTAATTCAACTTACATGAAGTAATGAGCAAAAATATGAACTAAAGAGCAGACCAATGGTCTGGCAATGGATGACCTCCAGTTTGAGAAAAAAATTCGATAAAAACGTAAAAAGAACAGCCATCATTAGTAAAAATACTGATTTTTTCCTAAAATCTATGTTTCTAAATAAATCTGCGGTTAGTTGATGAAAAGTAGTTGATGAAAAGTAGTTTGAGATTTTAAGTGATAATTGTCAATTTTTTGGGAACAGGCGCCTGCGAAATCAGCGGTATTCTGACGTGAAAACCATGGTGAAAACACGTGCAATAACGTGCAAGAGGAAGAACGTGAAAAACTGCAAATTCATCTGTGGAACTTGTCAAGCTTATTCTGCGAATATTTCTTGCTGTAAATTTGTGATCGGGTAATTGTTTTGGGTGTAACACTATGTTAACAACCATTACAGAGCCAGTAGAAGGGGTATGTCATGTTCAAAAGCAAACACAAGCGTTTCTTGCCGAAAGATGTCTTGGAAAAGGAGCCCTTTACGTTACTGAAGAGTAAGTTGTTGTAGGCCTAATTTGAATAGGTTATATAAGTTGATAACTATCCTTCAGGGGTGTTCTATAATTGTGCCATTGGGTAATATAATACTGCGTTTAATATGTCTGCGCACAGAAAAACCAATCAAAAATAAAGAGATTTATTGGAAACAATTTTTTAGCAACCTGTCATGGTGTGATGATTCAACAGGTCAAGGTTTCTCTCTAGAGTATCCTTCTATATCTCTTCATGCTGTTTCTAAGGATACTGCACATTTTCCCCATGAGTGTGTGTTTTGTATGGTTGAGGGAGTATTCAAAGGTAATGGTAATTAAAAAGTATTTTAAAGGATTTTTGAATATATATTCTCTATCTACTATGAATGTCCTGTCCAGATGTATCATCTCATGTTCGTAAATATATATGAATATGTCTCTGAACTTCATGTGGGGAAATATGATCTTATATGATCTTATAGATGAAATTGAAGGAAATGAAGATAGTGAACTTGAAGAAGATGATCCTCCTGCAGCTGAACTAAGATTTGTCCCAGATGATAAATCAACATGTACAAAATGCACCCATGTGTCAATTTGGTTTATTGTTCTAACAAGCCATGATCATGTAATGCAACCCAATTAAGAGGAAGCAATGAAAATTTTTGCCTCATGTTTTTAGTAAATGATATCTATGCTGCTATATGTGAATGTCAACTATTACATCCAGATGAACAAGAACAATTAGAAGATGAAATGGCAGGTAATGATTTTGGATGTTTTTCTACATATCTAAATCAAAACATAGATTCTTGGATTTGATTAGAGACAGACTTTCTGTTGTTCATGTACAATAATAGAGATTACATACTTGTATTAATGCATGGCAAAATAAGAAACTCCCGATTTAATTCTAGGATATCCACCAGACTATGGGGAAGAATATTACACAAGTGAAGATGCTGCTAATGCTAGCTTAACTGAAGAGGGCCAGGTTAAGTTGTGTTTCATAATAACTCGTGCTGACTTCGTAGGGGTAGCTCATGAAATACGTTGTTACCCTGGTGAAAGGAGAGGGGGTGCAACATGATGGAGTAATGCCACTTGACAATGTTTATGGACATAAGGTTGGGTTGCTCTGGGCAAATTTATTCCAGAGCAGGGGTGCACATGAATGCAAGTACTGTACGAGAACTGATAAAAAGTAGGAAGTAGTTCTACATTTCCGCGGCGAATTTTTGCTGGCTAATCACGTCACGTCATCGGGTTTCATATTTTGCGTCGCGCGAAAAATATCGCCAAGAGAAGAGGGCATATGGTACTGTATTTGCAATCGATTCATAACGTCACAGAGGAGATGGGGTGTGAAAGGGTACGTTCACACGAAACCCGAAGTTTGGGAAAGTGCTAGAATACCGTGTCTACACGATAAAATGGATAAAAACCGGTATCTCTTCACACGAGGAAACATATTTGTCGGTCCCGTGTGAACTCTGCCATAAAGTGCCAAAAAGAACGTCAGTGCTCAATTGACAGAAACTATTTTATTACCTTGCGTCAATGTAAATGGCTGTAAGCAACTAAGACTAAGTATGCTGTTTTTAACTTCTGTTACAGGCAACACTGGAGAGACTTGAAAACGTTTTTCAAATACAATCTCAACAAGACTTTGTAGACATGACGAATCGAACCAACGGGGCGGTAAATGGTCATGGTAAGGTTTTACGAGATAAAATTTCACTTTTTTAATTATACTTCACTCTCTACGGTCAAAATATGTGATATGAAATACTTAATTACACCGTGACACAACACTTCACTAACTATATCTATTGTTTCATTCCTCAGAGAAGACTGAAAATGGACAGTTTGATGACATGGATGATTAAGAACATCGATAAAACCTTAAACCTCACGGAACATGTCTGAAAACAAAGCTGCTATCTAACATGCATGACCTTGTTACTTATATACAGTAAACCGTCTTGTATCTTGGTAGATAAACTAAATAACAGAAAACAATACAGAGTGTAAATATTCATAGTCATAGAAGAACTACCGTGTCTATAATGTGATGCCAATCATTTGTTATCAAAGAACTACCTTTCTTCTGGTAAACTGGTCCAGGAGCTCACATTAGGAGGGGAATGGATGGTTTGTGGGAGGCCCGTGTTACACCCCATCTTTAATAAGCCGGTTTTCCACTAACGATATTTTTCGCGCGAAGCAGATTTATTCTTTTGTAGTTAAGCAATCTGTTCCAGATGGTTGCAGTTGAGAGCTGCAAACAAAAGTTAAATATCGCTTCGCGCGAATATTGCTAGCGGAAAACCTTTCGGTTTTGATCCGAAACATTATTTTGTGTCGAGCTTTTGAATTGAATAATATAATAAAATTCTCCAATATCCAATACTAACCCTACCCCTGTGCTTTCATCGGTTCACCGAGGTGACCGAGGCGGGTTTTGGCACCTCCCGCAGATGTTTTCCTATGGCGCCAGCGCAAATATACGCTCAGCCCCCCCCCCCTCGCTCAGAGATTTAAGATAGGAGGCTGAATAAGCATTATAGGACCATGAACCATGATAAAATTATTAGCATAAGCGTATTTTTGCGTGATCATCTAGTAAACCTGGTAAACGCTAATCATCAAGTAAGCCCTAGTCATATACGAAACGCTAGTCATCTATAAACCCCAGTAATCTAGTCTCATCTACCGTAGTAAACCCCAGTTACTGAATTACTTGGTCACTGTGCGAATTTATAATTAGGATTTCAATATATAAAGATTGGAACAGGCCTTTTAATTTACAACCACAAGACACAATTGTGGCTTGTAGAGGTCGTTTCTCGAACCCTCCAAAAAATGCTGGATGTGGAATGCCCGTAAATCATAAATTAATTATGTCGAACCATTTACTTCCGGTGTAAACATTTCCCGACATGCCTTTACGGGCATGCATTCGTAATTACTTCCGGTGCGAGGAAAAGTTTTATAAGCAAAGCCAAGAAACCACCATTGCTTGCCAGTCAGCCAGTGGTTGTTTGTATTGTTGAGTTGAACTTGACGATGAGCTGTTGGCAGGGAAGAAATGCCTCGCGAAGCCAACATACGAATAGAATAGTCAACAAAGAGATGGCGTTCTTCTGTTTTGATATATTACATGCGCATCTTAAGCGTTTAGGATCACCGCAACCGCCAAAGTTCACCAACTCAGCCTTGTAAGTATGCTTTTGTTGACAGCCATATTTCTTCGTAGTTTTATTGGACAATAGACTCTGATTCTTTGGTTATAAAAAGGGATGTATTACGGCATATGTACCAACGTATAGTCTATGTTCTATATACAAATGCTATAGCCATTTTGACATATTCGACGCAAAACGTTTCGTTATTCGTGATATCAAAACCGACATAATACCGGTAGGTTGCCATGAGATTTCAATGGGATAACACGAGTTTCTTTCCTGTGGAATGTCTTTCTTTATTTAACGGCCACATGTTACTTCTCTAACTGGAAATACACACACAATAAGCATGCGAAGACTTTTCTGTAAATAAGCGCCGTATGTATATATTTTTTTTCGATAGTTCTGAAAGGTAATATAAATATGTATTATACATTAATTAACATTTTCAACATAGAACATTTAATCAAATGACTTCATTCCTATATTGTGTAAAGAAAGGCTTTCAGCCCAAAAGATACTTGGTTGGATTTTTTGGGATATGTTTGCCAAATATGGATTTGTTGATTATAATATTCAAATTGAATTCTCCCATATGTAGCTGGTAGCCTTCACATCTCAAATAACAAGTGCTGTGGGTAATTTTCCATATATAATCTCACATATAGAATCTTAAATGAAAGTCATACTTGTATACTGTTCCTCTGTTTCAACTGTAGAAGAACACTATAATTATTACAGAAATGATTTCATTAAACCAAGAGCTGTTGTATATGGCAATTTTTTACTTGTTCTAGATCAAAGTGATTTATGCAATATTGGCATATTGCCATTAGCATTGAGTTTTATTTTCCATTGAACTAGAATTAATTAACATAATATTATATTATATGTCCATCTGCATGTATTTCAGCCAATAATGCAGCAGTTTTCTGTTGATAAGTAAAATCACCTGGTCCAATTATAAATGAAAGGAAATAGAAAAAGTTCACCTGACTTTAGGTGTAAATTATATGGGCAAGGATAGACTGCTTTAATTAAGCCTTTAACCAGGCTGATTCAGGTCAAGAAGTATTATCTTAAACCTCAACAGTATGTTACTATCAGGGTTACTATAGAAAGCAGTCAGTGTGAATATAAAACCACTCCTCATTATTGTGGGAAACATAAATCAAGTTTTAATTATGACATTGTGCATGTGTAGGATTGGGCATGAGTCGAGTTCATAGGGTATATATTTCTCAGACGTCATAATATAATTGTACATGTCTAAAAATGTTATAATATCATAAAAAAGGTTGCAAGGTGGTCTCTGTTTAGCTTTAGTGGTTTTAGAACATGCTACAGCTAAGAAAGAAATTATGTCTTCATTTATGCTGGATATTGCTTCTATTATACATCCATTTCATATACCTGCAAAAGTTTTCACTGTTAAACTCTGTAACTTATCCAGTTATCTTAATTCTCTCCTCAATCCTGACCCTGATTTATTTTATCTACAAGTTTTTAATACATGTAATTTGGTTATTTTAGCCCATTGTTTGTAACATGGAAGATTGGACATGGTCCAGATAAGAGATTGCGTGGCTGCATAGGAACATTTACTGCAATTAATTTACATGTTGGTTTAAAAGATTATACAATATCAAGGTATCACAGTTTAGATTTGCTTTTAATTTTACTGATCCTATTTGTTTCAAAGGCTAAAACTCCTGTTAATTTTGTATGTGAAATATGGTGAATGTTTTTACTGTTGTTTATTTTTTGCAGTGCATTAAAAGATAGTCGGTTTTCTCCAGTTACTCTAGAAGAATTTTGTAAATTATCATGTTCTGTATCTTTACTAACTAATTTTGAAGAGGGTGATAACTGTTTTGATTGGGAGGTAAGCATCTAGTAATAATGTCATACTATAAACAAATAATGAATGTTTATGAGTGCAATGTTAAGAGTATTTTGACGAGGTGAAAGATGAAATGTTCCATTCAACAAGGCGAAAGCCGAGCGCAATCTCAATTTAATGGGGTATTATATAAAAGAAACTCATACATATGTATACTACTTGTCATGGTAATGTCATAGTAATGTCATGGTCCAGCTAAATGAGGTCCATTGAACAGAGATTTCCAAATTCCATTTTTCGATTAAAAAATTCTTCCACTGTCACACGAAAAAATAGATTATCAGAAAGACATGATTGGCACAACTATAAATGTGCTGCTCTATTTTGCTTTTATATTACCTTTCATGTTAGCATCTTCACTCTAAGTCTACATGATCGGATTTTCACCCCTTTAGATTGGTATTCACGGTATTAGGATAGAATTCTATAACGAAAAAGGCAATAAAAGAACAGCCACGTATCTTCCAGAAGTCGCTAAGGAACAAGGTTTGTTTCACCACACAAGTCTGTTTTCGTATACCATTATCCAAATTGCTTTAATCATCCTACTTTTTGTGTAGTTCAACACAGTAGAAATTTTTTTTCTTATCTTAAAGGCTGGACCAAAGTTCAAGCGATTGATTCGTTATTGAGAAAAGGCGGCTATAAAGGAACGATAACGCCCGAAACTCGCAATTCTACTAAGTTAGTTAGGTATCGTAGTGAAAAGGTTTCTGTACATTACAATGAGTACATTGCCTCTAAACAACGATAATATTTGCAGGTAGGATTTTATCTGACTATAGATATTATGTACATATTTATCTGTTCTAGGAATTTTAAAATTTGTTGTGCATGCTAAGTGTATTTTATCAACATGATTGTTGCATGATTGTACACAGGAAGTTTAAGAAAGCAAGATGGGATTACTGCGTGTAAAATATATCTGGTACATTCAGAGAAACATCGTCATTTTTTTTGCCTCTCGGTTATAATAAATTATCCTGCATGTATAACAGAAATCCTTTCGGATATATGTCTCGCAAGAATAATAACGTTTACCGCGAACATACAATTACCTAGTTTTTGGTGAACTCCCACGAATCTCTCTTTTTTTACCTGGTTTATCTTATATAGGTACATACAGGTAGTTGCACATTTCATCATATACAGCCAATCAGCTTCGTTGGTAGAATATTCTGACCAATGGGCTTTATTTAATTGCATTAGAAGATTGCAAACAACATTAGCAAAGATATTAATGACAAATGCAGAGCATATCTTTTAAACCGATACCTCGAACATGTTTCAATAAACTCGAGTTTACAAGTCTTCAGAGTTCAGGCAATTATATGTAGGGTGTTTGCCTTCGGTATCCCAAAAAAATTTTTAGTTCGATTTACTAATTTTAAACTCTCGTGCAACAAGAACATCTCAATTCATAAATGATTTATTTTTACCACGACCACGTCCATGAATTTCCTGCAATCAATCAGCATTATTAAAGCAATGTACGCTATCTCACATTGCCCTTGGCCATTCAGCTGTGATTAATGGTAGTTTATAGTAATAATATCCTAAATAACGTCCGTTTTTATGTCTCTCACAAAATCCGCTTTAAGGAGAAATGAGAAAATTCCTGTACCGTTGGGAAGAGGTTTCTCGTTTTTGTAACAATACAATGTCAATGTTTGCTTGGGAAATATAAAATGCATGCAACTAATTGAAATGCGCGTAAAATAAAATCCTGAACCGCAAAATTTGTTCTCCGTTTTGCTTAGTCTTAGATTTTTTTTGTTGTGGGAGGCAACGTTTTTTATGCAGATACGATGTTGTGACTGAGAAATGCTCAGCTTTTCAAAAAAAAGGGAGCATTCCGTTTTGATTTCGCTACATTAATTGCTTCAGGATGTATATTATAACCAACGCTAATGCATATGTGATGTATATAGTATATGATTGTCATTAATGTGCTGATAAATTTATGCTTTTTTCTGTTGAACTAATTGTATATTAGCTACATAATTTCCTGTCGTTTTAATACACCTCTAGACAATCTAAGCATGCAACATCGTACTCAGGGTCTTCCGCGCCTTGAACACAGAAAACCCTGGGTACGAGGCTGCTAAGCAGGTAGTTTGGCTGAATTTTTTGGCTGAACTTCCGGTTTCTAGAAGCATAGTTTTGACGAGAGGCCGCAGGGCGGGTCGGCCGGGGCCTTATATTGCATTTTCAGAGCTCTGACTAGAGTTAAACAATTTTCCTACTCAAGTCACCCCCTCCAAGTAAGCTCATCTTTCGCCCTTTAAATAAAAAAATGCTCTATAATTGTGAGAAACATTGATGTTTTAAGGAGCTGTTTATAGATGATCCCGCTTAGAGGCTTAAAAGTTAAAACGATTTCAGGTATCCAGACAATAGGCTAATCGTTTTCATGAAATTTTCATACCTTAAAATCTCGGGTTACTCCGGCTCATGTAAACATCCCCTTACAAATGTATACATGCAAACAGTGACACTTCGTTGAAACTCGCTTTGATATTTGCGAAAAACTCAACAAAGCCAAAGGTAACAGCATAGGCAGCCCAGAACTATATATATTATATACTATACATAGTAGACGAACATGCATACATAATTTGCATGCTTCCTGGGCTGCCTATGGTAACAGCGGAGTGCGATGCGCAAAACCTCAAAGGCGAAGGTTTACATGTAGTAAAGTCCCACGACTTTTTGTACAAGAAGTACAAGAAGTTTTTTGTAATTCAATCTCTGTCCACTGTACAAATTCGTTTTTATTTTTTTATCAAGATTTTTATTTCATGCTACAAATTTCCAGTCGGTGACATGACAGTGGCTGTTATATTATTAGGATTTTTGTGCTCTATACAGTCAGGATATTGTTTGTGTCAATGTTCACGGGCCACCACCAACTTTAGACTATACACAAATGTAAAAGAGATTTTGATAAACGTGTGTCTGTCTTAGTATTTGTTTGAGAAGCTTCGATTACAATTTATATACTTCAGGTTCCACTTCCATTGAGTTGAGTAGAGGTTCATCTCTGGGACGGCCACTGAACTTTCGGTAGAGACATACACCAATGAATATTACCAAACCAAGAATAATGAGGGAAATGGATATAAAAACAATAACCTTTGTTTGGTCTTTTACATCTGACTCACCTACGTATAAAAGTTTTAGAATCAAGAAAATGAATGTAATTATAATAATTTGGTACCTATAGTTCTGCGACCATGTTAGAACAATATAAAATGGCCCTCATTCAGACTCTAGCGCCTGGTCTGAACGATCTATGCATCATGCATGTGCTTATGTGACAGATCATGCTGTGAACTCTAATCATGAATTCAACATAAATATAGCAATGTTAGTTTGCAAAACATGACAGTAAGAATACAAAAGTATACCTTTTGAAGGGCAATTTAGGTGGTAATCTCCCTCCATGATAATAGAATGACCCGCCAACCTCACTTTGGGCATCTCCAAAAAAAGCTAAATTTCACGAAGAGTTTAAAAGATTAGTTCATCATGCGATTATGATCACGTGAGTAAAAAAATTCTGCGCAAATATTCTTTCATAGGCTCTCTACTGAATAGGCCTTAAGATATAGATTTTATATGTTTTATATCAAAATCACTTCTCAATTTAAACATTAGCGTCAAAATACAAAAAAGTATTTTAATTTAGCTAATACCTTAACTCTTTTTGTGGTGGAAGAAAGTTTCTTAACTTGTAGTCTTAGGTTCCATTCTGAGAATTTCGCTTTTCCTTGAATTGCAAACCTATCAATTTCCTTATTATATCCCGTCAAGTTCATCTTGACATGTGTATGGTTCTGATCGAACTCCGCATCCAATAGAGAGCGGTTTGTAGCTGACTGACTTCTATTATAAATCTGAAGATTGAATATTTCCTTGCAAGGATCTCGTAGGGTGAGAATGAACGTCGCATTTAGCTTTTCTTCTAAACTATCCAGATATCGTGGACACACCAGGTTGTTTAATGTTGTGTTGTAGCATTTTTCTGTGGCAAAAAAATACGTTATTGAGATAAGTTCGATTGTCGGTTAATTTGGATTTTTCCTTTCAATGATTTGCGAACACGAGAGGTAGAATATAGAATTATAAATTTTCTCTTTTGTCACAAATTACCTCTTTTGTCACACTTTGCTGTTGTTATGATAAACTTTTGGTCCATAATTTTGATTGAGGAATGAGAAACTCTCGCATTAATATTGTGTAAAAGAGCCTATATACAGACAATTTAACAATAAATATCAGTGCTAATTAAAAGTCGGCTTATCAGTTCTAGGGATGACAACGTAGCTATAATCAATGTAAAATGCATGTACCTTAATATGCAAACGGTCTTTATATCTCCCATGATCATGGCTGTGCATTTCTACAGTCACGCCAAAGCTGGAGTTCTGTCCTTGAAAAAAGAGCAAAGCAATTGAGTACAAATATTACAGCCCCTATATAAGTTAGTTTTAACGAGTGCATGCCGTGATAATTTTGTTTTCGTTATATCCTATGCATGCATGCATGCAAAATTGACATACCTAATTTTATCGGTTTTGACTGGCCGATTGTGAAATTTTTTCCCCACACAATGCCTTTAACAGGTTCCAAAACGATAAGATTTGCAACCAAGGGTAAATGGCAGGCATACACATGCAGTATGGTAAGAAAAACATGACCATTAATTTCTCTTTTTCTGAATGAAGTATAATACCAGTGGACTGGTATATGCATATCTTTTGAAGAATCTATAATGAAAAATATTTTAAAAATTTTGGTGTGCACTCTCGACGTACTAGGGAACTTAAGATTCACCGCGGACGTGAAGTAATACTGTCCTTATTTCCATAGTAGGTCACTACAGAACTAAGAAATTATAGACTCCTTTTGGTAAACAAAGTCAGAGCCGTATGAAAAGCCGTATCGCTTAAGGACAGCGGCCCTTTATACCATATTACATAAACGTCATCCTTTATTGATATAAACGTCATCCTTGATCCTTTATCGCTTTACATAGTTTACCGGTATACATACAACATAAACAATTTATTTAATGACGCATTTCTCATCACCATGCATCATGCATTAAACTGATGTTCTTCCTGAGAAGCGTCAAAGGGATAAAACAAATTTACAAAAAAAAAAGAACTTTGAATGGAAGGTTTCTTTGAAGGTCTTTGATAATAGTATTGATCAAACTAGCTTCAAGATGCCTTTTAAAAGCACTTAAAGTAGCCGAGAATATATACGACCCTGTTAACTTAGATAAGCATGCTGAAACAAGTTCAACATCATTCTTGGGTAACATGCATGATGCATGACTCTTTATAGTATAGTTGCACGCAATAGACGTGGGCGGACCTTTGACTTCTTACCTCTCACGGCAAGAAACATTTCTTTTTCGGCGACATATTTATTCGTCGATCTTTTGATAAAACACATATACATGTCTTCATCTTCTTCAGTAAAATTGTGTATTGTAAGTCGACGGCGAGTAAACCTGAAATCATTCTTCCAAAGTGACTCATCTACACTATTCATTAACTTTTTAGTACCATTACGTGCCACTCTATACCAGTACATGTCATAGACACCTTCCACTTGACACGAGTAGGTTATACTTTCCCCGGAATTTATAGGTTTCTGTTCATTAGGGTATATTGTTGGACGCCGTTTTGCCGTATCTGAAAAAGTCAAATTGAGTAATCCTATGAATTTACATTCATGGTTCCTTTATATACCCGTCCTCGCTATGCGCATTTCATATTTTTATTATTTATGCCGGACATGGTCTTTTACTGCACTTTATGGTTGTAAATTCTATTAAACGTCTATTATTTCTATGATTTCTATTATATTATTTCTAACTGCCCTTCTATCGTATTAATGTGCCTAGGGCAAAATCACGCACTACCACGCGTATATTCAAATAAATAATCATTAATTCATTTACCAAAGTGCATGAATACCTGCAGTAATCTTTCCAACGATTTTACTCCTATTGCAGTATTGGCAAGAATATTCGCCAATGTCAGAATTATTTTCACTCAACAACGAATATATCTGTTCCTTAACTTTCAAAACACGACCATCGGGTCTCCTGAGCACACCATCCTGGTATAGTCTAACCTCAGCCGTGGAAGAATTGCCTTTGATTCGGCAGTCAATACTCCATGCTTTGCCAATGTAATTCGTGTGATTGTCCTCATTTTTTGGAGAACTTTGGACGAAATCAAAATCTAAAATATATTAATTTTTGATTCGCTGTAAATTAGGGATGCTTTCCAACACGTCTCGTTTTTTGCATGTTGCTACGTACACGCACGTAAAAGTTTAGTTTTAAAATAATTTAAATGATAGCTACTTAATATGAAATCAACGATTGAATAGATCCATAGAGTTGGATTATGTTGATGATTTAGTGTGTTTTTTCTGGCATAAAATTAATTATACAACACCTTAGAATGTTTTAAGCTTCTACGTGCGTATATATATACGTACGTGCAAAAAACGCCGCAATGGAAAGTAGCCCTTAGGTTTAGCCTATCCGGCTCGCGATGACGAATATCCGTCACTTTTCGCCAGTGTATTAAACTTTCTTAAACGCGTCACGCTTTGGTTGAAACTGGCATGCGATTCTAAAAGTATGAAAAGCAAGAATCCACAGACCATACTGGTATACAAAATAAATTTGGCCTAAAATTAACCGAAACACAGTCACCGTTAAGAGGTCGTCCGTTCACCATTTGGAAAGTAGCCCTTTGGCTTAGCCTATCCGGCTCGCGATTACGAATATCCGTCACTTTTCGCCAGGCATTAACTGAAAAACAGTCACTGTTAAGAAGTCGTCCGCTCACGATTTTAAAAATAATACCCCCCGGCAAAAATGGTGGCATACATATTTGTCGTCGTCAGGACGGCTAATCAGTAATATCAATATGACTATAAGGCAAAAAGCATGTTCACACGCAAGCGTCTCGTCCTGCGATTTTAAATGCAATTCTTATTTGGAGGAGGGGGGGGGGGGGGGGCGGTGGGCGTGTAAGATGGACTCTTTTTCGATTTACACTATATATATTAATAGAGCAGAACTGTTTCAACGATACATATATAGACAGAGTCTTAAATTGCAATTTATGTTTAAAATCAGTCAGTCTCGCTGGTTTCTTATTTACTCATCTGTCTTTTCGTTTCTAGTATACTAAAATTCGAAAAAATACAGGCAGAAGTTGGGGGTAAAAAATACAGACAGACTGTGTATGATGTTCTTCAAGTAAAAACACTTATTGTTTCGATGCCCCATAAAGGCAAACTTTAACTTTAATAACCATTTTGACTGATATTTTTTGGTCCTACGAAAAAGTATATGGGTGAGGTAGTTGGGCAAGCCCTCCCATACCTTCTGCTTCGCGGTCAATTGAATTCCTTGCCATTCAAACAGGTAACTCTGACTATTCGAATAATGAAAAGTCTTACCTGTACAATTTTGGTCTGCAAAACTGTGTTTGATTGAAGCTACCAATGCGAAAGTGAAAAAACGTAAAAGCATTCCTATTCAAGTTCATTGGCCATTTAAAACTATAAAAGCAAAAAACCACACATGCATGTAGGCCTAGGTATAATGATCTCTATACATAGATAGGAGGAGCATACAGCCAGGAATTTCTGTTCCTGTGGGGGAAGGGGCAGTAAATACACAGGCGGACTGTTGATGTACTATAAAAATTCATTTTTCTCTGGATGCCAAAGTTTTACCTTTGGAGTCATTGGTTCGACGCCATGTTGAATAAATATAAGTGCGGTTGCGGCTAGTACACTGATGGCGTAACTCCACCACTGGCCCTCCGTCCATAACAATATTGTTGCCTGATAGCCGTAAATATCCCCATAACCTATCTAATACTACTAGTCTATACCACAGTACATTTTGGAGAAAGAACCACATGGCTAGTATGGGAACAGGTAAGGCATATATATAAGTGCATCAAGGTATCGATTCATAAATTTCATATGTACCTATTGTAGAATATGCATGATTCTTGCTATTCTGACTAACTACTGGAACTATATGAGGAGGCAGAGATTGCCGTCTAGTGCTAAGTCATAACGATAAACTTGTTTAAAGATACACATTTAACGGTATCGACAAATTGATTTCTCAATTAGATTGTGTGTGATTTCTTCCGTCTATATATCAAAGCTTATTTCTCACGACTCTCAGCAGGAGACACCTGAATATATGGTTACTGAGGCTGAGAAACAGTAAACAGTTGGCAAATATATCCAGCAAATTATGTTTGATGATTGACGAAAAATCTTTCCTACGGCAGAAGACTGAATCGATATTGTCGGCTTGTGTTCAACATGGCTGATACGAAACCCGAATATATACTTCAGACTGCGCAAGGTGCATGGACGTTTAACAACATGAACGATGTTGTGAACCAGTCAGTCTGAATGAATCTTCCAATTCGTAGCAATGTTCTTTTCCCAGCATAAGAAGGCTGAGTATTCTTCACAAATGTCAATGACAATGTATGCAATCAGTACATTAAACTAAGTGCCCGCTATATGTAATTATCATCGCGATGAATTACATATCAAAAATATGTTTCGATTCGTCACGGATTTGGTTAGAAAATCTAAACATTGTAGAAGACTCATATAAATTGCAGTTTTCTTAATCTTGGAATATAAATATATAATATTAAAAATCACCTACCTATATATTATTTCCTGGACAGCTCAAAGTGCTTATTAAAGTTCGATAATTTGACAGACTGCAGTCATATACTCATATATATACTAATATAGGCATACATATGAGTGTTTACTCATTTGAAAGTCAAATGATTGGCGATGTCTTTGTTTTTGACTTTGTCCGGCTGCCCCGTAGTCACAATCTTGCGTACACTGAGACTTAAGAGTTAAGTGTCCTGAAATATTTTGTACGTCACTACAGATTCTAAATTAGGGTGGCATGACTGTAAGGTAACTAAGGTTGAACAGTTTTAAGTACTATTCGCTATACCGGCTGAATCGCAATAATATTAAGAAGATGCTACCTGCAGCAACAGTACTGAAATGGAGACATTTTATATACATATTTTAAGAGGGGGTAGAGATAAAGAAAAAAACAGTGAAAATAGAAGACAGATTTCTACACACACAAGTGAAAACAAGAACTGTGTCTAACAAGTTGGGGTAGTAACTAGTAAGTGTTATGCTGGGCTAAATGTTCTTCTTTGTTAACCGAATACCATGAAAACAAGCATTACGAAAAGCAGGCGAATGAATTTGGCAGACGGAAACATTCGGGTTCCGGAATACGTCCTTATGAGTTACGTCCTGTAAAGGAGAGTACATACGCAAGGCACGTTATTTCTTTTGGCTTCGCTGTATGTGCCATAAATTACACAAATTACCTTTTCCAGCATGCATATGTGTTCATGCCCGCAGTGTTTCTGGTGAAATGTGTATATACGGCAATAAATTATATGGTGTCGGTGCATGGAAAAGCCAAATTACATGCACTCATATATCTTGAGAGTGACTGAACTTACATCTTATGATCTTGGAGGACTTACAAATATGTATTCCCATTGGAAATTAAACTATTAACATTGACATAGGTCAGGTCAGTTATTTAAATTTGATAAACAGATAGTTTGTTAATTTTCCACGGTAACATGGATAACACGGAGTCGGAGTTCCGGAGCCGGAGTTTCGGAGTTGGAGTCCCGGAGTCAAAACTGACGGAGTCTGACGTAATAATATTGGAACACACGGAGTCACAAATTATGGAAAACACGGAGACACAAAAGGAAAACACGGAGTCAAAAGGACGGAGTCTGTTAAAAATATGGGAAACACGGAGTCAAAAATTATGGAAAACACGAAGTCTGTTAAAAATATGGAAAACACGGAGTATAAATGTTTGGAAGTCTGCCAAGCTCAGTGGTCAATGACTCAACGTGAATTATGCAAATTTGATAGCGTGTTTTAAACTGAACATGGCGTCAAATTCGCGTAACGTTTTTGCTATTCCGCAAATGGTAAATAAACGACCGAAAAACTTATCCTTAAACATAAAAAATATTCCTCAATTTAAATGGGAGGATATTGTAGACAAAAAGGAAATTGGATGTGGCAGTTTTGGTGTGATTTAAGGTGATATAAGGACACGTAATGTAGTTAGCTACAACAATAATTCTATGACTTTGAGCAAGAGGCATTATAGCTATAATCTTTTGTTATTGTGTATTCTTTCTTTTATACTATTACTGTGGTATAAAAAATTAGTATAGACTTATGAGCGACCCTTCATTTATGAATATATGTATAATTTACGTTGACTCCGTGTTTTCCAAACATTTATACTCCGCGTTTCTGGCAGACTACGTGTTTTCCACAATTTTTGACTCCGTGTTTTTCAATATTATTACGTCAGACTCCGTAATTTTGACTTCGGGACTCCGGCTCCGAAGCTCCGGCTCCGTGTTATCCATGTTGTGATGTGGGCGTGGCAACGTTGAATCAAAGCTAGATATTTATTTCAACCGCTCCTCGTGTTGCGTCCTATTGTCATCCTATTGACTGAACACTCCCGGCCTGACAGCTTAACATTGCTTCTGATTGGACGAGCATAGTAATTTGAATAATATGATTAATTCTTTCCTTTCATTTCTGATGTTCAGGCTCAGAAGAAGAGAATTAATCATATTATTTAAATTACTATGAACGTCCAATCAAAAGCGTTGTTGAGCTGTCAGGTCGGGAGTGTTCATCCAATAGGATGACTTTATTTTGCAGACACGAGGAGCGGGTGAAATGAATATGTGCTTTTGATTCCAGTTTGAGACATCATTTCAACGCTGGTCTTCGAAGAATAAAGATGAGTCTTCTCCACGCCAAGAAAATTTCAATAGAAATTGCTATCAGATTGCTATCGTCTTCAGCAGAGGAGAAGTTTAATAGAAGTTTACTATCTCTGACAGACCGTCGTTGGTGTAATACCAGGTAATATGCCTTTCCCTTTGCGTGTTTTATCAGCTTGTTTCATCGTGAGCTTTTGAGCCGAGGTTCCACGTGTCTTTATAGTTCACGTCTTGTAATACCTCTCTCGTAGTGTTCCTGTTGTGTTCCGCTTTAATTACAAACTTGTATAACACTAACGTTGCTTTTATTCTTTTCATGCAGAATTTTGACGAATTAAAGCGAAATTAAACGATAAAATTTGTGAACAAGAGATTGACTACCGCTGAATGGCGGCTGAACTGGCTCAAGATAACTCGCCTTTGAAGAGAAAGCACGTCTAGGCCTTTTCTTGGGACTTGTTGATTATATGAGAAAGGTAATATACGCTAAATCTTGTGTAAGCCGCTAACCTTTGCTCCAATTGCAAGCAATTACCTTTGAATTGACTTCTAAAGACCAAACCAGTTAACTAACATTGCCTTTTGTTCTTCCAGGTGGAGTTTAAAAGCTAAAACCAAACCGAATATAGAAATGAGCTGGAAAAGAAAACTCATTGCTGAAATTCCCCGAGATGACTCGCATTTCAGGAGACAGCAAGTTCAAAGCTGCTCTTCAACACTTGTTGCTGAAATGAACAGGTAATTTTGGGTCCATTTTATTCAAAATAAGATGGGAAAACTTAAAACGCTTGATCAGGCATCATGCGTTCTCTCAACTGAATAATCACCGCAAGTTTTCTCCCGATATTTGAGCCTCCTTCATCGAAGGTAAATCCTTGAAATCGCTGTCTATAACAAGCATTCCTTTGGTTTTATTGCAGGTAGCGATTGAGCGGGTCAAGCCATTTGAAACGACGACAAAACCTGTTCATAATAAAACGTGAGTGTTAAGCAATTAAACATTTTTAGATAAACCGAACAATGGGAGTTTATGCATGATTCAGGTCAAGAACGACAACGGCCGCATGATAATTTGATATGAATAATGGCAATTAAGGAAATACTTGAAATCCCAGAAGGGTTTTATAGATGTTGTTTTCAATCCCGATTTTACGCGTGTTTCTTCTCAATAAAAAATCACGTGAAAAAATGTAGTTTGCTTATTTCTTTAATCTTATTTCAGGTTGATGGGCTCTGTTGAGCTATTACCGACAAGCCAAATCGACGGCAAAATCTACGTCTAAAGTAGGCAATCTCGACGGCAAATCTACGCCTAATGTAGGCAATCTCGACGGCAAATCTACGCCTAATGTAGGCAACTTCGACGGCAAATCTACGCCTAATGTAGGCAACCTCGACGGCAAATCTACGCCTAATGTAGGCAACCTCGACGCCATAACTACGCCTAATGTAGGCAACTTCGACGGCAAATCTACGCCTAATGTAGGCAACCTCGACGGCAAATCTACGCCTAATGTAGGCCAACTCGACGGCAAATCTACGCCTAATGTAGGCAACCTCGACGGCAAATCTACGCCTAATGTAGGCAACCTCGACGGCACTCTACGCCTAATGTAGGCAACCTCGACGGCACTCTACGCCTAATGTAGGCAACCTCGACGGCACTCTACGCCTAATGTAGGCAACCTCGACGGCACTCTACGCCTAATGTAGGCAATCTCGACGGCACTCTACGCCTAATGTAGGCAACTTCGACGGCACTCTACGCCTAATGTAGGCAATCTCGACGGCACTCTACGATCGCCTAATGTAGGCAACCTCGACGGCACTCTACGCCTAATGTAGGCCAACTCGACGCCTAATATACGCCAAAACTACGCCAAATCGACGCCAAAAAGCAACGTTCAGCGATGCCCGGGCATCGTTACAGGTTAGAGTAGCCTGGTGGTCAAAAAATGTGCATGCAGGGTTAGTCTGTGCATGATTAACTTAACGAAGTTAACTAATTTAGTTAACGAACTTAAGTTAAATAAAGTTTTAAATTCAGTTAACTAAGTTCTGGCCACCAGGAACATAGCTAATGCATGATGCATGTGAGCAAATGTTTCTTAAATTCGGTTAAATATTTTAATCGGTTTTGCGCTTAGGACTGCTCGCTTGTGCTTAGGGCTGCGCTAAGGTTTAGGTTGATAATTTGTCTGTTAAAACTGAAAACATATCACAACTGTTATATATACCCATATTTCACCTAAGAAATGGCTAAAAAGCCATGCACATGCACTAACACAAACCATAGCCACAAATGGCAGACATAATCCCATAGGTTCTTTCCTCTTTCTCTTGTCCTGATTGAAATCATCTTCGGCTCTTGAAATCCGGTCAATTGCGGCTTTCGGAATTAACATTGTAAAATGATAACTATGGGGTCACTATTCGGTCTGGTTGTAAAATTATTTGTATGTAAATACGTTTTTGATTTCTCAGCAAACATTGTAAATATACGATTATATCTTGCCTTACTATATTTTGTAATTGAACATATATTGTGTATGTATATATATTAATGAAAAAACATGATTTATATCAAAATATGAACAGTACAAAACATCATGCACTATACCTCATGATCTTGTAGCTGCACATAAAATAGACACGCACACGAGTAAATACATTGATGCAAACCATGGCCTATATAATGGCTTCTAGTTTATCTCTCTTATCTCTTGCATTCACTTAAGGCTACAGTTAATATTCAAGCCAGAAACATTGATTTTACGGCATGTCTTATACTGTCTTGCTATTCTGAAATACATGAATTTATGCAATCAAAGTTAACACAAAAATTCTCTAAATTAATGAATTTGAATTTACTTGAAGAAAATAAGGAATAGGTGGGGGGGTGCATGCTGTTTTCTTAAAACAATATATATGCCTTATTTCTACTATAGTTAGAAACCAATTACGAGACAAACATTGGCAGTGGCATTGTAACTTTATTATTTTTCCAAGGTCTCTGTGAGATTTCCAATCATTTAGCTTCGTCGAGCAGTGCTTATGGAAAGTAAGGCGCCACTTTTTGTCTGTACTGTTTGACTTTGCTATGTGGTTCGAAGTGTTAGCAGGTATGTTGGGATATCTAATAACGTTGCAGTGTTATTTTCATTGCTGTTTCTATAAGAGCAGCTTGCTTTGGCTATATGCCTTAGCTCTAAAAGTGTTTAAACCAGATTTTCAAAGAAAAAAATGTACTCCTGCAGCTGTTTTTATAAGAGCAGCTTGCTTTGGCTATATATGCCTTGGCTTTGAAAGTATTAGTCCAGTTTCTCTGGAAAAAAAATCATGGTGCTGTTTCTATAAGGGCGGCTTGCTTTGGGAATATCCCTTGCATGGTTCAAAAAATGTTGACTGAATTTTTTCAAAAAAAAATATTTACACTTGATGCTGCACTTGGTTTCGACAGTTTGTTGCTTTGGCTATATGCCTCAGCCTCAAGCCAATTTCTTGTGGTATTTTTTTCCAAACCTTGTTTCTATACATGTATACAATGGCAGCATGCTCTGGCTATATGCCTCAGCTCTGAAATGTGCAATGACGTTTTCAAGGACAATTGTGTATGCCTTCATGCTGTTTCTATAAGGGCTCATGAAATATCTTCAAGTTAACTCGATCCTTGCAATACGTGTGAACAGTTCGACAGCTTAAAACGAAACTGTTAGGAACACTGCCTATGATTTGTCAGCAGAATAATTTTAGTTTTTGGACGAACGTAAATAAGTGCTCTGAACTCAGGCATTTTTGTGTATATTAATATATTAGGTCCTCGTTCTCATTTAAGCTTTATTCAGTACTCTACCATAGTTAGTGAGTTAAGTCTATAAAGAGCAAAAAACACACGATGACTTAGAAACACTTAGCTACTTACATGAATGCATGTTTTACCGATCAGTCTTAGCATTAAGAAACGCAACAGCACACTGTAAAAAGCCACACATGCACAATTTATAACAATTTATACAAATTTAAATGTCATGATCTTAAACGCACCTACTTTGTAACCGGTTTTATAGATATAATAGTTTAATGTCTTCGTATATTAGTGATGTACTATATGTAAAGAAAACACACACGCTTTGTAATACATGCTTAGTGAAGTATTAATAAAAATAGGACCAAAATTGTCCGTCTCCTCTCTCTTGATTTCAATATCTTTAACACACACACACTTTGTTGTAATACATGACTTTGTTTTAATAAAATCTCAAACTTGTGTATTTTGTGTTTTATTTCCGGTGTTCGGTGAGGGTTTTTCTCCAGGCACTCTGGTTTCCCTCGTAAAAAAACAGTGTCCGTGTGTTCGGAACCGTGTTTACGGTTGGTTTTCCATACAAAAATTGAACTTTTCTCGAGTAAAATTGCATGAAAGCTAAACATTTCTGTTGACAATTTATATCCGCATAATTGGTATGTCTCGTTATACTCGATAAAAAGTTTAGAATATTTTCGCAACCCAGTAGACTTTAATGTCTGACGTAAAACGCCCTCAGAATAGAAAACATAATGGTCTAACGGAAGCTGACTTGTACACACGGTTACTGGGTTCAATTCCCGGAACACTGTTCCTTGTCGCGATGAATTTCATGTTCTTCAATTAAAGCATGCAAAGCTTCGTCTTTAGACTATAATTTCAATTGACGAGTTGTTGATGAGCACTTTAATGATTTTGAAAGACGTGATACAGCCAAATTGAAATGCAATACTTCCTCATTCTGGTGCTTATAAAAGAACGACCACATTCGCCAGATACGTGACTTTAAACGTGTGATATGTGTTCTTCAAGACTTCAAGATGTTCTCTTAATCACCACCTCATCCGTATCATTTGGCTAATTCTCAAGATTAAGACGAGATAGTTGAATATCAATGAGATCGAAGAGACAATCCGGCTACAAAGTGATGCTGAAGATTCCTTAGCGACAAAATGATGCGAGCTTGTTAAATCCTTACCTTACCTCCTGAACCTACTGTGAAGGGGCTTCCTTCTAGAGCCAGCGCCTGATGCACTGAGATTACATTTTAACTTTATTAAATAAATATTCTTTTTAGTCCGTTTTGTCAGATCAAATTTTGTCTTTATTTATTTTGTCAACTATGACCGCAGGAAAACTGGACGGCAATTGTGATTATTTAAACTGATATTTGTACTGGTATATATGGCATCTTATTTTCTTATGTTCACGATCTCTGTTGCTGCCATGCTAGTCTTCCTGGACGAAATCTGTCATGCAGCCCAAGTCAATTCTGAAGAGTTTAGGATATGTCTGGATATCATGGTACAATAACACAGACCTTTCAACAGAACATGCAGTGTTTTATTAGTGTAAGATAAGTTCGAGACGTGAGAAGTGTTTGTGGTCATAGTATAAGAGTGTCGTAAACTCGCCTCCAAATCAGTATTTTGAACACTCACAATTGCAAATAATGAGGATTAATGAGGATTTTTCTGAACTATATGACAGAGCTTTCTGACAATTTTAAGATGTGCGATCATTATTTATCAATACTTCAGTATTCGAAGTTATTCTTTTCTAATAGTTTAAGATTCGTCCGTCTCATCTTTTAGGTAATGAAGTAATTGAACAGAATAAATTCGTACTTCGTTACATCTCTTTTAATACCTCAGTCATTCAATGTTTGTTTTTAGGTAACATGGATAACACGGAGTCGGAGTTCCGGAGTCACAAATTATGAAATATGTCAATTACGGAGTCTGACGTAATAATATTGGAAAACACGGAGTCACAAATTATGGAAAACACGGAGTCTGTTAAAAATATGAAAAACACGGAGTATAAGTGTTTGGAAGTCTGCGCATGCCAAGCTCAGTGGTCAATGACTCAACGTGAATTATGCAAATTTGATAGCGTGTTTTAAACTGAACATGGCGTCAAATTCGCGTAACGTTTTTGCTATTCCGCAAATGGTAAATAAACGACCGAAAAACTTATCCTTAAACATAAAAAATATTCCTCAATTTAAATGGGAGGATATTGTAGACAAAGAGGAAATTGGATGTGGCAGTTTTGGTGTGATTTAAGGTGATATAAGGACACGTAATGTAGTTAGCTACAACAATAATTCTATGACTTTGAGCAAGAGGCATTATAGCTATAATTTTTTGTTATCGTGTATTCTTGCTTTTATACTATTACTGCGGTATAAAAAATTAGTATATAAACTTATGAGCGATCCTTCATTTATGAATATATGTATAATTTACGTTGACTCCGTGTATTCCAAACATTTATACTCCGTGTTTTCCATGTTTTTGGCGCCCCTACGTGTTTTCCATAATTTGTGACCCCGTGTTTTCCAATATCATTACGTCAAACTCCGTAATTTTGACTCCGGGACTCCGGCTCCGAAACTCCAGCTCCGGAACTCCGACTACGTGTTATCCACCACTCGAATAACCGGCCCCTGGTTAATTATTACACCCGATTCCGTGAATATGTGCAAGACGACTGAAGACTCACTGAGGCTAATCGGCTTGCCGTGCATGTCAGCAGCATGTGCATAAACTAAAGTAAATATATAGTAATAATTTTATTTTATACACACAGATCTACATTTTCTGAGATTTTGGGAAACCGCGTAATTTATTGCTGGTGAACATGTACATGGCAGCTTGGATCTTGAACTTTACATTGTATTGTATATATATTCAGTGTTCGGTCGTAAAAAGTGTGTTTTGTGACGAATGGTCGTACGGGAATACCAAAAGGTGGAAAGAGTTGTGGAAAGACTGTGGGGGAAAGCATCAAAGTCCTGTCAATATCATAGATGCTGAAGCAGTAACTTTGAGAAAGAGAATTGCACTCACTTTTAACAATTTTAGTACATCGCTAAGTGCTAGTTTGGTAAATAATGGCAAGACTGCAAAACTTACACTGCTTTCTAAAAGCAAATTGTCAGTGTCTGGCAACAGATTGTATATAAAAAGTTTGTATACACTAGATGAAGTACACTTTCACTGGAACGATAATCTACACTCTGGCTCAGAACACAAAATAGATGGCAAAAGTTCATCTTTAGAAGTACATATGGTTCATTATAAAATGGATTATGCAAGTTTTAAAACTGCTAGAACCAAACCTGACGGTGTTTTAGTTTTATCCATATTAGTTGATGTTTCAACAAATGTTTCCCAAAACTCATTCTGGAAGGAAATTACAGATGGTGTAACAATGGTGATGGATCCAGGTTCAAAAACACAACTTCAAAATGTCAGGTTTAGTGACTTTTTGCCTCGTAATACAGATGATTTTTACTTCTACAAAGGTTCTTTCACTACACCACCTTGTTTTGAGACTGTCACATGGATTTTGTTTAAAGAAAAACTTCTAATTCCAGAGGAGTATCTACAGAAATTTTGGGATTTAAAAACAAATGGTAGTGCTGGTCAGGAGTTGCTTACTTCAAATATCAGACCAGTTAGGCCTTTAAACTCAAGGACAGTTCTGAAGACATTTCAATGTGAGTATAATGGTATATTTTAAAAGTAATATTGATGAAATATATTATATAATACCCCATTTTAAATTTAGATTTTAATTTAATACAGTTTATTAAATTGGTTGGTAATGATCATGTGATATTGAATAGAATTAAGTCCCATTTCCCAAGAGTGCAATACCTGGGTGTCATTCTTATCAATGTAATGTTAACATCATTTTAAATTAGCAAAATTTAGCAAACACATTGTGATTTCTAAGATGTTTTGCCATGGTATGATATGGTATGTGTGATATTATATATGTGCCCATGTATGATTGTGCTTATGCTAATATATTGTATATAAATACAATATTGTTATGATTTTGAATATGTTGTTTTCTATTTTGTATCAGCCCATGCTGGTGAGGATGAAAAGAAACATGTGTATGAGAAAGTTGTTAATGGCGTGGAAGTGATTGGTATTCTACAATTTTACCAGTGCAATGTCCCATTTTCAGTCAGTCTGTCTGTCATAATTCCTTCATCAGATGTTTCATGGAGAAGTGAGAATATCACATTGGATATACAATGGCCAGGACTTCTGCTTGGTATGAACTCTTAAAATTGCAGTCTTTATGAAATCATTTTATTGTTGGGGGACAGCTAGTTTAAGAAAACAAATCTGACCAATAATTTGTAGGTGAAACAGAAGTCTTCCAGTTTTTCTCATACCTGTTTCCTAATACCCTAGGGGAGAGCTTCCAATTTCTTTCTAAACATTCCAACCTCTCTGAACATTTGAGCCAGCATCTTGTGTGACACAGATTTTCAAAAATGCAAGTCTACAGTATTTAACAGTTATTCTGCGAACTTGAGTCGTATATGAGCTGATAGCCGATGAGGCGTGTATCGCCAAGTTGGCTATCGGCCATATACGACGAGAGTGAGCAGAATACCTGTTTTATTAAATACACAAACTTTGTTGCCCTTTCGGTGCATTTTGTTGTGCTATTATCAACTAAAGCTTGGATTTCTATTTCACTCAACTCCCCAAATCTTTCAGCCATTTTGTTTACTTTCTCTACTAGACAGGTATGAGCTAATATCTGCCTAGTAGCCAACCAATGAAATTGCAGCATACCTCATATCTGGCACTTGTGTATATAATAATAAATATTAGCCGGCCCTGTTGAAATAATTAATAATAATGTGATTTCGTTTATATTTTACAAAAATATTTGGTTTGTTTTTTCAATCTACTGCATTTGTTTAAATTCTGTCAAAATGAACTATTTTCACATTTTATCATTACAGATGCTGCAAAATCATATAGGATTACTCTTGAAATGCACGATCATCCAGAAGGCAAATATAGGAATAATGTACACCTGGATGTAAGTGATACCAATTATCTTGTTAATTAATAATGGGCCTGATTCATGGCTTTAAATTGCATTGAGCATCAAACCCTGTTTGGCAAAATATGTATGCTAATCAACCCTAATTCCTTTACTTACACCTTATCCCCTTCAAAAAGGAGAGGATTTGTAAACCATGTCCCATTAATCCTGGACTGTTTTTTTTTTTAATTTAAGGTACAGTTGAATGGTGTTAAAATAATTAATAGCTACTATCACTTGAGCAAAAGTTGCTTGCAAGGTCTGTTTATCTTTTCCATTTGTTTTATGCCAAGCGATTATAATTGAACTATAATCAAAATAAGAGTTTGAAAAGGTCAGTTTTTCTCACAGTTTTACAGTTTTAGCCATTAATTTTATGTAATTCCAGACTCCTGCTCCTGGGCACCCGTTGGAAAGAGTAAGACTTGTACTCGCCGATTAATTGATACGGATGAAGAGTTACAATTTACATTAACCAGGCAGCAACAATGTCGCAATGTATATAGTATTACAATAAAAAAATATGATAGCGTCGTCTTTAAGACGGAGATGAAACCAAAAACCCGAGTGAAAGTCAAACCACACGCAGTTGACCAACGACTGAACGAGATTTTTAGTCGATGGTATTTTATACTTGATGAAGCTTATGCCAATGATAGCACCATTCACGCAATGGTAAGCTCAATCGTCGTTACTAGTAGATCATTCATAAACTAAGCTTGTCTAGATAATGATTTTCGAAATTGTTGGTTTTTAATATATTGTGTATATATTGACAGCTTTCTGTAGATCTTCCAAATTCAATTCTCAGCCGTAAAGGAATTTTGGTGGAAGGTGTATATCAGAATGGGGCAAACTGCGAGTCTGGTAAGTTATGCAAGTTCACATAGCATATAGCTACCATATGACGCCGGATAACAGTTTAACCTAACATGTTACCTATGGTTTGGACATGAATTCTACTCATACTGTATAGTGTGCTCGTTTAAGAACATTAAGCTAGCTACGTATCTGTATAGATTAAATGTCTGGTTATCCATCCAGCTAAATCTGCACTCAATCCTGGTTTCAGTCACATGCACTTCTTTGTTTTTGGGCTCCTTTATGGAGTCACAGTCCTCCCATATACAGATCAATATTTATATAATAACGTAAAGAATTCAAGCAATTTCATTGGTCGAGAGCCATGATCTATAAGAGGACAGACGCACGGAATGACGTCACAGCAATTTTCTTGTTTTTAAATTGCAAACAAATAATTCAATTAATTTTGGATTTTTTTCAGTTTTATTATATAAAACAAATAGATTACAATGAACCGTTGTCTGTTCAGTTATAGATACACGGTATGACGTCATATGTGATAAGAACAAAAGAGTGCCCCGGCGGCTCGTGGCCACTTTTTTTGTTCTTATCACATATGACGTCATACCGTGTATCTATAACTGAACAGACAACGGTTCATTGTAATCTATTTGTTAAATAGAACATTATTGTACGGGATGCTAGGCCCGATTAAACGTCAACTCATTCAATAAGGTTTTTATTATTTCATTCGCATTTGCCATTTTGGCTTTCGTCTTTCCGTCTCAAAACTGGGATAGTCGGTTAAAAAAGGTGTTTACAATATAGTCAATACGGTTATTCGCAGACTACGCGTTATCATGACATTTTCAGTTTATAAAATTCACCACCTACTTAATCTCTTTTTACGACCAATGGCTAAGATCTCGCGTTCGCGAACAACTTCGCTGGACTAAATAGTCTCCATGTTTAATCAGCTCTTTTTTTGACCATCATATCAGTCATGACAATAAAATCATGACATAAAGTGCTACCTTCGCACTATAATACTTACGGGAACAACTACATAGACGATGAAAACTTGTTGTGACTTAAATGATGGGCATGGACCCAAAAGAACTTTGATAAAGATTTACGAAGAAGATGGAGATATTTAAATTTTACATCAAATCATGGAAAGCAACCAGCCATTAAAAAGAGCTAAAAACGATTAAGAATAATATATTTTTTGGAAAAAAATTAGCCTTCTCTATAGCATTGCGATAGCATGCATTCTGGTTAGTGTGCCTCCGCCATCTTTGTTGTCAGCAGTATACCCAGTTAGGAGGAATTTTTTCATGCATGAGTTAAAACAACTGTTGTTTTTATTTCCACATCTAGGCACACCAAGTCATATAAAGTTAATTGTTGGAATTGCAGTTGGCTTGTTCATAATCATTGCTGTTATCGTTCTTACACTTTATTTGGCGTTCAAAAATATTATAAAGAGTTCGAAACCAAACATGTTAGTTCAAGAGGATGAACTGGATACTGCTGTTTAAATAGTCAAACTTACATAAACTATTTTCTCGACGCGACGTTGTTTGAATACATTTGTGGGGGTTTTTCTGTGCTAAAATGGTCTTGGTTTACGATACAGACTCTAGCCTGTAGAATGTTCGAAAAGATGACTTAGAAATGATACTATAGTCGTAATGCATGTGTTTGTAAATTGCAGAAGCAGACGTTTCGCGAAGGTTTATATACATATATATTCTATATTTATTAAGATATGATTGCATTGAATGGTCATAGTTAAAACGTCAAACAATTCCAAGTTTGTATGCATTAGAAATTATTTATATTTCTTTCTTTCTATGCACATTTAAGAGTATAGCAAAAATCCCTCAGTGCGAAATGTTTTTCTGTTTTGTTCAAAATTACAGGAGCTTATATAGACATCATAATGGTCGTTTTGTCAAAAAAATATTAGGTCATTATAGCCAAACGTTTTGTCCCCCTGAAAGACAGACTTCCACATATTATTTAGAGAGAAGTCGATTTTGATTTTTTTTTTTCAGATTATTTTTACGATTTTTTACGAGTCATACTCTCACACTCTTATTGCGGAAAGCTTGAAACTTTGCAGCACTGTTCAGGCTGGTGGGGGGTGGGGTGGGGTGGGTTAATGGTGATGTGTAACCATTTGTTTACCAATAAAGCTAAAGTAAAGAATGCATGTATGATAGTGAACGCCGTTATGCTTAAAGTGTCTTTGAAACGAAATTTCAGCCAATTAAGGGTATTTAAAAATTTGTTTAAAATATAAATATTATTTGAATTATTTATAATTCAAGTGCCAAGAGGTTGTCGAAAGCGCAGTAAAGACATCAAGTTGACATGCTTTTGACTTTCAATATATTTAACCAAATCTCATTCCAGTGGTCTGGAACGCCTGGTAAACACCAGTGTTTGCAATCCGTAGACCCTGCTGTTTCGGTTTGACTCGATGGATGCGCATCTTGACGGTAGCTGCTCATTTCAGTGATGTCAAATAACGTAATGTTAGATGACGTATCGGCAATACAGTCTATGACTGCTTGTTCAATAAACAAAGAAACAGCGTTGGCTAAGGAATGACTGCTTGGAGTCGAACGTCTGCATTGTCCGCCAGTATTCCATTCGCCTCCAAAGAAATGGCTCACCTGAAATTTAGGAAAGACAATCGTTAAATTTAGGGCAGACAAAAATTCAAACAGCGATATTGCTAGCTGTTTCGCAATAGGTTGTTTGAAGACAATATGTTTCAAAATGAATATGTTTGAGATCACCTTATTATAGAGATTACAGAAACGAATTTTAGTGTCAAAGGAACGTTCATTATTTGTCTTATTGCATATGTCATGCGATAACGCATAATTATGCCTATGTGTGGCCATGCAGGGGTACATGCAGTTAGGGTAACTGAACCAGTGAACAAAAACATTGTCACGATATGCTTTTCTTATATACGTTTTGACGCATGCCTGGAAAACGATTATCCTGCATGGCTGGGATAGAATTACACGATAGTATTTCATAATCGTTGCAGCTAGCGGTATCCAGTAATAAATGAAACGATCCCGTCTCCAGGTGAGTTCTTGCTTGGTGAGTGTACGCTCGAGTACAGTAAAAATAGCGGACGTATACTAATATAAACCTTATAATACCTCAGAACACCTCCAGAATAGTTGTTTTCCCTGAAACTCGGCTCTTGCTAAATGGTTCATCACTGTGTTTAGTGCTGTATGGAAAATGTATTGTGATTTTGTGTACGTGCTATCCTCTCCGGAACTGGCTTGTCTCATTTGCAGATCATGTTCCCACCATCCTCCAGTAGCGAACATTAAAATGTCAAATTCACTTGCACGAGTTGCCCAGGTTGGATCAACGGTCATTATGTCTAAACAAGGTGCTTTTGCTAATTTCACTGTCGTATCGCTGTCACAATCTTGTCTTGCCTGTCTTACCAGGTAGTTTGACTTTATGAATTCGATAATGACATTAAATTCCGGATATCTGAAAGAAAGTTAGCATACATAGCTTGAACATTGAGTTCTATGCATGATGCGTCCATCTTTAAGGATATATACTAAACCATTTTCAGAAGCTACATTGCGAATACCTATATCTGTACATGTGTTCTTCGACCATTTCCTTTTTAAACGGTACATAAAGCAAACACGCCAGAGATTGGAACATATTTCTTGTCAAAGAATCTCCGATGAATGCGATTTTCTTGTTTTGTACTAGAGTCAAAAATCGTCTTCTCGTGAATGATATCCTGCTAGCCTCACAGTTCTCGTCATTTAAAACCCATCGATAACCAAGGTGAGTAACATTTACTTGATTTCTTTTGCAGTTTTGTCTATGATCTACCAAACAATGCCGATATCCAGCCAGAGCACCTTCACCATAAACTATATTTTTATCTCTCACCCACCTGCCGGACGTCCAGTCACAGTTACGATCAACCTCTGAAATGTAAAAACTACTTAAAGTTCCCTGATGTAATATGTGGGGAGAGGCTTAGACGCACTAGAGTAAATCAATTAAAACGCTAAGGATTCAGTGATTTATCACATTAAAGCTATTGGAGAGGCATTCTCTCGAAAACATTAAGGCCCGTTTCAGACGTCGAACTTTTCATCTGTCGAACCTAATGTTCATGAACTAAACGGTCTTTGTTTAAGTTCATTTGCATTCGATTCGGCAAATGAAAAGTTCGACGTTTGAAACAGCCCTTTAGATAAAGCAGGAATTTCCGATCACAAATGATCACCCATCACAATTGATCACCAATCACAAATGATAACTTGTTTAGCAGGTCAGATCAAAATAGTTTTTGATTAAAGGGTCTGTTACACGATGCAGTTTTTCTTGCAAGGTTCAACGTAATTCTATTTTACAGATGTAAATTAGTGAAGAATTGCCCGTATACAAACGAAATGTGTACAAAATGTGTACGAAACGTCGAGGGAGTGTAATAAACAAATCTCTCAAAAGTAAATTATCTTGCATTGCAAATTTTGCATCGTGTAACAAGGCCTTGACTTGAATTCCTAACTTTTTTGCACATACCTAATTGTCTTCTTAATCTTTTCAATGAACTTCTCAAGGCAGCAGACAGTATACCAATGGCTTCTTTCTGCTGCTCTTCCACACTACGAGGTATTCCTTCCCCTGAAAAAAACTTAGTCAAGGGCGTGGCTGGAGATGATGTAAGGGGCTCTAGAAATGCGAAAACAAGCATTAATTTTCTTTCCAAAGCACGATGTGCATGGTGTTCGGTACCCTGGACTTAGATGACTCGTACTAAAACAACTTAATAGAATAATAGGACTGAAAATGTTTTTACCTGGACAAAGAATACTCAGGTACGAGATGTTTCCGTAAAGAATAACACATTTTGCATCCGTTGAAAAACGTTTTTGTTTCGCAACAATGATGCGACGGATAAATATGCAAAACTGCGTGGAAACACAATTTTTTTTACTTGCAACGACTGCACTGCCACTGGGTTATATAGTTTAAAGATAAATGTCTGGCAAGGGCGGAGATATAAAATACATGACTTATTGCTCCGGTAAAAACGTTGAAATTTGTGTATTTTTGTTGTTTTTATTTTTTTTATTGCGTATATTCGTCGTCATGAATGTGATATATCACTGTTTAAAATTGTCGTCGAAGCACGTGTTAACACGTCGTCTATTTGAACATAAAAGCGATCAAGCAACACTAACATGAACCGTCCAGCCATGGCATATATATACACTGGCGGTCAAAAAGAACTGCTCAAAACAAGTTAAAGTGCTCTCAAATGAACGTAACTGTCCCTCTAACAATATATACGAGTAGATTACATGCTAAGCTATATGAAATACGAACATTTTGTTGACCCTCCTTTGGCCTTATAATTGATGACGGCCTTACACCGGCGTGGCATACTTTTTGTTAAGGTGGTAATCGTGAGCGGTCAAAAGAAATTCATCCTATGGGCAGTCTTTACAGCAACCTATAAATCATGGACGCTTTATGAATTAATTCCTTTCTTGCACTATTCCATTTACATTGTCCCACAGATTTTCAATAGGGTTAAGGTATTTTGACTGTGCAGGCCAATCCATTTCTGTCACTCCCTCTTCCTGAAACCATTGTTTGACTATATCTTGGAAGTGTGGCAGGTTGCATTACATTACTGAAATACTGCTTGGAATAAGAGAACTATCAAAAATGCCTATGAAGCTTTCTCCTATATTCGCTTCTTCTTTATGAATTTGTATCTAAACAGTTCTTTTTGACCTCTAATGTACAATAAAAGATTGATTGTTACGATTCTTGTTACATACGACGATAGCATTATTTGAGCAGTTCTTTTTGCCCGCCAGTGTACATTAGTCCGAGAATAGTCAACACACATTACATGCTATTAAATGTTATATCCTATATATGCTAATAAATGTGAAGAAACGTTTTAATATAAACAAGAATTCTAAAGTTGTATGAAGTGAAATTCACGTGTAAACAAACGGTTTGTTTACATTTTGAACTTCTATATATTTAAACTGAAAATATGCATGGATGCGCTGCCTGATTATCCAACTGCATTAGGTTAGCTAAAGTTCCTATACGCTTCTAAATGAATATGAACTAGTGTTTTTGGTCAGAATCATGGCAATTGCTATTGGCAAGAGTGGTACGCTTGCCCGAGTGATGAAGCAGGCGTTTTTTTTAGTTTGATTCGGGAATATATTGTCTTTATTGATTTCGTTTTTGTTGTTAAAAACGACTTATATACCTCGAAATAATGATCGGGAATTTCTTTTTACCCGTGCAGACTTCAGAATATGTTTCTTCACAAGAATCACTAGTAAAGTCGAGACGAATAGAAAAATACAACCCTACAAAGAAATATAAAGCAAACATGACATTTAAAGACTGTACTTATGGCTATATGCTCTGTAAAAAGACTGTATACGTATAGATTGTTTGATGTCAATTTTCGTGCACGGTCGATATGGTTGTACGTATTATAGTAATACAATTCACCTTATGGGTCTTGTTGATCTTCATCGTCTATGGAATTAATTTGGTTTTATTTAACATGATAGCACTCCATGTTCTTTATCTATTCTTGGAAAAGAGTTCAAATGATCAATCAACAACATGTGGTATAAGTAGCCGTGTAATCGATTCCAACGAATATTCGAAATGCAACTGATGATTCAAATCATTCAATAGGATTAAGTGGTGCAATATATGTATGTTCTGATTGGTATGGAATCAGAAATAGTTACAATTTATCAAGATATGCGGGCTGCTGCATACACCCCCTATATATATGTTTTATTTTGCTGTCACCCTGATGAAGATATTTGATTGCATGAATACAATTAATTCTTATGAAACTGGAATTGTATCCATGATACAAGAACCGTGTTTTGTAAACTTGTCTAGCCCCAATCTTTTGTACAAGACGAAATGATCGAATTGCCACTGCAGGTCAGAAACATTATACTTACGCTATGTCAAAGCAAATCCAATCAATTATTCGCTGGATATGATCACAGTTCTGTTTTTTTAACAGCTATCCTTTACACTTTCATCATTAAATAACTTACACCACGGCAAAACGTCGCATATGGTGCATACACGCTGGCATTTGCTGAAAGTTACTTCACATTTTTCGTTAAGTCTATAACGGGGGAATAGACGCCACCAGCTACGAAACAAAAGCACCGGCAAGTGGAAGATTCAGGCCACTAGCATTGCACACCAATAACTGTTACGATTACCATTGCATAGAAATTAAAAAACCCGGCGCCGGTTGTAGGAAAGCCGGATAGCGCTATCCACCGGATAGTGATTTTTAAAAAGAAAGCGCCGCCCGGTGTCAATGAAAAAGACAATTAAAACACTGCGCCTCTCAAATCTTCATTGGCTCAAAAGTTCAATCGGTGTAATGGCGGTTAACAAAAACCCGTAATGAGAATTTAGTCGATGGAGTCACTCCTTTTGCAGTGATTCCGCATGTGTTAGATTATTTGGCCTGTGTTCATGAATTAAAATACCCGGTAGTCATTGCTGTATCTTAAATGTCACGCATGAAGACATTTGTCGCGAGTGAATGAAAAACCAGACATATAAAGACCACAATTTGTTCTTCAGATCAGTTTGTGTATGTTTTTAATTCGTAAACTAAAGTCTTAATATCTTAGCTATTCAATTTATCTTCAAAAATAGCTATAGTTAGCATAACCGTCATTCCTAGCAATATACCGACACTATGAAGAACTGGCATGAGCCACTTGTTTCTTCTTCCAGGTCTTGCGCTTAATATTCCAGGCAACTATAGATAAGAAATCATGAATATAACAAAAAGGTTTCCAGATCATTTCTTAAAGGTCGATCCCATCTATTATATCGCCGCTTTTATATTTCATTTGACTACTTCTTTATGACATTAAAAAAGCAACGAGGAATATTTTCTCTTGCTGATTTACTGAAGCAAACTTAGCAACTTCTTATATCCAAGATATTTGCGAAACAAGAACTTTTCAACTAAAATTTTATTTGCGAAGGGAAGAGGGAGTGTTATCGGTATAACGCAAAGCTGCATGTGCATAGTAACGTTGGCAAGTTGGATCTGCAACAAGCGTTATACGTAAAAGCAAGTTAAATAATACAAATGAAGGTATAGGTGGTTGCATCAAGGAATGCATACTGAATGGTAATGAAGATATTGCTGTCGATGATCATAATGGTTATCTTAAAGCCTGGTCCTCATGTGTTGCCGACGGTCGGTGATAGCTATTGTCGGATCATTGATGAACAAAGATCATGCTTTGTTATTTTGAACAAATTTTCGTCGTCCCCAGCGCTCCACATGCAAACAATGCGTCGCCGACTGTTGGTGACATATGAGAACCAGGCTTTATACTAGTAATGGAAATAACGTACCAATTCGGTTAGGGATATAAATAGAAATATGGCTGCTGATATTGCGAAAATAACACGCGTTAAATCCATAAGTCGACTCAACGTAGCTCCGATAATCATTCCTATGTACATTGGAACCATCACGACTGTGAGTAGGAGAAGTGATGTTGTGTAAGTTAAACCAGTGCTAACCATAACAGCAAGATCTCCTAAAAATCAAACAAGTAATCACACCACAATCAGTGGCGAAGTCAGCTCGATAATTTGGAAATAGAGTTCCACTTGGAGAGAAATAGTCCGCCTTGCGAAAAATATTTGCATGTTTTCTTTTGAATCGAGAGTTCAGCTAATTCATGTCATGCAGTCAAGCTTTCGAAGAAAACATGCAAGTATTTCGCTGGAAACCAGTCCTTACCAACGCAATGCGGCACTTCATGGCACACGATTGCCATTGTCGTACCCAGACCTCCATAAAATGATTTAGCATAGGCTCCACCAATGGCTATCCCGTCAGTAAAGGAGTGAACGGCGTCGCCTGCGGAGGAATCGAATGAATGTTGTCGTCATTTTGTTTAGTTTCCCACTTGCCAAAAAAAAGCGATCGTATGATCGTGTATCTTGACTTTATTTATGGGTGGGGATTCACAACAACAATTGTTCAATTGATGCATGCATGTAGCTATATTAGTATATATATATTGTCAGTTGAAACCTAATTCCTAAGAGTTATGTCGTGCCCGAACAATAGTCATGCACATTTCTTCACTATAGTTAAAAACCATTCAACCAACCTATGACAATCATCCATATTATTGGTGCATAATGATTTGTATCCTTTTTGCTATCCTCGGGAATTAATTCTTTGTAATTCATCTCGACGTTTTCTTTATCAAAATTGTCCTCACTGACACTGATCACTTTTTCTCGTTTTATCGACTCCGGCAAATGCGAATGCGAATGCGAATGAGAGTATTCTGCTTTTGCCTATACAAGTGTGATATTTATTGGTTAGACTGCTCTAAATGGTCAGATCAGACCACAAATCACTTTTCGTTGAAACATTTACTGGGGGGTTTTTGTTTGAAATTATTACCATACAATTTTCACTGAACAAGTGAATAAGGTAAAATGCATAGATGGTGCAGGCAATAGGCAATGAGTTCCATAATATGACGTCTTTATGATGAACATTTAGACCATCTTTAGTACTGTTTGACTTGTTTTGAATGTTTTCCCTGTGAGATTCACCAAGGAAAACCTAAACAAGACATTTGTAAGGTATTAACTGTAATAAGAAAGTCATGGAATGTGAGGCCTGCAGTTGTGGAGGCGATGGCTATCGTTGGTACACCATACAAAAAATAAAAATAAACAACCATCCGTTGTTTCCATGCGTACATGCCCCGACAAAAGAAGTGGGAATGAATTGTTTTTCGTCACCGGCCAATGACGATGCATCGCCGACGATTAGGAACATGCATGGAAATTATATGTGAAATTGAAAATTAAGTTCGCATAGGGCCTATAACGGTTGGCCTATAACCCCTGTGGATAGTTTTAAAATCGTCCTGCATGACATGCAAATATTTGTTACCAATCCAATTTTTTACCATTAACTTACGTGAGGCAGCAAATGAAAGATGGCGTCTCCGCTTAAACATCCGACAGACAAGGCAACCAAGAACGGTAGTAAGATTTGTTCGCGACCATTAGACAGAAATGGGCGTAAAACGATGGCACTTAACAGCGTCAAAAAAATGGAAATACTTGACGCTAATGCTCCATAGAAATAGACTACACAAAAAATATGTTATGAAATTTATTGGAATAAGGTTTATTGAATCATTTATAACACAATTATACCTATTTATAATCGGCATTGAAGGAAATTAACACAGGGAGGTACTGAGCGCGTAAGTTGGGCGGGGGTTTGGCGTGTGACACCTCCACTTGGACGGTATAAGTTTTGTATAGTGATTTGTAATAATTTAATGTAACAAGTCCAGTCTGCATGAACGTCTCCAATGAAATCCTTAACATCTGTCTACGCCCCTGCGTTGCAACACAATTGTGAGATATTTTCAGGGATGTAATTAACTTCGCGGGTAAATTATTAAAGAACACCCTCAATCGGAATGCCCTCGGTGCGGCCCTAAAGATAGCAACGCTGGGTCCAATCTTAAATATAGAATATCTGACATTACTATGACCATGCACTACCAAACTTTAACTATACCTTTAAAAAGCGTGCGAACCCCACTCCTCATAATCATCATCAGCTTGGACTGTAAAGGTCAAATTATCATTCATTTATGAATTGGACAGACACTTAAAATAAATTTGTTCGAGAGACCTGTTTTTATTCTTTATCCATACACATTATAGATCTGGAGGAGCCCTTGTAGACTGTCCAGACTATTGATACGGAAATTTATATATTAGTTAATATAATTTCGTTGAACATTCAATTATGCGAAAATTCAAGTCACAACTTTTGTCTTTCGTCAATTTTGTTATTATTTGTGGTCACCAGTTCTGAAACAGGTTGTTTATCGGACTCTTATGGTTTATAGCATTATAACAATAAGCGTGCACGTGTCTTGAGAGCTCTCACTCAATTTTTGTGTAATCGGTGAGATTTAAAATTTAAAAAAAAGTGGAAAATAGCAATATGAATGCAACCAAAACACGGCTAACTTTGATGCTCAAACGTGAATAAAAATACAAGCAATATGGTGGTTAATGAGTAGCGAAAAGTATGATTGTTGTCAATCGATATGCTTTGAAAGTCGCTTTTGTCTCGTTTGTCAGCGCTGTGGTAGCAACAATAACTGTGATCTTTGCATTACAAGGTATTGTTTTTCCAACTCTCGCAGATCAATTACATGCACGACAAACCTGATCGACTTTTTAGGGCCAGAGCTGACGACTTGCTGAGAGTACGTTGTGAGGCAGTAGCATTACACAGTTTTAGGAGCACGCTGTGTGCGTGCAAGGGCACCGTGGCCGGCTGAAAAATCTTGCTTGACAGACTGACAGTCCCTCGACGTATAACTACATGATTTCCAGTCTTTCTTACTTTAATTCTACATTAAATTAATCTTGCTTAAGCACTGAAATGTGTGCGAACGAAGTCGATGTGAGTATAATACTAGCGCTGTGTTTTGTAAATATGCTTCACAGGAGGAGCGTTCTGCAATATTGTGTCACCAATCATTCTTATATATACACCATTTAATATTTTAGGTTTATGCGAAACATATCGTGATCAACAGCCAATTTCACTACATGTTCAAAAACGAATTCTAAAAGACGATTCAACTGAGTCAGAGTGTGATGTTCTGTTTGTTGTAAAAGGGCAATCAAGACTTCGCGATAATGATCCTTACAAATCTGTTAAGATATACAACTGTTCAAAGGTTGGTACATACTCATTGCAGACACTGAATGACTATGAATGCATGTTTTACGCGATGCTGACAAATCCAAACTGCAAAGGATATCTGTTTCTTGGGAGGGAAATTAGACGTTGGAAGAGGACGGAAAATCTGTTACATAATGATTTGACTAGGATTTGGTATAAAGGTAAAACTAATACCAAACGACTTCAAGTGAAAATTGACAATAAAAATCTGTTGAAGTCAAAGCATGTAAGCACTTGCAGTATGGTTATAAAAGAACTTGCCTTGCTAAATATTGCTTTCAAAAATTCCGAAGAAAGCTCGAATGGTTCGTGGCAAAGACCCTGGAATGTTGAAATTGCGATGAATGCTTTATTGTGGAATGGAAAGGGCAAATTTGCTTGTTTTCGCAGAGAAGTAGAAACATTTTATGTCCCAGTAAAATATAGGGAGACGTTTCTAGGTGTTGCTAGCATCCTTAACAAGGTTAAGATGCCAGATGATGTTGGTGTACTGACGATATTGAAATCACTAGACTTGGAGAGAACTTTCTTAGCACCTACATATTAAAACAATTACGATTCGATGTAATTCAACTTCTGATTTTAGTGTTTAAAACAGCGGCAAACAAATTGATTTTCCGTATAAGGTAGCGATTATCCAAGAGAAACTTTAGGACCCAAACCCCTAGCTGTAAGATTTTAATATTGATCGTTATACTGTACAAGCCAAAAAAATATGGACGCTTTTAGGTATATACATTTCCATATCAGTTAAAGTTCGAATTGGAGGACTCCTATTAGTTTATCCGTAATGATGACTATTTTTGTTAACTATGATTGATGGAAACACTATCAAAGTCAACTAACATTTAAGCGAAGTACTCGAGAAATGAATGAACGGTCATTGAATCATGGACCTTTTATTTCCATTCGCATCATAGAACACGACAATTTACCATTTCATATATATATATTGAATGAATATGTGTTTTACTATGAGACGTTTAGATATATTTCAGACAGACGCGCGATATCAGTGATGAAAAGACAAACAGCAGCCGATATCTTCGGGAGGCTGCTTAAGGTAATGAAGCTGTGCGGTCACCTGTACATTGATTTCACCTCCTGTCGCGGCATTGATGCGCGCGCATAGTTAGGCGACTGTTGTATGCTTGTTAGATGAGCAGGAACTGAGGTCAACGAGCGTATACCGTGATCTCGCTATCACGTCATGTGCTAACCAGGGAAAGGACGATGGAAGATCTCTTTCATTGTCTTAGCCGGGTTAGCAATCATTTTAAACCGGTGATTAGGCGAAAGAAGTATCTCTGCTAGTTGCCAACGTGAGATGCCGCGATCTTTTCTTGTGAAAAATCAACAAAGGTCAAAAAGACGGACAGATGACAGTAGCCCAGATGATGAAGGTCAGTTCTATATCAATAAGCGGAAGTTATAACATCAGTTCATTTCGCACTTGTGATCAATTAGCTATTTATCTCTTTGAAGAAGATGATGGTCGGTAAAATATAGTAATTTGCACTGAGCTAGCGACAATTTCCATTGTTTATGTTGTATTCTAAGGCATCTTTTAAAACTGTCAAGGAGGCAATATACATATCAAAGCTTCTAAACATGTTATGACAGTTCCAAAAGGTGCGTACGTTGATTACAGAGTAACCAATCCTCCCATTGATGGAAATGGGACATTTCCATTCTTTGTTGATTCAAATTTCCTACTTTGATAGGAAAGAAAGTAAAAGAACTTTGTTTTCATTTTTACGTGATTTGTTTACAAAACATATTTTGCGATAGCATGTTAATATGTTGAAGTCATGAATTTCAAATATCAGATTTATGGTACAGTTTGTGTTTCAATGCTTGATTAATAAGGAATAATAAGCCTTGCTTACGGCTAATTTCGGCTATCGTCCTTTTTACAGATGTGCGGGGTTTAGACGGCGGCTCAAGCGCAACATTTTACCGATATCCAGCCGAATCTGCAGGTAAATTAAAAACCATCAACTCGGTACCTGTTAAGGTTAAACGACTCAGAACAATTCGTCATAAATAGAAATTTCCTCAACATACTTTTCCTATGGCCTAAACTGCCATTTCTGTTTCATCAGTCTGACAGTTTCAGATTCTTTTTTCTTGTTCTCATCACAAAATTCAAAAGAATTTGGAATCTCATTAGGGTTATGGCGTTAATTAACATGCCAATAAGCAGGAGATAATTATTTCGTACGCGTTGCCATGCTTGAGCCATGAAGCGTGAATGTTTTCGTGTAACAAATAATTAGAGCGATTGGGTATTGATTCAGTATACCGTGAAACGAGATCAGCAAGAGAAAGCACGAATAGTAATACAATTTCAGGTTGAAAAGCTGTTAAATATAGATTATAGAAAGCAGAGAAACAAAAGTCTTTAGCTATATAAGTTATGGTAGTAAATTAATTCATATATAGTACAACAGCTTTTATCTTTTATCAGCATATATCGCATTTTAATTAACCATGATATGGTTTTTATATAACCTACTGAATATTCTCCTGTTAATTCTCTATTGAGAACATCTATTGCTGGAAACGGATGTAGTGAAAGCAGCGATCATTTCTTGCGCCATAAGTGGATAAAACTACAGAACTGAATTTGAACGAAAATACGGGGCAAATCTTGCCCTGATCTTGAAATTTGATTCACTCTAAACGTGCAATTGTAGAAAATGATGTCGTTGTTTCAATAATGAGGACTGAAAGTTACAATTGTACTTCCCATCCATAAATTGCTATAGCAAATGATCTCACGCAAAAAAATTTATCATTTCCTAATAATCTTCAGTCCGCGTAACACTTTCATACAGTTAGTCAAGAGTGCAAAGACAGGGAGCGATATTTCTCTCTTTTTTCACGTGCGTCGTAATCTTAATGATCGCAATGTTCAAATTGTTATAGTTAGTTCGAGGTTACGAGGACACCTTAATAAGCACTGAGAAATTCAAAATGTCTCTTACAATGTTTCTAAACAATATCTTACGATCTAATAAATTTCCATATCTAATTTGGACATCGACAAATTTGATTTAACTATCTAGATCACATCGACGTAAGTAATTCCTTTGCCCAGAATGACAATCATAGTTCCGCACGCACTGGGGTCAGCGGGAACGCGCATGGTCTTCATGCTCTGGCTGATATATGTCTTATGAAACAACGAGAAGAGCTAGCACAAGAACCACACTTTTCTATTCATGGACAACCAACGCAGGAATCTACCTTCGCGCATGCTCGTGAGGACACGGAACCGTTTCCAGAGGAGGTTTTAAGGACTCTCTGCCTCATGCGCAACACGAGTGCAGATCTAAAAAGACTCCTATCGATTCCTGCGGATGATACATGTGCAAAAAATGGACAGTTTGCGAACGATGTCGAAACACGACGGAGTGGGGATGTTAAGTCGCAAAAACAGAATAACAAAGCTTCACCAGGGCAAAGGTTGGATAGGGAACTTGAAAAGATGCTGAAGTAAGTGCTCTAAAATGCTTTTGCAACGAGACATTAAAGCGAAGATAAGATTTAGTCATTCATTCATTTGCATGACATGCACCAAATGATCGTGGTGTTAAAGGGTACTGAGTTCCCCACCATGGCGGAACTAACAAGCACTGTCGGGTTTATATGAGTGAGACCTAGTAGATCTGCTGTTCAAATTTATTGTTATATACTGCATGAATTACGCAAGTTATACGCATTCGTTGTTGGACCAACCAGACAAGAGTATTCTACCCGATTATATATATAGCCGGACTACATTCATTGAATCTAAAGGGTAAATAAAAAATAAGTTCTTTATTAATGAACTCCTCAAAATTAACAGGGGGAACCAAGAGGTCATTCAAAGAGAGCTAAAAGATTTTCTTGACAATAATCGCTTCAGCGAAAAAGAAATTGTCAAAGAGACAGGTTTGACAATAGTCGATGCATCGCGATTTTTACTTGATGCCTGGCATACCAAGGAAGAAAAGCGAGAGATATTTTTCAAGTGGTATCTGCAAAAGAAATTATGTAGCAAAGGTTTGCTTGCTTGTTTTGAAATAAAATATCGCTGCTTCAGAGAAATATGGCGAAGACTACTTTCGCTGTAGATAAGTACTCTGGGAATGTGAAAACTGACTGGCCTTTCTACAAGTCCAGAGTAGCTCAGCCGAAAAAGTCATTGTCGCTCTCTTCAATATTACATATTATAAGCTATTTCCCTACTTTTACATATTATGAGCTATTTCCCTACTATTACATATTATGAGCTATTTTCTTATAAGCTATTATTCATCATAGCTGGTAGGGAAATGGTCATGCAAATTAAAAAACTTCAGTGCTCATAGACTGCGAGAACAATAAATTTCTAAAGAAATGAATAATGGCAATGATTCAAATTTACATTTTCCACATGACTAGTGTAGCCAACATTACGTTTTATATTTTACATCTGGTTTTGTAGACAGTGAAAGCTTCACGTGTTACAAGTGCGGTAAGATCTTTGCCTATGAAAGTTATTTGGAGCGCCATGTAAAGTATGTTTGTCCAGACAAGACCGGGCGTACTTGGAAATGCACGTACTGCGTGAAGGCATTTCAATATCCTTGCTATTTGAGGAGACACATGCGTTCACACACAGGTAACGAATCCCTATCATGTCCTATATACAACTTAGCATGAGTAGGTCAAGTTTACTGCTTTATATTAAAGGTAAATAATGTCACCACTTTACTTTGCAGGTGAGAGTCCATATAAATGCACACAGTGTTCTCGTGCATTTGTTCGTTCTACGGATCTTCAACGTCATCTTCGCAATCATACTGGGGAGAAACCTTACAAATGTGGGGAGTGCCTCAGGGCTTTCGCTCGGTCCACTGACCTCAAGCGACATTTCAGAACACATACTGGAGAGAAGCCTTATAAATGCTGGCATTGCTCTAAGGCATTCTCTCAATCTGGTTCGCTACAGACACATTTACACACTCATTATAAGGAGGCGTTACAGAAGAAGGACATGGTCGCAGCAGAAAGGCTCAAAAACAGCATCAGAAAGAAGCTGGTGAATAAAGTGGTAACTAGTAGTGCAACTTAGAACCAAATGGTAAGGCAACTACGGTCCACTATTTCGTGCATCATTTTTATGATGATTATCTAAGATATTTTGTATTCTTTTTATGGTACTAACGTTCCGGGAGCAATCTGTATTATTATAGCAAACTCCTGGTGCGATATATGTAAATTGCCCTAAAAGTAGTAGTATACGTAGAATACGTCACCAGCCACTTTCCATACGCTTGGTGACAGGACTTCGCTACTGTGGAAATCTATCCCATTTGTACATAAAGATGAATAGATCATCGGTAACAGTAGATAAGTTTGTAAATATAAATTTGAAGATAAACTTAAATAAAAAAATTATTAAATGTGTAAATATGTAATAAACAATAACAAGTTATGTGGGATTATTTAAGTAGCAGCGGGCAATTACAATCATGCTTAACTCCAATTCATTAACAATTCATTAATTAATTTAAATTTCATAATGAAATCATTGGTATACTTATTGAAGTATGGAAGACGTTTAATCAATATGTGCATCAAAAGTAATTCTTAAGAAAAAAACGCAATCGATACAGTTTAAGATGGCGGTATTTTGGATCACCAAAATGAAGTTCTTATCCATTTGTCTGTACTAAGGATTTCACTGACATTCATCCAGCCTTATTATATCTTTATTAGTTCAAATTCTAGTGTTCACTTTTGAATGCACAGATTCTTTCCCAGTGTGGAAACGAAAATGTTTGGAAATAAAGTTCAGTCATGTGTGACAGTCATGATAAGTCAGCCTGCAAGTTGTAAATATTATTTCGTTATATCCAATAGATAATTTAAGATTTATTAACTTTATTATAACTAATTGATATTGTTATTGTTATTAAATTAAAATCCATTCCTAATTTATCCACCGTTGTTCGATTGTTGATGTAGCTATATTAATTTCGATTGATATCGACCTGAACAATGGAGCCTGAGAAAGCAGGCTGCATGTTGCATGCCGTCCACCTCCAACAAGAGACAACACAGCATAATCATGTTGTATGCCCTAAGATACAATGTACCGGCCAAGCAGTGACATGTGGGAGCGTGTATGAATTACGTAAAGGAAGCTAGTTTCGTTTCCTCTAGGAGGTGATGGAGGTACCCGCTTTATGGAAAACATTCTATTCAGCGAGATAATGACGAAGACTGATACCCAATGTGTTCGAACAAATGTCTAAGATACGTTGTCTTGGCAGCCTCATTTCCCAATATATTCCTGTATAAAGACATAAGAAGATCGACGGGCATTTCAGAATATAAAACCCTAAAGAAACGCGCTTGGTTTTCCAAAGTCTCTGATCGATACAACTTCCCAATAAAACCCAAAGAGCTGAAACTTAAGCTTAACCAAAACGTGCCCTCCTTTTCTTTCATGTACCGTGTCATATACACATCATAGTCTCTTGTGGCAATGACGTCATCTTCTAACTGAAGATAATACGGAGAGAACGGTTGGCAGTATTGCATGAGAAAGGCAAAGTCTATTGCTTGTTTTGAACGCCAGAACATTCGCAGCTCACTATCCCCGAGGGTTTTTGTTAGGCCATGCAACGGTGGATATACCTTCGGTGGCACGCTAATCACATGTATGTCACCGTTAGCGAAATATTTAGAATATCTTGTCGATAGTTCATTTAATCGCTTCTGCCTGACACTTTTCTTCAAATCTGCCAGAAGAATGACAATTTTCATGCTAAAGTCTTTTGCGTTGCTGACGTTATGAAGCAAAGAGTCTAACGTGGTGATCAAATAATTGCGTCCCTCACGTTCTATGCTTGGTATTCCGATTGTCACGAAAGCTGAAAATTAAAATCGAAAGAACGAATATTATACCTGACTAGATTTACAAGCATGCAATCGTTTATTAGAAATGCATAAGCGAAAAGCCTAACTACGTATTCAAATTTCGAACCGAGCAACTTTATGTACGTCTCAAATTATAAGTATTTTATAACATGATGTAATCAGTCAACCACCACACTGGGTAAAAACGCACAGTGGTGGATCAAGGGTAAAGCAGAATAATTTGTAGACACCTATCCAGAACCAATAAAATCCAGAACTAATAGCATTGTAAATAAGGTATAATCGGATATAAAGAAATTAGAAAATTGATATTGAAGTGAGTTTGAAGCAACATGTTGCCACAATTCCTCTTCCCCTGAATCTCTATATGATTCCATTCAATGTATACTCTACCTTTCTTGTCAAAGTTTTCTCCTGCCAAGACGGCATCATCACTAGTAACAGTGACGGTATCCTCACTAGTAACAGTTTTAATACGGACAACAATTCTTTCTTTCGTTTTTCCGGCAATTGTATTCTTGTGCATGATATTTCCTTTCGCTGCATTCCATTCGCATATCGTAGTACCTTCATCCGCGCAAGCAAGTTCAAGATGATTAACGAAATTTGTTCCTTTAAATTGTTGCAAAATATATATAGTCAAAACATTTTAACAGACAATATTGTTCAGTACAAACAAAACCCAGTTTTTTAAAACAAACACCCTTGTTTAAATTGGAATATGTTAGACATAATGTTTGATGTCGCTCGATACGAAAATCGAGGCACACCACCCGGCCACGTTATCAAAATTCATATTATGGAAAAATCATGCTATACCCATATTGCTTCCATACATTTCCATTGTATGGAAATGCTTTTAGCATGGATTAGTATTATCACAGATATTATAAACTTTCATACTATTTCCAACTAGCATTCATACTATATTTCCATGATATGAATTTTTAAAAAATATTATATTATAGTCCGTGATTTTATTTAATTAACTATATCTTTACGACGCAGACTTTGGTCAGTGTAGTCGAAAACTTGACGGCACTTTACCTTCGAGGCAATTCGGCATTTTGTATCATAAAAGTACTAAATATATTGTAGAGATGATCTATTTCGTGTTTTGTTTATAATTAATTTTCCTGGAAAAATTATACAAAGTATAAGTACAGGGGCGCCGGAACCACGGAGGCAGGGGGGCAGCTGCCCCCCCTGCCCTATGCTTACGGGGGCGAGCGGGGGCAACCCTGTGTTCTCTTCGTGTGGTTGCTAAGGTAAAATGAATGTGCCCTTTTCTGAAACTCTGCCCCCGCCGCTCTAAACTGCTCCGGCGCCCCTGTTATAAGTATCAGTCATATTTTAATATAGGGTTGCGTTATTGAAGTGGAATCTTGTATCGCTAAGAAGTTCAAACTTAATATAAACACAGAAACTGACGGTTAGAATAAACACTTACTTACTTCGTAAGACGAATAACAGGACGTTTACACCAAAAGACAGGAGAAATGACTTCAATAAAACCCGATGAAATGAAGTTCCCATTCTCGCTCGATTTAAATAAAGACATAATCGCGTTAGCTTCATGGCAATACGTATACTGGATCTTAGATGTCCGCTTTGGATATAACGAGCAAAATAATGCCGGTGAAAGGACTCAAACGATCTTGAGTTGGCTCGACAATAAAACAGCATTGATTCAAGAAACCGGCGTTTAATTGCAATCTTTCAATAATAAAGCATTGTCTGGACCGAATTTTGATTGCAAAATGAGTTAACACGTGTTTGAAATGATGCCAATGGTCGCATAGCAGCGAAACAAAGGGCAGAAAAATTCATATCGTAATTGAATGTCGAACAATGCGAGATAGCAAACAATCAAATATAGTTGTGGTTTTATCATACTTTCCTAAATTCCGTTCTAATTTCTTAGGAGTATAAAAGGAAATTTACTCGAAGATGTGTTTGACTTTCGTGACTTTCGGCACGATACTTTCATGCATAGTATCAGCTGCACCAATATTTACTTTAATACTTTTAATTACTCCAGATGAGCAAGAAGAGTGAAGCATTATGTAAAAGAGGTCCATGCATGCTTTTTATGCATGTACCAAGAATACCGTTATTTACAATTATTATATTATGTTACACTAACAATGTATGTTAAAAATTGTCTTTTTTTGATCAATTAACCTTTCTCACGATGACGTTTTTGGAGTTTAGAATCAACAGACTATTTGAAGAATAAATTCAGCTAAAAGGGTCATCGTGAGAAAGGCATATTACATATTAATTACATATGATATCTATATCAAATCTGACTTCTAGGATTATCGTAGGTACATGGTCACTATCTTTATAGGCGGTTCTGAGTCCTCTTCGAGTCGTCGTTCCTCTGCTGTTGGTACAGATGACCAATCAATAGACGTATATTGCATAAGGGATCGACGACTGTTGTCTTGTCTCACCGAATCAGTTTTTCCCTTATCTTTGGGAAGCAATGTTGATCTTAGTATGGAGCTGAAATAAAATAGGTATTATAGCATGATAGTAGACTTTATTTGTTTTTCATTTCACCACTGGTCTTGGGCGAACAAACTGGACGAATCTCGGAAGTGAAAATTATGCTGTGCATAGAAAATATTAAATATTCTGGTATTTTAGCATCATCGCACATCTATAACATACTTGTCAACTTCAGAGACTCCACCAAGACGTGGATCTGAAAGAAAAAATATTACTACATAAAGTTTATGCCCGCATCTAGCTACCAGATACTGCTAGTGATTTTTCAAACCTTTTAAAAAAAGCAAGAAAAACATAATAATTCAGCGTCGTTGGAGCTAACAATTAATAAGGAGAACCGACAATTTAAGAATACTTTCGTAAGGTCCCAAAGATCTCTGGTATGGTTTATACCTTGTCGAACACATTGTGGATCTGCTGGTTTCTCGGCAGTATGATCTCTATGAAATACAACTTCGGAGCCGCTGATTTTACTTTCCGCTGTTGGAACCCGACTTCCAAATGCTAAAGTCTCCTTAAGCTTTTCATAGTTTTCATTTCCGTATCTTTTTTGAGCCATAACTCTCTCTTTCTTCAATATTTCTGCAAATACGCAATGAGGTTTCTTTATTGAAAACAATTTTCAAAGTAATATATAAAAAACCGATAAAAAATACCTCGACGATCAAGGCGTTGCAGTGATTTAATGTTGAAAATAACGTAATTCCGATAATCATAATCCTGTGCTAAAGGATTGCCAAAGAGATCTACAAAGTGCAATAAAGATTTTATACATATGCATTTTTCACATAAGAGACCGGTTTCGGTTCCAGCTTACTCGGGTATTGCTAATATAAAAGTACACTGACTGATCTGAAGGACAATGCATGCAGGCCTTACAACGGAAAAATGGAGACAAATGACGGGAAAATGGAGACAAATGACGGGGAAATGTTCGCGGGTAAGGCTAAGGCCTGAGTGCCAAGGTTTTCAACGCTTGAATTACTTTGTTTTAAAGCACTATCTTTATTTGACCATATTTTCCTTACTTAAAACGTGTAGCCTTTGCATTCTTCCCAACTCGTGGATAACATCGGTTAAATGCTTTAACTGGTTTCCCTGCAGCATCAAAACTTGCAATTCGGTGAGATGGTGAAGAGATCCTGTGATGCTCACAAGTAAGTTATCTTGGAGGTACAACTCTGTCAAGCGAAAATTTTCTTGCAGACATTTAATCTTTCTTAACTATCAATATAAATAGCATATACATTATTAAAATGCAATTTAACCTTACTGCTTAGATGACATTTAAAACAATATTTCATATGTGTATAACTATATTAACCTTATTTCCATTCAACCACAGCCTTTGCAAATTCTTAAACTTGCCAAAATTCCCAATATCCTCCAATTTCCTAAACAGTTTATACAGCTGTTAAACTGTGACTGATATCAGTCTGGGTGCATGTTAACAGTGAATTTGTCCCATGTTATTTGGGGTGTTTTGTACTGCATAAATCTGCTCACTATTTCTATGCACCTAGTTTTCTCCTATGACAACTGTCAATCGTGTGTTGCTGTTGTAATGTCCTAGGTTACCAAACTCAGTATTTTCAAAAAGTAAGGACTAAGACAAGTTACAATTTTATATCGTTGAAACGAGAAAAATTATATACCAATGTATTTAACCAGAGTTTTTTAGAGAACTACTTTATCTAATTCTAATGACTTGTGAGTAGATTTTGGCTCATGCAATCTGGAAGACTGAAATAGTGATATATACAGTACCTTAGCTTAGCTATCAGAGGTGGAGGCCCTAGGGGAGGGGGGGGGGGAATGCATTCCAAATATTTTTAAGACATAAACTGAACTGTTTATCAAAGTAGTGTATTTTGTGACTTTAAATGGGCATAATATTGCTATGACCCCTGTTTCTGATTATTAGGTAAATGGTAGTCTAAAATTTTTATTTTACCCCCTGAATCCACCCTGGGCAACCTCGTACCCAGGGTCTTTATTACTCTACTCGTGGGGCTATGGGTCCATTTATCATCCACACAATATTGATGGGAATTTCTGAGGAGTGTAAAAATTTTGAATTTTCGAAAGAGTATACAGTTGTAACTTTTAAGAAATGGTAAAGAAATTCCAGTTTCTATTATTAAAAAGAAATTTTCAAGTCCAACAGGCGATAATATATTCATTGACAAGGATTTTGGATCAGTTAAATGAATAAGTGATGTTTAGAGGCGGCCTTTACTTGAAATGTCGAGCCTCTTGACATATTTTTCAGGTATTCTAGCAATTCAGACAACGAAGCTTCTCTCTTTTAATAGTAGCTCTCTCCTAAATAAAGTCTTACCGTTCACCGAAATGTAATTCTGTGATATCATTATAGCGGGTAGCTGTATTAGTTATTGGCTCATCCGAAACATCCTGTATAATAAAACAAGTAGCTCAATATACTTTGATCTTTCAAAATGCAGTCAAAGAGAGACTGAAAGTCTGAAAGTATACAACGATCAGTAATAAAACATTGAAAACAAACCTTTTCGTCCGCCATATTTATTAGTTGATTTCGTTACTATGGTTACTGTTACCATGGTTGCATGACGCGTCAACCTTTTTCCAGTAGGAAAAAACCTCGCATATTAAAAATCACTCTATTTCTATGGTTTGCTTCAGGGTGCTTATAAAGTATAAGCGCCCTTATATAAGCGCCCTGCTTTGACCATTATATGTATAAGCGCCCTGGCTTTGACACGCATCACACGACAAAAAGCTTAAAAACAGTCAATGAGCCTGAAGTTTAATACAAATGTTCAGTTTCCGTAATTGACGTTATTGATACACCTAAGTTTATTCTATCGATTTGTTCCTGGATTTGTTCGACTATCCTGCGCATTTTTCGCCATTCTTTGTAATTGAAGAGAACTGTCTTTTCCAGTTTGTGTTACCATTAGAGAGAAGGCGGAGTCTGGCCGCTTTAGAAGTTCATAAGGCTCATCAAATTCGACAATTCTACCAGCGTCCAGAACCTGAAGAAGAGATTCATAAACGTAATTAGGTTTCATGTATGAATCAGGCATAGGTTGCACGGTCGCTTGTCTCCACAAAGAACGGCTGCGAGGGAGACTACACGGTCGCACGCTTCCTCAAATAATTCACGCACCATACAATGATAAAATCAACAAAGAAAGAACGATACCATTATCCTATCAGCATCCATTATGGTATTCAGTCGATGTGCAATAGTAAGAACAGTACAATCCTTGAATTTATCCCGAATTGTTTCCTGAATTAATTTATCCGTTCTGTGAATAAAAAATGGCACATCATCACAGGTACTGGCTACTTCCATCCCGCAAATCTTCCAATAAAGAGGCGCGATTCGCCAATAATTATGAAAAACCCAACCAAACACTGGGTAACAACACTATAGCCATATATCAATGAACTCAGACCTGGGTGGCTTTATTAATTGTTTCGTCAACGATCATTTTCGCAATCGGCAATCTTTTTCGTTATGGAGACTAGGCTTCAGCAGAAAATGTCAGCGCTAAATCAGTTTTAATATGTGCAAAACAACTGAAGGAAATCCAAAGTTGCGTATTTTTTTCAATTTTCTTAATGAAAACTCTTCGATTCCGGCTAAATTCCTGCGATACATGAATATATATAACTTACTTGTCATCAACATTGGCCGTTGCTTCGTCAATAATTAATATTCTATTGTGTTTCAATATCGCTCTTGCCAAACAAACAAGTTGACGTTGTCCAACACTTAAATTATTGCCAGCTTCAGTTATCTGGAATTCCAATTTCTCGGGGTACTTATCAACAAATTCTTTAAGTTGTACCTATATGAAGGAAGTTTAGAGCATGAGACTTTAATAAAAAGGTGGCGTTATGACGTGTGAATGCATGTTTCTGATTGGCCAGTTGTCCGCAAATTACTTCACAGCAAAGATTTTATGAAGGTCTATACATCAGGCATTATCAACGAGGAAGACATTTACATTCTTTAAATGGAAACTAGGATCGTGTTGCGGAAAATTATCAGCGACACCGCAATAAAAGTTATATACCTGTTCCAACGCATTCCAGAGTTCAATATCTTTATGTTTAGAAAATGGATCTAGATTATCACGAACGGAACCAGCGAATATAACAGGATCCTAAGCGCAATAATAAACTTAGTTAAGCCGGTTATTTTGTCAAAATTGTCGTGAACATGTAAAATATTGCTATATGTATCACGTATGCAGTCAATGACATAAAAACCTTACCACAACATGACACAATATAGCACAAAGCATACTTACCTGTGGTATAATTGATAGTTTTTCTCTTAAACAATGCAATCCTATCTCATTAATGGACACACCATCGATGCTTAATATACCATTCGGTTCAGCAAGCCGGAACAAGGCTGATATTAACGATGATTTACCAGCACCTGTACGGCCGACTATCCCAACCTATTTAGAACGAAAAATACTTTTATTAAGTGGTGGAATTTTCTGTGCATGAGGACAATGGTCTCCTGCTCAATTATTTCAATTTTCGGTGAATTGCGATCTTTGGAACTGGTAGAGGCAGCTGTAACCCATGGTAAATTGAGCCTTTATCATATTTTTTAATAATTTGATCGATCTTTTAAAGCTCCATGTGACCAGGTCAGGAAAATTTCCTCAACGACCAATTGAACGAAACACGTCACTTTAATACCTTTTCTTTTGGTTTAATATTAAAGCTGATGCCTTTTAGAACAGGAGGAAGGGAGGGATGATAACGAAAAGAAACATTTTCACCAGTTATTTGACCACGCTCTGGCCAGGTCTCTTGTGGTTTGGAATCTAATATTTCAAGATCTGCTTCATGGTCAAGTTTGGTATATTGTTGTACTCGTTCCACTGACACCATCTAGAATTTCATACACAAGAGTCGTCAATTTGGTTGTACCAGTTGTCCCTGTACAAGCGATGTTCCGGCCGGATATATGATGGCTGAAATTCTATGGAACAGCAATACAATATATATTGCATGTGTATATATAAGGCTCTTGTAGTTTTGCATGTTTTAAATTAACATTGATATAAATAGTATAACTTCAGAAAACTCATCGTTACTAACCCAGGCCTTCATCTGCGACGAGTAGGATTTTTTAGATTAGCTGGCTATGAAAGGGCGGATTTGAGGGACATATATAAAGCTTTATATACTATATAGGTCATTTCAGTATTAAGCAATCACCATACCTGATTTTCAACTTCGGCAGTTTGTCTCACACAAAACTGGAACATACCGGTCAATCGTTTCACGTAAAGTAAAGATAAACCAACAAGAACAGGATTCACTCCTAAAAAAATTATTTCAAGTAATATATTTCCTATGTTGTCTAATGGGATTCTAAAATTATATCTTTTTTGCTTATTTTCCTATTAAAGGCTGAGTGGTTTCCAATCAGAAACTGATTGTCTGATTCCTCCCTAGCTATATAAGATCGAACAAGTATGTTTCTTTTGTTTGTGTGTTTAAACTTATGGGTTTAACACAAAAGAAGCTACTCTGTCCAATCTAATTAGTAAGGATAATTTTCCTGAATTAAATAAACTAACTTTATAAGAATGATCCAAATCACTTAGGGTGGTGGACGGGGGGTGGGTGAGGATTGGTCGCTCTCTGGAAAAGGTGACCACCTTTTTTAACAAAATCTTCACCAGATGCGCTCATATTGTTTAAATATATACAAAAATAGCGAACATACCTAAGCCGGCCTCGTTTGCAATAAATGGGGCAAAAGCAACGATAGTAATTAACGATGCACAAATTAAATCAAGTCTATAACCCAACCAACGATTGGCAGCTAAATAATAATAACTTCCAGAGGTGTTACGATCTTGATACTTGTTATACATTTCAGCGAATTGTTGTTGCTCTTCTGAAGCACGAATAGTTGCTAAGCCTTGAAGGGTAGCGGAGATATGAGAATACAGAGGACTACGACCTGAAATGAAAAAAACACGCTCTTGTTATTATAGCGGAATACACTGCAAGTCTAATTATACCTCCTGTTTCACTAATGTTCGCAATGAGTTAATCACTAAGTTTAAAAGACACCCCCTAGCAAACTAGTGACTTACTTGAGGCTTCTAATCTTTTGATTTCCCTGGACGACTTAACATAAAATTGTCTCAGCCAAATAAAGATGCCAATCGTAGGCAAAACGGCAACAACAATATAAGGTTGAGAGACCACACTTAAAAGAAGGATTGTGATAGCATAGACAGTAAACTGAAAGGAAAAAAAGAGAAGTAATAAGAGAAGAATCAAGAATGAACAAGAAGGAACTCTCTCGAGGCGAATTCCTCACGAAAAATATCCGGAAAAGAGAGAAACTTGCTGAGCTAACAGCCTCGTGAGGTCTTTAGCTCAGCTAATAACTCTTGTGTACGGCGAGCTTACGTATACGCCAAACATTTCGGTCTTAATTCCGTCTGGTATGCATGCTAGTGAACTAATTAGCCTACATAACAGAGCGAAGAGTAAAAAAAACACCTGAGAAGCATCGAAGAATACTAATGGCAGCAAGTCATCCATTAAGCCTATGTCCTTGGAAAATCGGTTTAAAACCACACCTATGAGGTTAAAAAATAAGAACTAGAATCCCAGTTACTTCCTTAATACTATAGTCATTCCGGATCATGCCATAAAATATATAAACATATACCACCAGTGAGACATACTAATCAAAAACATATCGATATCACTGACACTAAACAGAAATTTCGTCGTCAATAGCATAACCACAGTACTTACCAACCGGGTTTGTGTCAAAAAAATATATCGGAGCTCTGAGGATGCCTTCAAACATCTTATCATGCAAGTGTCGTGATGCGCTGGACAATATTTGAAACCAGAAAGCAGCTCTTAGAAATGAAAGAAGGAACACCAATGCGACTGTAGCAACATAGACTGTTATATGTTTAGTGCGTTCTTCTTTAATGATACTATAGGAATTGTTTTTATTCACTGTGGTTTCTTCCCAGTCTGACCTGAAAATTCATAAAAGATCATATATTTACCAGCACAGTTCATTTGCTCATCCCCTTCCCGAGATATTTGGGCCCCTCATGGAGTGATGGAGTGATGGAGACGACGAATTTTGTCCGTTAGCTCCGAATAGCTATTAATTAATACACTTACCACTGCGCTAGCCACCATTCAGATATCACGAGAGACATCTATAAGGTGGAGATTAAAAGTTGTAGTCCGGCCGGCAAACGTTTTTGAAACAACGTAGAATGTAAGCGTTGTCGCATGACATTGATTATAGAGCCATTTTGCCAGAGGGAAATAAATGTGATGCATGCATGTGAGCTTCTGATTAAAAAGTTGAAATGACTTGAAAAGACTGTATGAACAACGTCTTTCACAATATTATGTAGTAATAAGTACTATATAAAGCTAATGCTTCTTTTATCAAATTCAACTAAAAGCTATGAAACAAACTATAGCTGGGAGATAATCCTTTTTGTAAATTTCGTACATTAAAGGTTTACATACCTGGCAAGATAAGAATAAAATGAAGCACAGAAATATTGCGAAGGGTTTAGCTCCAGCAAGAAAATAATCTTTATACACATTGAATTTTATACCACCAGTTATACGACCTTTTTCGTCTTTCTAAAACATGCAACGAAATATATAATACAAGTCACTTTGCAAAATTTGCATTTGTAAGTGAGAGCCATGCAATTATCATCAGGAGAAACATCATTTGGGAGCATATAAGCGTATGTACGAGGCGGGGAGAGGGGGGGGGTTGGTCTGGAAGAGCTGGAAGAGCTGCAGTCCACTTGGCTATACCAGACGAATACAGTCTTCCAGTAATAACGTCAGAACTTTAACGTTTGCATGCGATTTAGAACAACATTATGTGAAATGGATTTCAAGTTTTACTCTCACGCGAGCTAAGTGTGAAGATGCGAAACATCTTTGACGTGTGTATAAAAGTTATTAATTTTCCCTGAATGTAGAAATAATGATGCTATAGCACCTTTATATTTACTGCATTATTTTTCGCACACACCTTACTCGAAGCGTTTTTTAGTTTGGCGTTGTTATCGATCTCATCAGCCTGTTTAAATTCAATCCCTATTCTCTCGTCGTGCACTAAATCTTGAGTAACGTTTCGTGAAACATTGGCAGACTGTGTTTTACGTAATGGAACAAAACCATTGTGTTTACTCTTTCTACTCTTTTCAGGTGAGTACGAAGCATGACGTGCAAGTTTTGGCCTGAAGGTGACTTCGTTGTCTTGTTTTTTTATGGCTTCAGAGTCAAACGACTGACCATCGTCTTTGTCAGAATGAATCATAGATAAAATATCAATGCCTTCTTTCTTTAAATGTTCAAAGTTATCGTAACCGATGACTGCTCCCTGTGGACAAACAAGTATAATAATTAGCAAAGTATATTAGTGAGGATTGAGGAAAGACAAATAAAACATAACCTACTTCAAATTTTTAACAATTAATGATAAAGCAAAGATTGCATACAGAGGCACAGTTTCTGTACTGAATAATGTTAATTGGGGCTAACTTTGGATTTCATGCATGAATACAGTAACATTTCCTTGAATTACCTGTTGCAAACATAATATTCTATCTGCTTCAGGCAAGAATTGTAACTGATGTGTGACAAGAATACAAACTTTGGATCTCAAAATACCACGAATACATCTTCAAAAGAAAGACAAATAAGAATACAAAAAGGAGTGAGCGAGTCTCTGGTTATTAAAAAGCACAAGGAATGAGGCTTTGGCAAAGCGGCTTTGCTTTGTTTTATTGTACATTAACGTAGAATCAGGGTCGAAACTAGAACGAAAATTTGGGGGGGGGGTTATTCATACATTCCGTTCTGCCTGACGGATTTCCTTTGTAAGTGCAATAGCTCAATATTGAATAAACGCCCCCCAATCATCGTCCTAGTTTCGGCCCGGCGTAAAATATACATTAACACAAGCTTGGAGATCTCTTGAAGATCTGGAGCGCCCTTAAAACTCTTAATCTGTAATTCAGTATTGGATACACTCTTATTTGCAAAGATTCGTCGGCAGGTGTTCATGCCTTATTCCAGATTGATTTACAAATTGTACATACCACAACTCGATAATCGCAACTGAATTACTCACGTGCTAAAAATATGCCTGGACACATGCGCATCAACAGCACTAAGTGGGTCATCCATTAAATATATGTCTGCATCCATGTAGATTGCTCTAAAAATAACAACAATGTTGAGAGATTAATTCTTCATTTTGCTTGCTTACGCAAATTGCGCAAGTTATAATTTTTGCCAAAGTTGAAGACAGACATCAGAGGCCTCGCCGCAACTCAAATCCCCGCTGGTTCTCTTTTCTCTGAATACTACATAGCAAACATGACATGTCTTTTCTTTCGTTCATTGCTATACCTTGCTAAGTTTACTCTTGCTCTCTGACCACCACTTAGTGATACACCACGTTCACCAACCAATGTCTTGTCCCCATCCGGAAGAGCCTTTATATCCTGTTAAAACAAAAAGAAAACAAACGCGCTCACAACTCGTTTCCAAGGTCTTACCTCCGCTCCCAAACGCAAGAGGAGTGTAGATTAAACTTTGGAGATGCGATTGATAAGACGAAATGGTAGTTAACGTTAGAGATGGGTTAATGGGAAGGGTGTAAATTGGAACATTGTAATGCTAGTAACCTTGTGCAATAGTACATATATTTTAGCTACTTTCCTAGCTAAAATGTACAAACACAAAACACGTATGCCCTGAGACTATAAACAACAGGCATAATAAACTGTAAATTGAGATCTTTATCAAGTTCAAATTCGTTCAGTAATTGCCTGAGACATATAAACAAACTTGTACTTAATCTTGTACAGTTTTGCGGTTACTGAGCTGATTTGAGAAGACGATATCTTTATGTGGATCGGGTTGTAGCTATAGAGAGAGAGCCGTGCGAGCTTTTAGGGCCCCGGATTTACATCCAATTCTCTTTGGGAAGGCTTTTCATCCCTGTAGTTCTATTGTGTAACTCTGCAATTGTATACAGAACAAACCGTTTCAAGAGCACAAACATGTATAACTTCGTCATATTTCGTTTTGTCAAATTTCCTTCCAAACAAGATATTTTCTTTGAGAGTTCCAGAGAAAACCCAAGGTTGTTGAGAAACATAAGCAACACGACCACTGATACGGACAGAACCACTTGTGATCGGAAGTTCGCGGAGTAACGCCATCAATAACGAAGACTAAAAACAAAAAATTCTACATGAAATGACTTATTTTAGCGTGATGCCTTTCAATTGCATATTTACAACATTTACGACAAGATGCTTACACAAATAGTAAAATAAATCTACGATAAAAAAATCTTCAATTAATGGCGACTTGTGAGGATGGTTTATTCATGCAATGGTATGATTCGATAAACCACCTGCGGTATAAAAGGTTTGGTATACATGCTACATTTTTTTTATTAATAGAGCAAGTGAAAATAAAAAAAATCATTAAGTAAAGGAATATGATGATAGTCCTTTAGAATAACCCTTAAACGGTTAAACCAATTTGTATTAGGGACCGTGTACCTTTCCGCATCCAACCCGTCCAATTATCATCAACAGTTTTCCCTGAAAAGCACAATAGTCATTTCAGAAATCAAGCATATGAATACACCCTTCCGGAAAGCAGATGGCTTTAATTATCGAGCCTCGTTTTCATGTTACCCTGTTCTATATTGTTGTTTGTTGCCAAGTGAGAAGCGTCTATGTCTATGTAGCGTCTAACGTATATATAACAGTGAACATAATTATTGCTATAATAGCATGCGCAAACATAATCAGTTTGAATTTTTTTGAATTGGTCTGTTAAAATTGCCCTTACCGCTGACACGTTGAAACTGACGTCGGACAAGATCTCTTCTTCATCGCTACCCTATAATTAAATTACATACTGTTGAACATCGATAAATCAGAGAGAATACACATGATCTATTTTGCTGTAATTTCACGGTAATAATATATACCTTAATCCAGGAGGAATGCAGTTTTTCAACAGAAATACTAGATCCATCATCTTTAATTTTATTTGCTGATAACGTTGATCCTTCGTCAAGAAGCAAAAATTTCTACAAGGTATAATGTGGGTAGTGACAATAAAATCATTGTGCATGCATGTGGAAGAGGCAAAATATTACAGAAAAAATAAATGTTAGGAAACGATCCCATAGAGGAAGTAAAAATAGTACAAGCATACCCTTATTCTATACAACGAAACGCTACTCTCTTTGAGGCCTGTTATGCTCTTTGGTACGAACTTCGAGGTGATATGATTGATGGAAGAAACAATAGCGATAACAGTAAACACTTTTTCGCTGGTAAGTGTGTGTCCAGTAACAACATATGGTATAAACATAGCTGCCGACATTAGGGGAATAGTGGCCATGTAAAACATCGCATTCACAGCATTCAGTCTCAGTGTATTCCGAACTTTTTGGACCTCTTTCCTAAAAGCAACAAAATATTTTGAATTTAACCCCTTGTTTTCTGCCGAAATTCAGGTTTTCCGCACACTGAACATAAATACACATTGTACCTAACTATTACCTTCTGATATTACTAACGAGCGTGGAAAAAGGATGTTCCCAGGAATACATCTTGATAACCCTCATACCGCATATTACTTCATTCATCAGGTTTATTCTATTGTCACGAAAAGTCGCTGTCTTCGCCCTACAGAAATATCGCATAGACGACACTTTTTAATTATTTTATAAATAGAACGATGTAAGACTGTGTTGCATGTCCTATAGTGTTCTGACTCAGCCTTCTGATGCGCTTATATCAGTGCAAGGGAACAGGATCAGTGATGATTTAAGGTGTCTTGGTCTTTACATTGAAATTCAAGAATAAGATGAAAAACACGGAACAACTTAGCCCTCAGACAGGAGCGGGACTATATATAGCGCAGTAATTGGGGAGTGGGGAGTCTGTGAATACTGATATATTCTATTTTCTGCCAGACGGACTTCTTAATTATAAAAGCGCAATCATCGACAAAAGTAATCCATCAGCCCTACATTGACTTAAACTAAAATATTTGGCCAAACGGTATACGAATCGAAAACATTAATCAAAACTGAAAATATCCATTCCCTATATACACCGTATATACCTTAGCTAAAGACTGACCTGAGAGAAGCAAAAAATTTCCCTAGCCAAGACTGGAAAGCAGGTAAAAGAAATAGTAGAGCAATACCAGGGAGAAAAGAAAACCCAATCTCTCTCCAGCAAAGGTAAGAAGTGACGACAAGAAGAACTGGTGTAGGAATCAGAAACAAACAAAATTTGGCAGCCTAAATAATCAAAAAAAAAAACCCTGTTAAATTCTCTCCTGGAAAAGGACTTTTATTTCATTATCTATAAAGTAGACTCATTATAAAAAATATTATACTTATTACTTAGAATTTTAACAGGGGCTTAGATATGCTTTAGGGCAGGGTGGGTTCAAGGACAACATTTTCCAAACACGTATTTTAGTACAAAAGTCTTACTTCTTCAGTCTTCTGAACATCGTTCGTGACAAGGTTTACAATATGTCCTGTGTGAGTGTAGCCCAAAGATGCTTGGCTCATTCGCAATGCCTATAAATCATATTAGATAACGCTAGGCAAAGAGCTAGCTATGTATGTGTAAGGAATGATATCCAGTCAGGAAAATTCGGACAGTATGGTTTCCCAGTTTGTGCTTAAGACCATTAGTTTTGATTGAGAACACATGCAAGGATATAAAAGAAACTTTTCAGTCCGATACGGTCCGAAGGATAATTTCCCTGACTGGTAACATGCAGCCTTAAAGTTTGAGTTTAGCTGGGACATTATATTAGTATAGAGACAAAATGGAATTACAAAACGTACTACATGCAAGTACTGCAAGTATATATAAGATCTACATATGGTGCTCTTAATTCCTAAACTACGGTAAAATGGGGAATGTAATGTACGAACAACCCCGGCCCAAGTTACCTTGTTGTAAACCACGGCAGACAAAGCGACCCTGATGTCTATTGCTGTTCTCAATAATTCTATGAATAGTGGATGATGAATAATTGCTTCCACGAAGGCACACAATGTAAAAAGCGTGGCTGCTAAATAACCGCTCTTTCTATCAACTCCATCGACATAAAAAGCAGCCACAATCTGTCCAATAAATATTGACTGAGCAACACCGGCGGTCAACTGAAATAAACCGAAATTCAAAGACGAATTCAGTACATGAAATATTATGCTCTTTTTTCAAAAGAGTGTCAGTATATGCGCCCTATTCAAAGCCGGGATGGATCCGGGGCGGTTTCATCTGAGGAGTGCAGACCAGATGCCAGACATGAGTTGCGTTACAACACCAGGTGCCAGCCTAGCAGGGATATTAGAATGTATTTCTGTTCGAAAATTTGTAAGTATCATGAGACGATAAAGTTCTCCTAGATTGTCAGAGCCTCAGAAAAAACTCTATACTGCAGATACAAAAAAATACTTATTTCGTAAGCAATCCTAATCCTATATAATTTTTTTCCATTGATAACTAAATTTGCACCCCTGACCCTCCATCTCTGAAATAATGGTTCCTTTTTTCCATTTTTAATACATTCTAAAATGCAAAAAAAATTAGATGATACCTTGATAAATAAGAAAATCAATCTAAAAAAATACTTCACACCAGCAACTTTGATTAATGGAATTAACAAACGAGGCTCCTCTGATGTTTCCACCTCGTGATCCCAGGCTCTTAAAGAAGTAGATTTAGGCATAAGTTATATTTAGTATAGACATATATAATCGGCGATTATAATTTCCTGAAAACAGTGGCAATTTTTTCACTGAATAGTCAGTCAACACCTCACTTTTAACTTAATTCACAAAGGCAAGTGGTCGCGAATATTATCAAATATATGCAGCATTAAATATTTTTGCGATAACTTGGTTCCAAATTTCAACCTCAAAAGCGAATTATCCTCAGTGATATTAAAAAAGTAGCTTAATGGGTCGCGAGTCATGGCTAAAGTCCAAAGATATAAGATATCTTCTTATATAAGTCAGTAAAGTCACGAGCCTCAGATAATATTAGAGACGTTTTAACGCAAATCTTCAAGAAGATTGTTTTCTTGCCCCGTTTAGGGCGGTTTCGAGGGGCGCGATTATACCTCTAAAAAAACGATCAATATTAAATATTGCAATATGCAGTGACGAGATTATATCCCAACGTGATCAAACACCTTTGTAATTTTGTCGCGAGGTAATATGTCGAGTCCCTTTCAAGTACATCGTGTAAATCTGACTCCTCCAGTGGTTGTTTACTGCCCTTTTTCAAGGTTCCATTCAACCAGCTAAAAGTAAGAAATACTATTTGAGCTATTTAACCGCATACCGTAGAGGTTTTTGTATATACACAGCAAAATTTGACTACTTTTTAGGTGAGCTAAAGTATGTTAATCTTTCTGGATCATTTTGCATGCTATTGCAACTGTACCATGATATAACGTTTCTTGTCATGTAAAATTATATACATTGATATAAAACCAGAACGGCTCCGTTGCTTCGTGCCTAAGCATGGATCGATTTTATGCGCAATTTGATTTTTATCGACTAAATCGAGATACTCGTGGATAGATTTCTAGCTGCATCACCTGAGTGTATACCGTCATTTTGAGACAGTCGACCCAGTTACCCTGATCTCAAGTTTGAAAGGTCAGCGTTTACAATAATAGTAACAATTAACAAACCACATGTTACATTAATGACTATGAAAGCTAAATTTCAGCTGTTCCTCGATGTAAAATTTCATCAGCAACCGATATAGCCATTCGGTAGGTTATCAAAAGCGGCTAGATAGGGCTAAAATATTAGTTAATCTGCAAATACATTGCGTGAAAGCTCCTAAATTTCACCGTATCTCAAGGTCTTACCTCTGTGATACATTTGCCGAGTAAATGTTTGCCCTTGCAGCAGGATTTTCTAAAGTTTGTCCTTGCTTTTTTCCCATTAGCGGCATATAGTGTTGAACTGTGTATCAATTCTAATGTAATTTGAATTATTAGTTTACGTTTTGGTCGTCGTCGATCAGTATCCTCATCCTTCATAATTATATTGTGCAATGATAGTCCACGGAACACTTGATACTTCCGCCAAGATGCCGGAGATGGGCAAAACGCCATATTTAAATATATATGGGGAGGCGTGGGGAGTGTTGGTGTGTTATCGGTAACCAGTACCAACGGTGGATGAAGCATTAGAAACACTGTTCTATTGTATCTTTAACGAGATGTTCCGACCTTGATTCGTTCCGACCGTGAAATCTCGATATTTACTTATACACTATCATGGCAATAGCATGAATCTTCACTACTGCTCCTATAACAGTTTATCAACACCTTGAGAAAGCAACACTGCAGAGAACATACAGAGACATTTTTAATGTTGTTCAAGTTTCAGTGCCACTCTTATATCTCGATTACTTCCAGCCTACGCCACTGGTATTGACAGCGAGCAACATCCAATTTATGTGGAATATTGTGCAGCACCCACTTCAGACTGCATAGTAACTCAAAAATAACTAACATGGGTTTAAAATTTGTCTTGCTGCTATAAACAGGGGTGGGGAGTGGGGACGCTGCATGGTCGCACCATGGATATAAAGACATGTGTTTTTATTATCCATGGTCGCACGTGCACTTTCATCTTCAACACACGAAAAACCCTTGCGAGGTTGCAACACGCGTGGAAACTTGCGGACAATTGAGAGACCGAGTGAATGTAAATTAATAAACAGCATAGCTCAAAGTGGAAACACGTCTATGTGGGTTCTGAACAGTTGGTCGAAGAGCCTAAAAATTTGGCTTTACTTTTATTTGAGAAGAACCTTGACAATTTAGAAAGAAGCGTCCCCTTTCAGTTGTATTGGAGTTTACAGTTTTGGTCTCTACAGGTCGGCGCACCACACTGGTTGCACGCAAGAGGTGCTGAACAGTTCACTGGCTGCAACACGCGGAAACCCGAAACTTCATGCAGTGCTTCCACATCTATGGAAATTTCCATATCTTATGGAAATTTTAACATGAAATGGAATTTTTTATGGAAATGAAGTAAATGTAGAAATTCTGTGGAAATTAGAGTTTTTTGAGAAAATCGTCATAAATCTGCTTTAAATTTCAAGTTTTTGATTCAACGTAAAATGTAATAAATTCCATCACAAAAAGAAGTAACTGTAGAACACTTATGAATATTAAGTTAATTTTATGGATAACTCCGGGAACATGGGGAACATTGACAATTTGGCGCGAAACATAATAGTGCGGCAATTTGGCACCAAAAGCGAAAATAAAAATGATAAAATTACAAATATAATGCAATGGAGCGTGAAAGTGACACAAGCGATGAAAGCATTTATAACACCGATAATGAGCAAACAGATGCCCGGAATAAACCAAAGGAAAAGAAAAAGCCTACATACAAACAGAAATTTTGTAATGCTTGGCTTTCCGATGCAAATTTCAAGGAATGGATACAAGAGAAACTGGAAACTAATGAGCATAGCGTACCTTACTGCAAGGTTTGTAAAGTGCAGTTGTCTTGTTCGAAAACTGCCCTTAGTAGACACATGCAGGCGAAAGGACATAAGGAGGCCGTTAAAATGATTGCAGAACTGAGTAAATCTAATTCAAATATAAGAACAATGTTTGGTGCCTCGGCAGCCTCGCAGAGTTCTGTTGCTAAAATGGAAATAAAACTCTGTAGTTTTATCGTTGAGCACAACCTACCCATCCATATAAGCGATGATTTGCTGGCTCTGCTATCCAGCTTATTTCCTACGAATAAAACAGTCCAGAAAGCAACATTAGGAAAGCAGAAAGCAACCAATGTTATTCGTCAGGTTCTGGGATTTCATACTCTTAAAGAATCCATTGCTGATTTGAAGTCTAGAAAGTTTTCATTGATCATTGATGAAACGACCGATTGCTCTCGCAAGAATCAACTGGCTATATTGGTGATCTTTTTCAATCCATGCACATTTAAGATGGATTGTAACCTGATTGACATCATTCAATTGGATGATGGAAAAGCTGAGACAATTTATAGTGCTATAGTGGAATGCTTTGAACAGAAAGACATTCCAATGGAAAACATTGTCGGATTTTGCGCAGATACCTGCAATGTAATGTTTGGATCACGTCATTCTGTTGCTCAAATGCTGGTTGCCAATTATCCATGGATAATACCTGTCAAATGTGCTTGCCATATGATCCACCTTTGTGCATCTCATGCGTCAGTGCAGCTGCCTAAGTCTATAGAAGATTTATGTCGAAACATATCTTCATATTTCCACTTATCCCCTCTACGAACCAAGAACTTTCAAGAATTCCAAGAGTTTTTTGACCTTGAGAAACATCAGCTGCTAAAACCTGGACAAACCAGATGGTTATCAATGAAGATGTGTGTAGATAGAATCATTGAACAATATGATGCTTTGAAGCTCTATTTCACAGGTGCAGCAGTTGAGGATCCAACACATACCAATGACAGCATTCTGAAAAGTCTAAACAACAAGTTCACTCTAGCATACCTTGAGTTCATGGCTTTCAACCTTGGTAGATTTACTTCTTTCAACACTTTATTCCAAAGTGGAATCCCTGTGCTGTATCTGCTGAAAAGTGAACTCAAAACCCTGCTAACATCAATACTCTCAGATTTCATGGAGGTAAGTAAAGTAGAAAATAACTTAGATCTAAGTGGCCCTGTTACCGAATGAAGATATGGTAGACATACAAAACAAGTGAATAATTACTTTTATTCTCATACTTCTAAATTCTGATTACAGGTATCATATGTGCGAAAAAATGATCCATGGCATATTGATGTTAATGACCAGAAGCATTACGTCTCACTCAACAAAGTCTATGTTGGACCTTGTGCAATTGATACTATCCGAACCATAGAGGATGGTATTGGCAAGGACCATCCTGATGTGCAGCTATTTTTCACTCATTGTAGAAATTTTCAAATAGAATCTGTAAAGCAAATTTTGCTACGATTTGATGATTGTAGCAAGTTTGATTTCTTATCATTTCTCACACCTGTTTCTGCTTACTCCCTGTCTCCACCATCTTTATCGCAAGTCTACAGTCAATTTCCAAATCTAAAGGATGTTGCAGACTTGAGGGAAACTGATCGAGAATGGCGGCAACATGCACTTAGCCCCAATTTGAATGGTGAGAAGAGTTTTGAGGAATATTGGAAAGTGGTGTTCAGTGAGAAAAACCAAGGTGGAGAGAAAGTTTATCCCAATTTAACCAACGTGGTAGCTACAGCCTTATCTTTGCCATTTTCCAATGCTGCTGTTGAGCGTGTTTTTAGCCAACTAAGGCTTATCAAGAATGATCATCGGGCAACACTCAAGCAAGAAAGTTTGTTGGCTTTGCTTTCAACGAAGTATTCCTTCCTAAAGAAAGGAAAACGTCAGGCTGTTTTGATGGATCCTTCAAATGAAATGCTTAACCTGCACAAACGAATGAAATCCAATGCTGATGACGAAGATGCGGGAAAACTAAGAGCTGAATTTTTGAAAGAACTTAAAAACGCTTGAAACTTACAAAACCAAGATTAAGATATTTAGATAAGACAGAAAACAAAAACAGTTATCATTTACATTTACATCCTTTTGTTATTTATTGAAAATGAAAATGTTTAGATGCTAAACTAGGGCAAGAATTTTATTAAACACACTTGTCTTATTACCTCGTTTAGCACCAATGAGTTAACTTGTATTACGCTTTTACTTAATGGAAAATCTATAGAAATTTTGGGAGTGAATCTATGGAAATTCCACTCAAAATATGGAAATTTTTATTATGATATATGGATAAGCAGAATCTCAGAGTGGAAGCACTGACTTCATGTAACGACTTCAACTTGAGTTTATTTTTATTCACGGCCATCACCGGTGCGTTTATACATGTGATGAGTGATAATTTTTGTGCGTCGCTTGCAGTAAAAAATGCCTGAATAAAAATAAAGGGACCGTAGGCTTTGTGTGTTGTTTTCACGTGGAATCAACAGCCATCCCTCAAAATTATTTGTATCGAACTATCACGAGGTTCGACTTTGAAATTATTATGGTTACGCAAGGAAGACACTTCAAACTCAACTTGCATCAGCAATTATGAGGTGTAACGAAGGATTGATTCTTTAAAGTTACAAATCACATTTAGCGTATACCTAGTATACCAGTGATGGGAAAAAGGAACGGGCATCTGTTAGAAAATCCTGCTGCAAATGCCAACATCTACTCAGCAAATGTATCACAGAGGTAAGTTGACTAAATATGTTCTTTCTATTTTTTGACAATGAGTGGCATGCCACACGTACAAAGTCTTTACAATTTAAACACAAGTTAATTACAAATAGGAAGCCCGTGTTGTGTTTAGCTGTGAGACAGTATAAAAGCACTCGATTGGTGCCTTAATATTTATAGACAAACCTTATAAATATTGGTTTTATCAAAACTTTCAATCGTTTGAACGCGTATGTACAAATCTCTTGTTTATATCTGTACCTATCTTATGACTGTTATTAAACTGTTGTTAAATCAAACTTCGACAGCGCGCGTGCCATACTTTGCATATGAGCAATTTATTTGATTATCCATTGTTATGAATATTGTAAAGCCTGAAAAGTTTTTTCTATGAGAATATGCCAAACAATATTATTATTATTAAAGACATGAGGTATTTTAATTAATTTTTGACCACATATGCATTATATAATTTATGTTTCGTCTAATATAACCACATTTTAATATATATTTTATTACTATGCCTTTAAGAATATAATAAGTATATATTAGTAAAAAAGTGGATATCACTGGAAGGTTATTGTAATTATGAGTGTTAATATTAGAATGTGAGCTATTGGATAATACCATGCAAGTAAAATGCCACTCTTCAGTTCTTTGCATTGTATCCACTGTACTGCATTGTATAAATATTTTTATATATTAAAATGGTGATATATATTATAACTATATCATTTGTATTGAGGGAACTTGTGCAGTCCTGAAGGATTCCGCACTGATATTTTCAGTGCATCAGTGTAACAGTCCTGGGCCAATCAAGTACATTTTGTGGGTATTAGTAGAATTACATAGGCTATTTTGTACTGAAATTTAAGAAGTATATCATTCATGAAAGATGTGTAGGGGCAAATTGTCAGGTGATAAGAAAATGTTTTAGCCTAGGTTGGTTCCATTTTTAAGATCGAATTACTGTGGCAGATACAAAAATGTAAGAGTATTCGGTCATGTCAAAGACTAAGTTGCAATATTGCATATACTATCCCTTATTTTGATAATCTGTTATTTGAGTTCTCGGGCATCTTAAGCTTCATTCCTTTCAACATATGTTATTTATATCATTCATACAGGTTATACACTAGAAATTTTGATGTCAATACATATATGAACTGCACTTGTTCTCACATCATGATAGGATAATTCCTTGCAGGTGGTTTGGCAGCACTGAAAATAGTTACATTTTGTATTGTGATTGAAGACTCTATATTCCCCATTAGACAAGCATAGCCTGATAAATGGCATTTCTTGAAATGATGATGATTGTTTCATTCGGTTAAAGTGCTTTAGGGTGAGAAATCTATTGTATTTCAATTCAGTTTCTGGATAAAAAGTGATCAATCCATGTTTTTTCCCAATAACTCCTTTTCAATATCTCTTTACAAATAAAATGATGAATGCTTATGACACAGTCACAGCATGGTACATGCATGCATGTTGTGGGGAACAGCTTGTATGCTCTTGCTCTATGATCTCATTTGCATCTAACAGTATCAACCTTGCATCCTTGAAGCATATTCTGGGCCGATTCCATGGCAATAGTTCTTGCCCAGAAATGTTTATGCAGGCAAAGGCATACCCATATGTAGCATAATGACCACTAAATGTCAAGGGCTGAAGACGTGGAATAATTCTAGATAATATTCTACCGAGAACTTTTTGAAGAGGATTTAAAAAAGTCTTTAACTCTTTGATTCTGACTTATGATGACACTATGATGTCACAAGAGTCATGCACACGTATATCTGTACTTAAGAAAGACTACTGAAATGCTCGTATTACTGGCCTAGACAAAATAAACACGCTAAAATATGCGTGTTGCCAGTAACTGCGTCAACAAAAGACGCCACATGTGCGCGAAGTGGAATTTTTTTCGCCCTTTTTCAATTAGTTTTGCGTGCGACTCGGACACAACACAAACAAATAAAAAAATTGCCCCGTCGTCCGCACGCAAAATCCCGCCTGGATGAAACAAGAAAAAATTCTGCCACATGCATGTTGTACAAAATTTATCTGACAAAATTATTTTTGTTGGTGAGTCACAGGTGATTCGCTGACCTACCACTTGCAGAAAACTCTTTCTGCCAAACATAAAGCATTTTTATCACTTGTTTCACCAGTCGTGGAAAAGACGCACTGGAATCTTACTGTAAAAAGACACAGAAAGATTCCGTTTCGGAGAAATTTTCCTCCCAGGGGAATCAACCGATTAGCTCATCACAACATCTTCGTTTGCTGGTAAAGCCTGATTCTCATATTTGTCCTTTTTATTTAGATCTTTGACATTAAAAATCTTTACAATCTTTTAATACCTATAACATTAAACCGCTTTTGGAGTCTTGCAACAAACCGGTATCGTTGGACCCCAGTGGCCGGGGCGAGGTCCATTTACGAGCAGTCTTCTAAAAAAGGGCGGTTACCAGCGGTTAAATTCCGCCTACTTTTAATAACGCTTGAACAGGAATTGTTGTATTTGCCAGGTTCAACATGCATGTCGTTCATAAAGGTTTGGGTGGATTTTCACTTTGGTTCGGTAGCAAAGATTTTTCTGCAAGTGGAAATCCAAATTTATTCGACAAGAAATTCGACTAGAAATATATGTATATATCCATAACTACCCAATATCAAAAAGGTTCTTAATAATTAAACTAAAGGAATTACAGAAACAAGTTTACAATAACTCGGGAAAGCGCATGCGTATCAGCGAGACTTAACGAAAAGAAAATGGTGGGGCAAAGTTAGTTTCTATAAGCGACGCTTTCCAGAAACGTCTGGGATCTTTAGTTTAACTCGCGAACACGCGCACATGCGTCTCTTGTTTTTCTCCGCATTATGTCGTGTCTCATCTGGTCGCCTACGAGTCTACGACAACGTCGCATAAGAAACTAAAAAAATCCTTTCTTCCTCATCAAAATTCTAATCCATTTCCGCCATTCTGTTTTCGTTTTCTGTCGCTTTGCGCTTTGTCGAGTTATTCAGCTTGCTTCTTCAGTTTTAACGCCCACAGAAAGGAGATCGTCACTACAAAATTCGTGACAAAAAGTATTCAACGTTAAATTATTGTGCTACGGCTACGAGTCACGAGTGGCAAATCAGTAAAAACTCGATATTGTTCACCGCACATTAGAGCTTCCTTCCTAAGCACGATTCTACGAATGACATTTCGCTATAAGCAGAAACTCAAGTGTGCGCCGGATTAAGGTCAATTACACTTTAGTTTCGGTAAAATACTTCAATCTGAACATTCGATCTTATTTTTGCAGCTGAGCAAAACATGACGCACCAAGGGGGGGGGGGAGGTAGGGGTCATTGTAGTAAATACCGGACTAAAATTCTCTATTTTTACTGTCAGCTGGATGAATGGTACCTTAAAGAAAGGCAGTAAACAACCATTGGAGGAATCTGATATACGTGATGTGCTGAAAAGGGACTCGACGCTGCACCTCGCGACGAAGTTACAAAGGTAATTTCCTTATTTCGTTGGTAATTATTAATGTCTAAATACTATAATTTAACTACCATTTTTTCCTGATATGAAAGGGCAGGCGGACACATAAAATATGGGCAGTGATAATTTTTTTAATATAATTGGCGGCCATGTTTCAAAAGGTTTTTTTCGGTCGCAAGGATTCCAACGTGTGTTTTGCAAACGTGGCATCAGACTATATAGAACGTGTGTTCATATCTCAGTCTAGTAAACGTGACTACGGTTTTGTATATTATGGAAACCAGTATGATCACGGTATGAAACACATGTTGGAGTAACCATCTGGGAGATGAATTAGTTTTGCAACTAACTTTTTGTAAAATACAGAATGCAGAATACGCAAATGCTTTGCTTCGTTAGTTTTTTTGCCCGCCATATAAACCTTTACGGCTTGCATAATAATTATTTTAAGATTCCGTTTACACTATACCGGACTCGAATGGTCACGTTAATTTGTTTTCCCGTATCTCTGTCCCTGGAACTTTTTCATTTGGCAGATTATGCCTTAGTAAGGCAAAGAAGCATCTGGATATTTTGATTTCGCACCTAAATCTTTTGATTGTTTCTTTAAGAGCCTGGGATCATGAGGTAAAAACATCAAAGAATCCACGTTTGTGGGTGCCATTGATCAAAGTTGCTGGTGTGAAGTACTTTTTTTCATTAGTTTACATCGTTATAGAGGTATGATATTATTACCAGGGTAGAAGGGGAGACCCGAAAAATGGCGTTGTTTTTTATGTCTGTTTAATGCTAAAATGCTCAAAACATTTGCAATTGAAGTGACTGAATTCGATAATATTGTTTGGTGTTTGACATTTAATGATTATTGGTTACACCCCGCTAGATGGCAAATGGTGATGAATTTCCCAGCTTACCTGTTAAAAACTAATCTTTTATGCTCAGCCCCCGTTCAGTGCTCCACCTGGGTACCTCAAGCTCAGCCTAGTCCCAGGCCTTGTAAGCGCGCGCACAAGAATGCAAGGCGCACTAAAGAGGACTAAGGGACTAGTCTGGCTCAAGCTAGATCATGGCAGATATTTACACTGAATTAGCACATTGCACCTGTTTTAATCTTTCCTGTTTTATGATCAGCCCTCGTTCACAATCCTCGACCCAGGCTGACTGACAAACACTGTTGATCACCACAGCGCGCCGATTGGCCCAATTCTACTGGCGATTCAGGCTTGCTGATAAATACAGTATAGTGATGATAACCACATCTTGCCTATTTAAATTACCTTCCGTTTATTTTCCGTCCTATAGTTTAGCCTATATAGTCCTAAAGTTTAGCATCCACCTGCCTGGCCAGGCTCAACCTAAAATAATATGATCCTTAAATTAGTTTTATTTATTTCAGATGGCAGCACGTACTGCTCAGTCGATATTTATTGGTCAGATTGTAGCTGCCTTTTATGTCGACGGAGTTGATCGGAAGAATGGCTACTTGGCCGCTGGCTTGTTGACAGCGTGTACTTTTACTGAGGCATTGGCACACCATCCTCTATTCTTGGAATCACTTAGAACCGGAATGGATGTCAGAGTAGCCTTGTCTGCGTTGGTTTACAACAAGGTAAATTCAGTGGGTTGTTTGTTTGTACGATAATAATAGTCAACAAATGTATATAGACGATATATGCACATTCACCAAACTTGCATCCATTCCCAACGTAGCTAGACTCCCTAACTTTATCAACCTTTTTGTATATCTTAAATATATATGTGGCATTGTGGCAAATATGGTACTGATCAGTTCCAGCGAGTTTAAGGGGGTTAATAATAACGTAATAACTAACTAAATAAATAACTCCTATATTTCAGAAGTAGCTATGTGCTTACATAACTTTTCATCGTTTATACAGGCGTTGCGTATGAGCCAAGCATCTTTGGGTTACACCGACACGGGTCAGATTGTAAATCTTGTTACGAATGATGTTCAAAAGACTGAGGAGGTATAAACTATTACACAGTTCATTGCAGTAAAAAAGTAGCGATTTTTAGAATGGCCCTGATTTCTTTCTTCTCGTTGCTAATTTCTGTTATAAATTTCCTCCACTTCCAGTAAAGAGCCCTAGTGGTTGCTAATACCCATCTAGATTGGCACATTATTCTGCTATAAATTTAATTCCAGCATTATCCATCGCAATTTGGGCAACCATTTGCCGTGCGGACCCTGTTCTTGAATCTACAGTATAGCATGCTAACGTACTTAGGTCGTTTACGTGATCTAGTTTCCTGCGCATGAGCGGGAAGGTTAATTATCGTCCAACCAGGTTCGTTTCTATTTCTAGGCAATATTGTTTGCTCTGTTTCTGTTTGCTGCACCTGCTCTCCTTATTGTCGTTTCCTACCTTTGCTGGAGAGAAATTGAATTTGCATTCCTCGTAGGAATGGGTGTACTGCTATTTCTACCTGCCCTCCAATCTTGGCTAGGAAGGTTTTTTGCTTCGCTAAGGTCAGTACATACATGGTCACAGTATAAAGACCTTGAAAGTAAACTCATGTCTATGGACCTTTAAGTTTGTGTTCCCATACACGCATTGTCCATCATTACTCTGGCCAGTCAAGGACATGTTAATTAGCTTTCTGGCCAATCAACACGCGGACGCTGAACTGGCCAATGGATAGCATAAAATCGGGAGGACGTTCTACAGCTATATATAAAATTGTAGTATTTAAAATGACGAAAAATGCCAATACTCACCTATTACACCACATATGTAATACTCACCCATTACACCAAAAATACTAACAATACATGATTACTGACTGTAAATTTAAATGTACTTTTAAAAATGTTTTCGTAGGGCAAAGACTGCCATCCTCCGTGACAGAAGAATAAAACTTATGAACGAAGTAATATGCGGTATGAGGGTTATCAAGATGTATGCCTGGGAACGTCCTTTTTCCATGCTCGTTAGTAAGATCAGAAGGTATAACATATAAGTAGCCTTTTGGAAATTATAAGAACTACAAATTGCAATTACTATATAATATCACTATTTTGTACAGAGTATGTACATTTCTAATCAGGATACAGTGCAAGAACGCGTCACATTTATCTGAACTTTTGCATGGGCCCTATTAAACTGACTGTTATTGTTCAACTGAATTTTTGGCTAATTGCAAAAAGTAACCTCATTATGCGTGGTGAAGGTTGCTTCAATTTGTGTACATTACGATATGCCGTAACCTTTTTTTCTTTCATAGAGAGGAGATTCTGAAGGTTCGGAATACGTTAAGGCTAAACGCGGTCAATGCTATGTTTTACCTGACCACTATTCCTCTAGTCTCAGCAGCCATGTTTATACCATACGTTTTAACCGGGCACACGCTTACCAGTGAGAAAGTGTTTACGGTCATCGCTATCATCTCTACAGTCAATGTTGTTACGTCCGTGTTTGTACCAAAGGGTATAACAGGCCTCAGTGAAAGTAGTGTTTCCTTTCGTAGAATACAGGTATGTTTTGCGCTGTTTCATATGCTTGATCTTTTGACTATTATTATCAACCTTTATGACTGAAATATTGAACGGAGTTCCACACAAACCCTGTTATTTTCTTGAACTAGAAGCGTCGTCGGTTCTCCTCTCGCTTGTCGCGCTGATTACCCCACAGCCCTTTACTGAATTATTCATGTAACTTAGCTCTTAACATGGATATCTTTAGTAACATTATACCTGCGTTATTCTGTTTAGAAATTTTTGCTTCTCGATGAAGGACTAACGTTGTCAGTGAATAAGGTTGAGGGAGTCCCACCCAGTGTCTCTGTAGAAAAGGTGCATTCTTCTTGGACTAAGGTAATGTACAGATGTTATTTCGTCACAAGTACCATTCACAACGTAGATTTTATATTATAAAATAACATGTATATAACGCGTGTTCTGATTGGTCGAAGCCCGTCTTTGGATCGACACCGCAGAAATTGGTGTTTAAGACGTTTCAACGCGAAAATCTAATCGCTGGTTCACAATTGTGCATTTCTTTATCGCCCTATCAAAGAGAAACCTTTTGAATATCTTAAAAAAGTTCAATTTTTCTTCTGAATACGCATTCTGCAATCTTTTGACAGCTCATCAAACACATCTGACCGCTGTGAAATGGCCATTTTGAGGCTTAAAGTATACACAAGGTTATTAATTCAGACGATTCGTTTTTACCGTGAGCAAGCTTCAAATCTTTTGTGCAAGACATATTTTCTTGAATATTTATAAATCTTTTTCCTCACCAAGTTTGAAGTCTAAGTATCGAGAATTGCGGCTAAGCCTATACCAATTTCCGCGGTGTCCTTTGGATCAGGCCATCCAAACACGGAAATTTAATTCGTCTGAAATATAATTTGAATTGAGAAAAGCTCGCAAAACCACTAGGCCATCCAAACACGGCAACACTTGAGTAATTGTTTATTCTTTACATAACTCCATTAGGAAAGTACGGAAGAAACTTTATCTGACGTCAGTTTCGAGGTCATCTCGGTAAGCGCAGTATATAACATGGTAATGGTAGGCATGTTTATCAGTAGATAGCCATCCAGTTGTATATAGAGTTCGCTGCTATGAACATCTGGTAATTACTGCTTTGTAGTGTTTGACGTACAGCCTGCGTCGGAATATACTAATATTCGTGATATAATCTATCGTTACAGGGCGAGCTTTTGATGGTTATCGGGCCAGTTGGATGCGGAAAGGTACTTGATTGAATACACAAGTTCTGTATAAAAGCATGCTAGACATCAGCTAAACATATAAAATAGCATTTTATTAAATGTCGCCACAATCGAAAAATATTGCATGGTTTTTGCTTTACATGGTTTGTGTTTTAGTCTTCATTATTAATGGCGTTACTCCGCGAACTTCCAATCACAAGTGGTTCTGTCCGTATCAGTGGTCGGGTTGCTTATGTTTCTCAACAACCTTGGGTTTTCTCTGGAACTCTCAAAGAAAACATCTTGTTTGGAAGAACGTTTGATAAAACGAAATACGAAGAAGTCGTACATGTCTGTGCTCTTGAAACGGTTCGTACCTTATACCGTGTGACCTGCATTCAATGTATTCACTGAAATAAAGTTTTCCTTTTAAAGCATTCCCTAATTGCCCTATTTTGCTATGTTTCTTTTTCGTATCCTCCCATGCAGGATATCGCAGCTCTTTCCGAAAAGGACAACACGTTGGTTGGTGAACGTGGTGTATCGTTAAGCGGAGGACAAAGAGCAAGAGTCAACTTAGCAAGGTACATGCTTGTACGTTTCTTACTTTACCTCGAAATAAACCAGCTTTATTATTAAATGGATGTACTTTATACTAGAGCAATCTACATGGATGCAGACGTATATTTAATGGATGATCCACTTAGTGCTGTTGATGCGCACGTGTCAAGGCATATTTTTAGCAAGTAAGATTATATTACAGTTAGTTACTTGTATTATTGTCCATCTAATGTGTCCAATGGAAGTCAAGGTTCAAACCAACTTTTTTGTAATTTTTATTCGCATTGCAAAGATCATTTAAAATGTAATTACATAATGACATTCCTAATACACGCCAATTGTGTTGAATTTGTTGTTGAACCCGAATCTGTGAACTTACCCTTCAAGCGTTATAATCGTAATTGAAATAATCGTAATTTTTAATGTTTAACTATTTTTCCATGCAATCAAATCGTTGTGTGAAATTCCGTTGCCTGCAAGAACTTTAATTAAAAGCATAGACATGCATGTCATTGACTTTAACATCTTAAATCAATTCTAACATCTATAATCAATCTTAACATTGCTTTTTTAAAGGTGTATTCGTGGTATTTTAAAGTCCAAAGTTTGTATTCTTGTGACACATCAGTTACAATTTCTGAATGAAGCAGATCGGATATTATGCTTACAGAAGGTAAACTACCATGAATATATTCATAAAAGGCCTCTTAATTCTTTTTAAAAATGGCTCCCACAAACTGAAAGTTAAACCATCTTACCGTACCACCTTAAATTGGATGAATTTTCAGAACAAGGAGGAATTTCATTTTAGAACAATCAGCAAGTTTGTTTACTACATTTTTAGTAACCCACTTTTTTTTATTTTGGTAAAAAAGTGCTTTTTTGCCATTTTTCATTAGTTTTAAAAATTTTTGCATTCTGATTGGCTTAGCCTGAAAAATGTACACAAATTTCCCGATTAGTTTGAAAACTAAATACCTCCTTATTTGTTGATTTGTAGGGGTTTTTACACCAGATATGAGCACAGGCAAAAGAAACTTCACTAAGGCATATAATATCACTATTTTATATCATATAATATCACTATTTTATATCATTTTTTAAAGGGAGCTGTCGTTGGCTATAATAATTTGGAAAAGCTGAAGGAAGAAGGAATTGATATTTTATCGATGATCCGTGTTGATGATGAGGAAGAAGAGGGTCGTTCGTTCAGTTTAGAGTCTTTTAAAAACCATGACCACCAAGTTACCTTTAAACAAAAACTTAAACGTAATGCTTCGCATTCTCCGGGAACAAATAGAAAGAATAAACACAAGTCTTTACATGATTTTGGTGCAAAGGATCCATTATTGTCAATCAATGGTGGCGAAACATTAAGTCGAACGCAGTCTGCTCATGATTTAGGAGCGTTCTCTCCAGATCTAGTACATCACGGAAGAATAAGAGCTGCAACAAGCGTGTACGACCTTGAGTTAAACGACATTGAAGATGTTTTAAGTGTGGTAAGTGCAAATATAGGGCATGAGCTGTTAGACCTGCTTGAAAATGACAATACTTGACAATACATTGAAAATGACAAAAGTGTATCTGTTTTCATTTGATATCTTTTTGAGAGTGAAGTAGTTTTTAATAATGTAAGGAGACATTATATACTTTGTGATTGTGGTTGGCTATCAAACTAGCATGGTATCGACTGTCAGATAGCACAAAAATATCGGTCTAGTTCTGTAGCCTACACATTCATTTTGGTTTATTAAATCATTAGTATTTTCTTTATTTCGTTTGAAACCATTCAAAACTTTTAATTATTATAGGTCTATTGTAAGTCTGGAAGCATTATATACAAGTGATGGATTCGTTTTATTTATCATTTTATTTATCATTTTATTTATCTTACCTAGCACCTGAAATGTACAAGTTTGAAATTGTTTCAAGAAAATAAGTAAAGATCGATCCAATATGTTTTAGGTTGATGAAAAAGAAAACACCGAAAATCGTATTACCGGTGGTATAAAATTCAATTTGTATAAAGACTATTTTCTCGCTGGAGCTAAACCCTTTGCAATATTACTGTGCTTCATAATCTTCTTTTCTGGCCAGGTATGCCAATTTTTTATTAAATGCGTGAAGAATATTGACTTGAGAAGTTCTCTAGAAAGTTCTTGGCTAAACTCGCTATTAGGAACGGAAAAATACTCCAACTACAATTTTAAACTTTGGGGGCCACTGCACTGTATGCACTTACCACTGAGCTCTTACCCAATCCCGTAACCAGAACATTCGCAGGCTCTGGATGCGAGATTGGCAATTACCTTGAGGTTCCTTGAGGTATGACGCGAGTTCATATTACTGTATGAATTTAAATTTATATTAACGGATACTTGTTCATCCTAGGTGTCCCTCATAATATCTGAATGGTGGCTAGCACAATGGTAAGCCCAGCTATTGAGATTTCGCTTGAGCTAGGATGGAAATAGAGAAATATTCTCGTTTGGCCTCGCCTACGGAGCCTGCAAAGATATCTGTATACATTTTCCTTTCGTTGTTAGTTGCAATAACCTTCGAACATTCTCGTGCTATGTTGTGCTATGAGTGATTTCTCGTTAGACTGAGATACGTCATCATTGTCACGTGCGATGAGTGCATTGATTTCTATTGACCTTCCCAGCCAATTCCTGAATTAGCCATCAGCATGCGAAAAGATGAATGAAAGCCCGTATTGTTTAAGTTTAGAGTATATTTCATAATAATCTATTTTTTGAAACTGTAGTTTACCAGTATTTTTTGTTACCGAATGTAGCTGCATGAGGAACTTCAATCACTGATTTTTGCTTTAAATTTTAGGTCAGACTGGGAAGAAACCACAGTAAATAGCAACAACTCTGATACTATCATTGAGGAAGAACGCACTAAAAATATAACAGTCTATGTTGCTACAGTTATTTCGGTGTTTATCGTTTCATTTCTAAGAGCTGCTTTCTGGTTTCAAATATTGTCCAGCGCATCACGACACTTGCATGATAAGATGTTCGATGCCATCCTCAAAGCTCCGATATATTTCTTCGACACAAATCCTGTTGGTAGGTATAATTATGTTGTCTATATGTAGCTACCGCGGTCGCATAATATTATATTCTATATGGATACAGCACGATGTATCATGGACCCACTGCTATATAATATATTACAAAGCAGTTACGGCCCTGGAACCGAATCTCAGAATCTTATACGTTATGCCTTTTTTATAGGGAGAGTTTTGAACCGATTTTCAAAGGATATAGGCTTGATGGACGACATGCTTCCATTGGCATTTTTTGATGCTATTCAGGTTGGGTTGATTATGTTTAAACCACAAGCTGGGGAACTAAAAGCTGCCCTTTCACCTGAACTCTGTGCAGATCCAGCCAGGCGCCGATTACACTATACTATAGATGTTTGGAGCGAGTCGCATTTTGTAGATATTAAAATACTGCGCAAAAGATTTTTCATTTCAGATACCTAAATGAATATACAAAAACCTTTTAACAAGCATGCATATAGCCACTAAATTTTGATTCTCAACGGCAAGAAAATATAATATATTTCTAACAGCGAGTCCAGCATGGTGTAATCGCAAGCTAGCATGCAAATCACGTCGTGCAGGGTTTTAGAAACGTTTTCTTTCTTTAGCTTGCAGTCTACGCTTTTGCAATACTTCTTATAAGCATTATTTCTCAACCTTACATTGCTGTCGTCGTCGTGCCTATTATTGGTGTCTTCGTTTGGTTACGGCAATACTTCGTTAAGTCGTCCAGGGAGATCAAGAGGATAGAGGCCCTAAGTAAGTTACGCTCATTGCATAACCTATATACATATATACGGCTTTTACGGGGGGTACGATACATGAAGTACCATGCTTTTTCATTGTTATTTCAGGTCGTAGTCCTCTGTATTCTCATATCTCCGCTACCCTGCAAGGCTTAGCAACTATTCGTGCTTCAGAAGAGCAACAACAATTCGCTGAAATGTATAACAAGTATCAAGATCGTAACACCTCTGGAAGTTATTATTATTTAGCTGCCAATCGTTGGTTGGGTTATAGACTTGATTTAATTTGTGCATCGTTCATGACGTTTGTTGCATTTATTCCGTTTATTGCTTACGAGGTTGGAATAGGTACAGTAAGATTTGTACAGCTAGGTACATGTTATGCCCATGCAAAAAACTGAATTTATTACAGGTTTTAGAGACACACAGTATTTTCGAGAAATTATCTCAGTGTTGACTTCCACATCATCCGAAATTTTGTTCAACCTAAAATTCTATTATTTTAGGAGTAAATCCTGTTCTTGTTGGTTTATCGTTAATTTACACAAAACGGCTAACTGGAATGTTTCAATTTTGTGTGAGGCAAACTGCCGAAGTTGAAAATCAGGTACATTCAATCATTGCATGATATTGTTCTTCTCTGTATCAGAAGAATCTGTTATGTTCAAGTTTAAATTGTCCCCTGAACATAATACAGGACAATTTGCACGCATAGGGTTGGTAATTGAGAAATCATGGGAGGAAGTATACAGTACCTATATAGCCCCAAGTGTCCTCACCCTAGGTACTAGTTTGAAACAAATTTTGCACGGTTTGTCATGTCTAAGCAGATTGTCATGACATATTTAGATGGTGTCAGTGGAACGAGTGCAACAATATAGCAAACTTGACCATGAAGCAGATCTGGAAATATTAGATTCCAAACCACAAGAGACCTGGCCAGAGCGTGGTCAAATAACTGGTGAAAATGTTTCTTTTCGTTATCATCCCTCCCTTCCTTTAGTTCTAAAAGGCATCAACTTTAATATTAAACCAAAAGAAAAGGTATTAATGTTGTTTTTACGACCAGCCAGTGATAGTGATATGTTGTTGTTCGACCTGATACAAGGTCGCATCACGGTTATGTAGCTAGTTGTATCTGATGTATAGGGTTTGGGTATTACAATTATAAGCATAGATAACTATTAATCAGTAGATTATTCAGACGAATGCATGAGCACAGACATTTTTAAAAAGGAATGGATTGTTATTAATCATATCTTGTTTTTTGGGTCTAAATAGGTTGGGATAGTCGGTCGTACAGGTGCTGGTAAATCATCGTTAATATCAGCCTTGTTCCGGCTTGCTGAACCACGTGGTAAAATATATATTGATGGAGTGTCTATTAAAGGGATAGGGCTACATGATTTAAGAAAAAAACTATCAATAATACCACAGGTCAGTTCTTCCAAATGTTTAGTTTGGTTTAGTAAAGTTATCGTGTTGCACTACGATATAGAATTACGGTCGCATCTTCATGTTAAAGTCCCTACCCTCCTTTACGACCACCCTACCGTAATCTATCATATTGTATTGTAATGCATGAAATGTATTCATCTCGTGCTCATGCAGTTCTTGCAGTATTTCGAAAATGAATATTAACAAAACGCCGTTCGTGTATTTATTGTCAAGTACCAACTTCATTTTAAATCTCATCAACTATCGTTGTGTTAGGAGTGGGGTTAACATCTGAACTACCAAATAACAATCAAAATGATTGTAAAAAAATTTGGAAAAAATTTTATTCCTTCCGTAATCACTGGCTGAAAGGAAAATAACTTGCGTGATGTCATCATGTGACGTCATCGTGCGCCTCAATGATGTTCTTTCAAATGCGAAAACAATTTATTGTCCGATCTGGTTGCTTCCCTCGATTTCGATATCACGTAGATGAAAAAGGGAGGCGATAAACTGCATTTCCCTATATTAATATACTTTTCCTTACTTTAAAAGGATCCGGTTATATTCACTGGTTCGGTTCGTGATAATTTAGATCCATTTTCTAACCATAAAGATGTCGAAATTTGGAATGCATTAGAGCAGGTACGTGAGTAATATTTCCCCTCAGTTTATGAAAGGGTTAACTTGGGCTTTTGGAAATGGATCAAATTTGATTTGTATAAACGTGTCACGTTACATATACATATTTTCCCATGTAACTTTCCAGCATGGTTAATTCCGATAGTTTGTGGTATTCTAATTCTCCACTTTAATTTTGTGCTTGGTCGTATCAGAATACTCCTATGCAGAATAACTTAAAACTACAATCTTGGCCAAAAGTTCATAAGACGATCCCCCCTCTCCCCTGTTTCAATGTTGGTCCCTAATGTTTTAATATAGTAATCGTTGTGATGTCGTGGAGACGAAAGGCCATTGTGCATGCATTAGAACTCAACATTGAATGGGGAGAAAGGGGGTGAACACATTTTTGGAGAAAAAGATGCAATCGTCCTAAGCGTTTTGGCCAAGATTGTACATTCAAATCACTGATTAATGTTTATAGTGAAACTTACCAAGGCCGTTCTAGAAACATGATGTTTTTTTCTTTATAGTTTCTCAGCTGGGCCTGTTGGTCCCCGGCCGTACATTTCAGATAGACACTGATCAGTCTTTCGATAATTTTCTCAACGAATATAATTACAGGTTCAGTTAAAAGAAGTTGTCAATAACTACTCTGCGAAATTAAACTTTCAAATAACAGAATCTGGCAATAATTTAAGTGTTGGACAACGTCAACTTATTTGCTTGGCAAGAGCGATATTGAAACATAATAGAATATTAATTATTGACGAAGCAACAGCTAATGTTGATCACAAGTAAGCACACATCGATAATCATTGTTTTTGCATATCACGATGTATCTCTATGCTTGTAATAAAATTGTACAACTTAAAAACACCTATCTTTCTTTTTATACAGAACGGATGAATTAATTCAGGAAACAATTCGGGATAAATTCAGAGATTGTACTGTTCTTACTATTGCACATCGACTGAATACCATAATGGATGCTGATAGGATAATGGTAGGATATTGATAGGACAACTGAAGAGCGGTTCCCCTTACTTCTCATTCACCAATCCACTGACGGGACCCTAAATCACGTAGAACACAATACCATAACCATTCTAAGTATCTCTCCTTTACGGAAGAGTATAAACTAATCTGATGAGCACCATTTTGTTTTCCCACTGTTTTTGCCTGCTTATATACGGCTTTGAAAGCGCAATTAACCCTATAAGTCACCCACGCTACATTCCAGCATAAAATTAAATAATCAAATGTATTCAGAAGTCATCCTGTTCGCCTTTTTAAAGAATGCATACGTTGTACCAGGTTGTCATACAATGTCTCAAGACATAATATTGCTCTTTAGGTTCTGGACGCTGGTAGAATTGTCGAATTTGATGAGCCTTATGAACTTCTAAAGCGGCCAGACTCCGCCTTCTCTCTAATGGTAACACAAACTGGAAAAGACAGTTCTCTTCAATTACAAAGAATGGCGAAAAATGCGCATGACAATAGAGCGAATCAGTAGAATATTTTAATGCGTCGTTGCGTTAGAAACAGTGTTGTGTTGGTTGTTAACAACCGCGTTCATATTTACTTGAATTTTTGTCAAGTCTTTTAGGTTTTTATATTCGTTCAGTTATTCCAAAAAGACACTCAAACTCATTGAGTGGGAGCTAGATCTCAATCACCTCATAAAGATTCCGTGACGGCATTTTCACTCAAATACTGAAGAGCTTGATTTTCAGTTCTTTACCTAAATCTTTCCACTGTTTAAGCAGTATACATAAGAGAATTTCTACATGTCACCTTGTCACACTCGATGAGAATGAGTGAGCTTTTTGAATTTTCAATTAATAAACAATTATTGGCCAAAGGCGAGGTGATTATCGCGTAATAATCGAATCGAATTCGAATCCGAGGTCAGAATTTTCAATAATCATCTTTGTAACTATTAAAGTAACACAAAAGTATTTAAATTTCAACACTAACAAAAACGATTGGATAAAGAACGAACCAATTTTGCATCGTGCTCAAATTCGTTTGGTTCCCGTGTTCACGCGGTAGAAATAGTTGAAAAGTCAGGTAGTAAAGTTGAATAAGACTAAATCCTAAAATATATTTCTATTTTATTCTATTTACTATCCATTCACCCATCATTATACATTATATATATATTACATATCTATATATAAAAATTTGAAAATTAAACTTATACTTATACTTAAAAGTATTAACCTCGCAGTGCAAGAGAGGGCCTGTGATCGACCTTTAAAAATCCGCTCATGCGACCGTGACGGGCATGAAAAACACACCAAATTTCAACAAACCACCTATGGATCTATTCAATCGTAGTTTTTTAAGTATCATCTAAATGATTTTAGTATTATTGGAAATCTGAGTGTGGCAACCGGCACGCGTATCCCGAGGTTTTGCATTCAAAACGTTAACTTGTATTCTATGCGAGGGTCTGGCAGCAACTACCTTTTATCTTCACCGAAAATCGTCTTTTGGCTTTTTCCTGACGTCAAATTTCAAGAGGATTAAGACCAAACGCTAACTAACAACTGCTTGTTAGTCTCTTGTATCTCTCTGGATTCCGAAAACCATTTCTTCTTCGCTTCTTCTACTTTGTCGCCCATTTTGTCAAGGGTGTCCTAGAACAGTTAAAGTGTAACAATGAGCATGCAGAGGCAGTGCAGCCATAAGGCAGGTCTGGGAGAAACTTTATCCCAGGCTCAATGCAGAAAAAGGCCTTCGAGTAATGTTTATTATACACTAACTTCTTAATGATGATATACCAAATATTGTTAGGTACATAAAAACGTTACGTCTGTGGTGTGCCTAAAAACTCACATGGAGCAAAGTTTCATATGCAGACTCCATTGTATCAATTTTAAACTGTAGTTCAGTTATGATTGCATCTTTTTCTTCACGAATGTTGTCACGTTCTTTTCTCGCCTCGTGTAATTCTGCTTCAGTTGATGCTACAAGAAAAACGGAAATCCAACTTTGTAAGTCTCTTAAAACTGTCACTACGAAAACCAGGAATGAATTAACATTGCATTTCTGGCAAGCAATGGCTAGTAAAGTACATGGTTATTATTCCAACTTTTTTTTGTTACCAGTCCCTGAGATGAATAAAATACTCAAGGAAAAGTACTTTAGTACGGTACCTAGTTGAGATTGTAAGGTAGTCACTGTTTGTTCCAGAATATGAATTTTTAAACCAAGTTCTGATTGCATCATCTTATACTGACGAGTGAGATCTGGAAAGCAGATAAATATTATATACATAAATATTTGGTTTAAGGAAAAAAGTATTTGCACAAACAACATTTTTGAAATACATCTGGTGGTATTTGTGTATGTAAAATTAACATTTCACATGTAATTATGCACATGTAGAAATATCCTGTGTAAATATAACATTCAACATGTAATTATGCACCTGTAGAAATATCTCGTTTATCCTCTTGTTCTTGTTTTACGTCTGCCTCTGCTTCATGCATGCGCTCTTCCATTCTTGCCGACATTTCACGAGACCTACGTGCATGTTCTGTACGTGTTGCTATAAATGCAATGCACAATTTAGCGACAATATTAATGCACACAAACTCCAGAAGCTACAAAGCTAACTGTTTTATCTGCATAATCAAATAGTCTGCATATCTGGTCAATCTATATTTAAATATATACCTAATTCAACCTTGAGTGATTCAATTTCTTCCATTGTTCGCTTATATTTGTCCTCTACTGTAAGCTCTGTCTTTTCCCCTGTAACACCAGTTGAACATAATATACTACCTTTGGACTGAAAGCAAACTATGTGATACACAGTGGTGTAGCCAGAGTCGATAATTGGGGGGGGGGGGGGCACATATTCATATACTCATGTTCACATAGCGTAAAAACAATCGATTTCAAAAGAAATTAATAACGCAGAACACAAATATATGAATATTTGCCCCTCCAATTATCGAGCTGGCTACGCCACTGGTGATACCAGGCTCTAGGCTCTTATAGGTGGGCAGGTGATAGGGGGTGCCACACCAAGTTCAAAAGTAAAATTCTGAATACTCTCTTGACATGCAAGCTTAACTGTTTTTTAAAGCAAATTTTATCTGAATAAGATTAAAATTTCAGAATATTGCAAAATATCAAAAAGCGATACTGAAAATTAAATAGATTCTCCATGTTGATCCAAACCCCTCTTCTGAGTCTTCTCAGAACACAGGAATGAAAATGGTGAGTAGCTATCGTTTGATTCGGTCATACCTGCCCCCTTTTTCTTCTTTTTTTTAGCTTTTACAGTCTTCTTTGGAGGCATTTTGATAAGATTTAACTGCCTATATGAAGCAACTTTATTGAATAAAAGAATTAGGCAGTACTTTTTAGAAAATTTCAATAAAACTCTTGTTTACTTTGGGTTGTAGTTGGCGTGGTAACACGAATTTACCCTTTATGACCCCGAGTTATCCATCAACCACCTACACGTCCCTTCGTTATCCCTTTCTTTCGCAAGAAGATAATGGCTTCAAAATTACGAGTTCTTGTTGGTTGTAAACGTGTCATAGATTATGCCGTGAAGGTAAGTTAAAATGAAAGAACGAGCGTTTAAAGAAAGTGGATTGATTCTGTGTGTTTATATCCGTGTAGATTCGTGTGAAACCTGACAAAACGGGGGTAGTAACCGATGGAGTAAAACACAGTATGAACCCTTTTGACGAAATAGCTGTTGAAGAGGTATCAATATAGCACAATTCTTGCATTAAAGTTTGGCTTTATTGTGCTGTAACGCTCAGTGCAATTGCTTTAGTTAAAGATAAATGTTTTGCATTATGCTTTGCTGTTACAGACGATTTTTACTACAATTTGAGTTTTTGCAATTCGAGGTGCCATTTTCGTACGATGTTCTCGCACATATAAAACAGCCATTCATTATACTAATCCACCTAAATTACATTGATCAAAAGACGAAAATTGCGGTAAAATTGTGTGCACTGGCCTCATTAATATTTATATCACTAAAGGCCCTGCTGCATGGTGCAATTTGTGATGCAATGTCCTCACACTTACATTTTGAAGACTCTTCATTTATAATATTTACATCTCTAAAAAGCAGCATTGCATTTGACAAACTAGTGCAATGTAGCCACCAGTGTGGAAAGTTTGCAAACATGGATTTGTGATAACCCAATAACATTATTTTCTGTTTGAAGAACCAGAATGTATCATAAAGCAAATTGTTTTATAATATTAGTTTTAATGCTACATAATAATAATACTGTATATAGTTTTTCAAAATGATCACAAACACTTTTCTAAACTTGTATGTTTAAATTATAAATATTTATGATCAAACAACATTTTCTTCTCTAATTTTCTTAATGGTGGAACTAGAATCAATTTAAGTAAAATAGACGTCTATATGTGTTTTTTTATGGTTGCAGGCAGTTCGAATGAAGGAAAAAGGAATTGCTGAAGAAATCATAGCATTGAGCTGTGGACCACCTAAATCTGAGGTCATTTTTCTGTAGTGCATGGCTTTATAACTATACATGTGTTTTCTATCTATTTGAAGCTTTTTTTGTCACAACACACTGCCAAAACTATGAATAGTTTTTATACAAATCATATGAACATTTTTTCTTCCTGAAAATTGCCTATGATATATTGTCATCCTCACTATCATCAGTGCCCTCATGCAATTTTGGAATCGTCAGTTGCTGTAGTGTAGTGTATATAATAGAATTTAACAAACAATTTTATTAGCTGCTATTTCAACTGTGTGGTTTTAGTGGCTATGAGTTTGCTGTTATTTGCTGTTGTTTGATGTTCATTCAAATATAATTCACTACACCAATGCTTACATTCCTTACCCATTTTTACAAATTGCAATTCTTGAGACTACATAACTGATTATATGTATTATAGCTATAGAACAAGTTATATTATTTTGTACATCATCCTCAGAGTGAGTAATTAATTTCATTTGTTTTTCTTTCTTTGCAGGAAACTCTAAGGACTGCTCTTGCTATGGGAATGGACCGTGCAATCCATGTTGTGGTTGATGAAAAAGACACCAGCACACTAGAACCACTGGCAGTTGCAAAGTTGTTTGCTAAAATTGCAGACGAAGAAAAACCTGATATCATTCTTCTAGGCAAACAGGTGACGGTCACTGGCATAACACAATTCTATTATTGAGTTACTCACTGTAATCTGTGTTTCAAGCTGCATGTAGTTTGTTTTCACGTATATAACCAAAGTAATACCCAATTATAGGCTATTGATGATGATTGCAATCAAACTGCTCAAATTTTGTCAACGCTTCTTAACTGGTCACAGGTACGTAGTTACATAGAGAATACACACCTAGACTATACTTAATTCTTGCACGCTGTCGTTTCTTACACCGACCGTAGGAAAATAGTGTAAAACTTTCATTTATCTAAAATCGTTTTTACAAACGACAAACGTGTTAATGTGATTTTTTTGGAATATTCTCTAACTGATAGTGGCATACCACATATTTGATCATCTGAAATGGAAAATTACTTCTTGCAAAGGATCCTCGATTTAGGAATACTATAAGATTTAATCAAAGTTATAGCAAACAACGGGCGATTTTGAAGCGATTGAAAAATCACTATTCGGTGGGTAGCGCTATCCGGCTTTCATACAACCGGCCACTGATGCTTTCCTTCCGAATTTAGGCGACATTTGCTTCGGCTATAGAACCGAGCGATGGACAATTGAAAATAACAAGAGAAATCGATGGCGGTTTAGAGAATATCTCCGTAAAGCTACCAGCTGTTATATCTGCTGATTTGAGGTGATATACACTATATCAGCATGCCGAGTATTGTAGCTATCTAGTATAAACACTTTCTCTGTTCTTAAAAAACATTCATTGCTTTATGCACCTCTGTGTAAATTCTCTCCTACTTTACTAAACTGAAATCCCCCAATCTCTTTTAGACTGAATGAGCCGAGATATGCTACATTGCCTAACATCATGGTAAGATTGTGTTAGTGTATTATCCCTAATGAGACGTCGAAGCCTCGGGGCAAATGTCCCCCTCCACAAGTCACAACTCTTGCTGACAGGGGCAAGGGTGACTATGTTCTCCTTACTACCTATATAACGACAATATACATTCCCGTCTAAATTTTTAATTTTTTTTGCATAATCTTCGCAATAAAATATATATTAATATTTACAAATGTCATATATCTGAGAATACGTTTTCGGTTTTCCTGGGAATATATTTGTAAGTGTAGTGTAGAATGTAAGTGTGGTTGTAGTCTAATATACTGGTTCTTATGATTATTGGCACGACGTTAGACTTAGTATGCTTTTCTTATACCATTCTGTAACAAATGGAAAGATTTTGCGACCTGCCTGGTAACATTTACACATTTTGCGACCTGCCTGGTAACATGCAGTTTGAGGGTTAGTGGTTTGGTTGGTGGTGGCAAAGGCTTAAGGTTGATATATTTAGAGAGAGGAACGGAGAAAAGTCCTAGAGAGCCTCGGAGGACCAACCAATCTCCAACTTACATTTTAGAAAGCTAAGAAGAAAAAGTTGGATAAGAAGAATCCCCAAGACCTGGGAGTCGATGTCTCGCCAAGGATAGAAATATTATCAGTTGAAGATCCTCCAGTTCGTCAAGCTGGCATTAAAATAGAAAGTGTCGATGACTTGTTGGGAAAACTTAAAGAACATGGCTTTGCGTGATGCTCTTATGACAAGCGGCTGACTGTTTAGGAAAATTGTTATTTTTAAAATAATATTGTTTATATATAATAAATTCACTATCAAAATTGTGTTTTCATTTTTCTGCACGCATATGCTTGATTTTTTGCGAAGACAAAATGGCGACTGTAAAATCTTATTCAACTGAAGAGTGAAGATGATAGGATGAATGAGTCTTTTTCAATATGATAAGAAAATTATTATCATATTTTATTATTAAATGTACTTTTATTTTAAAAAGTACATAAATCTTATGTATTTAGATAGACGCTGATAACAGTTTTTGCCTGCTCTAATGATCACGCGCAGCAATAGTTCAGCTGATGTGGGTTTTTGCTGCGGAATTGGTCACTTACGTAAGTGCGTAACCCCGACGATATATCGCGTTTGATTTTTTCTGTATGCGACATGCGTGGCGGAAAATCTCTTATTCACTGCTTTAGATATGAATATATTGTAGGCAATAAATTATAGTGTGTTTCTCAGGTTTTTTGCCTGTATTGTGAATTTAGTTTTAGGTAAAAGCTCATGGTAAAAGCTCTCGTTAGTGGAAAACATAGAGAGCTCAGCTAAATGTGTGTCCCAGGCAAATGCTTACGTGCGATCGTGGTGGCAGGCCTAATTCGATCACTTTGGGGGAATATTTCACTGTTTTTTGGATCAAAACAAAAGATCATGCACCTCTCAAATTCAAACACATCCGGCTAGATCGAACTTATATGCGCCTTCGTGATTCTGCGGCGTAACCTTATGTTATGGACCGAATGAAAATAATCCAAAGATTACACAAATAAAAACATTCGTTATTTGTTTTACATGACACCAAGTTCTAATATTATTGAGTTACTGAAGTGAACAATTTCTAATTTTGTGATTTTGATTATTTGGTTTCGTATACGATCAACTGCGTAAGAGCACGGTGCATGCGATTATTATTGTGAGTGATTGGTTGTAATGAAAGCAACCGTGTGATGGAAAAATCTATTTGAATCTATTTATCTTTTGAATCTATTTACCGTGTAGTGAAAACCTTCATTGGGCAGTACACGGTAAATGTTTATTAAATACCACGTGATATAAAAAAACAACCAATCAAAAGGCATTAAAAGAATAGCGTGTATACAATATATTATATAGGCGGATTGACGATGTGGTGGGTAACATTTCTTTTTCATCTTTAAGTGGGGTGATTTCTCTTCATAAATAATGACCGGTCTCTTATAGCTAGGCCAAAGTGGGACTAGATTGCTTTATAAAATATCCTAAATCTTTATAAAATATATAAAATCCCAGGTCTTACAGATATTCGCTACAAAAAACTTCCACCTAACATCTTCCTCTTTCCTCTGCTTCGGTGTGAAGTTGTGCATCAACGGTGATAATTTACTTTTTTCGCTGTGCAATATCGTTTATTTTCCGATTGTATGACCCAATTTCATTGGACTGATCATCAGAGTCTGGCCATTCTATCCCGCCTCGCAGTTTTCGGTTGTGGGACCATCAGAATTATTAATAGTATTTGGTGATCCTAAAGCCTCCTGTAATTTTCTGCGCATTTCATCCTTCTTATTATCGTCCCAGTGAAGACAAGTGTAACCCTTTAGGAACGAGCGAAGCGTTTTCGGTATTTGGTCTTCCGGTATTTCGTTTAACATAATAACGACGAGTGTATTTGGCTTTTCGATAAGGCGGCGAAGTCCCTGATTTACCTCGAATTTGCACCATTCACTTTTGAGAAATTTCGGAGTGAGGACGGTCAAAATGCGACGGCTGTCGTATATAGAGTCCATTATATTGTCAATAATGGCAGTGCCAGGAACAAACTCTCGATAGTGTAAGGATAAAGTGTAACCACACTCGTTTTCCAACATTGGCTTCAACGTAGAACGCACAAATGAGCCGCCGTCTGCTTCGCTGTACGAGATGAATGCATCATAACGAGCTGCTGCATCTATAAGAGGAAAAAAATTCAAAATATCAAATAATTTGAAGACACGAATAAGATAGGAATTATAATGATTTTGTGTAATATTGCGAATATTATCGAAATATCGGGAACTCATTCTTGTCTTTTTAAATCTAGGCCTATAGCTCGATATGGTTCGGGTTCAAGGTTAGTCTTTGAACTATGTTTTGTTTTGTATTTTTCGACCAAAGCACTATGCACATGGTAGTGATGGTACTTAGTTTCCCGCAGTATTATTAATCAGTACTCTTATCACTCAGAGTCTCTGAGTGACATCCATCGATGACTCTGAAACCTCCAACAATATAAACTCCACAAACCTTCTTCTTTTGGACGGTAAAGTATGCGCGGCACAAACGACGACGACATTAATATTTTTTTTCTGTACCGTATAAACAGAACGATAAAGAAAACAAAAAAAGTGGTAACGGTACTAAGCCCTATCCACATTCCTGTCTGGTTAATAGCACTTTGTTCATCGGTGCCTCGTTGACCACGTTCGGTATCTGAAAATGGAAAAATTGTCGAATCAAATTTTGTGAATTGCACCACAGTAAAGTTAACAGCCGTCGAAAGTTGTGCGACATGCACTTACTGTACGTATAATAGAATGATGAGCATTCTATTATATTCTGCAAAAATATAACTATTCATAACAATGATAAAATCTATATTTATTGTTAGATTATGTACATCCCTCATGATGTAGTCACAGAGGAAATGGGGTTGACTGAAACATTCCTAATAACTTTCTTAAGTTTTAAACTCTTTACTCTCACTGTGGACAAAAGCATAAACGGAATAAAAATATTTTGTTTGTTAAGGTATTGTACATCCATGCAAGTGCATGCACATCATCGGACACACACCAAACAACTTTAGTAATCTGGTCTGGTTACCGGATTAACTCACTTAGATAAAAAATACTGACAATCGTGAAAAATGACTTATATTATAATGCGTTAAAGAAAAAAAATAGTAAAATACTACAGCTTCAAGTACGTTATCTTGGAACTGAAAGTACCAACCTGCATGGATGAGCACCAACGAAAACGCCGTTCCCGTTCGACGCTCCTCAGAAACATAGCAGGTAAAATTTTCACTTCTGGTAAGGTTTATAACTGTTAAACTTGTTTCGTAGCTTGGTTTACTGGCCGGAGCATAACCACCACGAGTTAAGTCGCGTTCATGAAGCCGGTAATTTGAATATTTGCTTGTTGTTATAATATCGTCATGTCCGTCTCTCCAAACTGGATCATTAAAGTTCCGTTTTCTCAGGCAATATATGTTACATTTCATTGTATAATTTGCCCCGTAGTTCAATTCGATCACGCCTCCTTTTTTCGGAACAATATAAGGAGAATCTTCACATTCTGTAAAGAAGTTGAGGGCAAAAATTACAATTCAACCATATAAACTTGCGTTATGTAGAGAGAAATGGAAATAAACGTTATATATATGTATAAATGTTTCGGTCATTACCTTTTTCTATCAAAACAAACTTTGCCCAAGGTTTATCACGGCCAGTTAACCCACAAGTAATATTTTCAATTCTTGAGAAGTTGTAAATAACTAAAGTATACTGCAGTGTGGGCTCATTGTTTCTCCCTGATCGGAATCGACTTTCATTATAATAACCGTCAGATGTAATAAACCTGCCGTGATTTCTTCTGCACACAACTGTGGACACAGCTAATCTTCCATAACAAATAACAGTCAACACGAGTTTTTGACGACTGCCTTTTTTCACTTTTATCACATCCGTGCTAGGTTCCTTTACCATGGTAGGACTTCCACTGCAACTTCCTAAGAATATTTACCATGTTACGTATTAACAAGAAATTTATACTCGAGTCAATTTGAGGGAAGGGGGGGGGGAGGGGGAAGTACAGACATGACAGGCGCATATTCTTCAACTGAGTGTTGCAAGTATATGAAACTAAGGATGACTGATTCCGTTGTCGCACTGCGGAACTTCCTTTAGTAATTTTAACGACAATGGCTTATATTTATTCCACATTGAATTTATAAGCCTTTCCACTTACGCGTTTTTCATACGCACGTACACGCGAGTCTAAAAATCGTCATATATTTCATATTTGAAAAAGCTAGGGTATAGTCTACGCGCGATATTTTGGTCCGGCACAAATAAAAGTTCCGGCCGTGCCACTTTTACAAGTACTTGGACTACCTAAATAGGTAGTCCAAGCACGGATTAAAAGGGTACGGGTGCCAGTTTTGTCCGTGTCGCACCAAATATTGCGCGTAGTGTAAACGGGGCTAGGTTTCCGCATATTTTAGTATGCATGTGTTGACCCATGTGTAAAATAATAAAAAGTTCACGCGCAGACAAACATGATTGAAGCAAATATCAAACTCACTCTGTGCATATACGGGGATTACAAAGCTCGATCGTTCGCCAAAGGGCGTGGTCGCAACACACGTGTAGTTTCCTCCAACCGATGGTGCAGGGTAAACTTTCAATATTCTTCCACCTTCTAGTTTCTTTATAAGATCTAGATTATCTAGTATTTCCACACCATCTTTATACCAAATAATACGTGGGCAATATGGTTGGGAATAAAAGCAGCATTTAAGATAGAAGAATGGATGGTTTATATAAACGTCTAAGGATTTAGTTCGCTCTCCGATCGTCAACATTCCATTATCTATAAAGAAACGAGAGACACGTGTGTTGTTGTTGCAGCAAATGGAACAGGAAGCTCTTGCTACGCAACATTCAATTTTACTTTGATGAGTTATTCATGTCCTTTTTCAACAACATAACGAGGGGGCAAACCCCTCTCCCTCCTTCTCTCCCAGTGATGACTTTTGAATATAACATAATTAAGGGTAATTATTTCACTTCTATATGGCGTATTACACCCCATCACGCCCCACGTTTGCTGTTTTCTAGGACACTCGCCAAATGTATGAATCACGTGCGTGTGCAAAATATTGTTCTTTACCATTTCAAATATCTGTCGCAATTTTGCTCGCAGAACTGTCAAGACAACGCGACGTTACACATGCAAAGTAATATGGAACTATATAGGTACTTACCATCATGCTTTGTTAAATTAGTTAACGTTGATCGGTATGTACTATTGCAACTGAATGCATCGTTAATTTGTTGACCATCAAAAAAACGTGGGCACTCCGGTTTGTGATCATCTTCATTCCTAGGTATAGCTGAAATTGGGCATAAAACTTGTGTCACGGATAAATAGAGAGAACGCGAACTTTGTATATATATATGAAAAATTAATGGCGATATTAGTGTTCAAAATTAATGACAATTTTGTAGATGTAAATATGAAATATTAAAAAACGAATATGCAACAGATAGTAGCGCAATTAAAGCCCCGGGCAAGTTTTCCTTGCCAAGTTTTATTTGCTCGTGTGTACGCGAAAAAATTGACATGTCTTCCTTGACAAGGAGCCTTGTTCAAAAGCTATAGTCATGTCAGCTTTTCCACGAGGAAAAATGGTCGTGTGTACGGCCTCCTTGATTAAAATTTACTTCATACAGCGTACATTGCGTATTTTAGACACAAATCAGTCAGAAATATGCAACCGATTATAAAAAGCAATACGTTGATCTATACACAAAATCAAGATTTAAGTATAAGCCTTTCCTCTGACTAATGAGAGTTACTTCGGATTTAAAAACGAACAAGTACCTTTTTTGGGTACGATGATTGCACAAAAACTACCGCGATAAAAAGTTCATGCAGTTGTAAATTACATAGCAAAAAAAACAGTTCAAGATTCATGTTTATTTCACCTTGAAATTAGAAGTTTTAAACAGTGCAGAAAACATGATTAAAGTAAATATCAAACTCACTGTGTGTCTTCACGGTGTTTACGAAGCTCAATTGTTCGCCAAAGGGCGTGGTCGCAACACAAGTGTAGTTTCCTCCAGCTGATGGTGTAGCGTAAATTTCCAATGTTCTTCCACCTTCTAGTTTCTTTGTATAATTTCGTATTTCCACACCATCTTTATACCAAATAATACGTGGGCAATATGGTTGGGAATAGAAGCAGCAATAAAGGTGGAATGTTGAGTTTATATAAACGTCTAAGATATGGGTTGCGTTTTCAAGCGTCAACAAAGCTTGATCTATACAAAAACGAGAGACACGTGTGTTGATGCAACAAATGGAACAGGAACCTCTTGATACGCAAGCATTCAATTTTACCTTGATGAGTTATTCATGACCTTTTTTAACAACATAACGAGGGGGCAAACCCCTCTCCCTCCTTCTCCCCCAGTGATGACTTTTGCCCCCCAATTATTTCATAAGGCGTATTACACCCCATTACGCCCCACGCGTTTGCGTTTTCTAGGACACTTGCCAAATATATGAATCACGTGCGTGTGCAAAATATTGTTCTTTACCATTTCAACTATCTGTGGCAATTTTGCGCGCAGAACTGTCAAGAAAACGCGACCTTACATATGCAAAGTAATATGGGACTATATAGGTACTTACCATCATGCTTTGCTAAATTAGTTAACGTTGATCGGTATGTACTATTGCACCTGAATGCATCGTAAATATGTTGACTTTCAAAAAAACGTTGGCACTCCAGTTTGGGCTTATCTTCATTCCAAGGATTAGCTGAAATTGGGCATAAAACTGGTGTCACGGATAGATAGAAAGAACGCGAACTTTGTATGAAAAATTATTGGCGATATTGGTGTTCAAAATTTATAACATTTTTGTTGATGTAAATATGAAATTTTAAAAAGCCAATATGCAACAGATAGTAGCGCAATTAAAGCCCCGTACATGCAGACGGGCAAGTTTTCCTGGGCAAGTTTTCCTTGCCAAGTTTTATTTGCTCGTGTGTACGCGAAAAAATTGGCATGTTTTCCCTGACAAGGAGCCTTGTTCAAAAGTTATGGTCATACCGATCAGCTTTTCAACAAGGAAAAATGCTCTTTTGTACGGCCTTCAAGGAAACATGACAAGGAATTGCGTAGTAACAAGCTGCGCAACAATATCTTCGAGCCAACTGCATGAGCGGTTTTTTAAAGTTTTATGATCTTTGTTTTTTTCAGATTCTGACGTATACTCATTTTACCATATTGTCGTAAAATATACTCGACATATATATTATATCGTAAAACTTGTCAAGAAAAATTTGTCAAATTTTTCGCGTACACATGCACAAGCCAATAAACCTTGGAAAGGAAAACTTGTCAAGGAAAACTTGTTCGTCATACACACCAGCAAGTAAACTGGTCAAGAAAACTTGTCAAGCCGGGAAAACTTGCTCGTCTGTACGGGCCTTAACCGAAGAGTTGTTAATATATATAATTTCATGCGTGTTTCATTTGATCAAAATTTACTTCATACAGCGTACATTGCGTATTTTAGACACAAATCAGTCAGAAATACGCAACCGATTATAAAAAGCAATATCTTAATCTATACACAAAATCAAGATTTAAGTATAAGCCTTTCCTCTGACAAAGAGAGTTACTTCGGATTTAAAAACTTTTAGGACAAAAAGTTATTTTTAATCAAACAGAAGTACCTTTTTCGGGTACGATGATTACACAAAAACTACCGCGATAAAAAGTTCATACAGTTGTAAATTACATAGCAAAAAAAACCAGTTCAAGATTCATATTTATTTCACCTTGAAATTATAAGTCTTAAACAGTGCAGAAAAACATGATTAAAGTAAATATCAAACTCACTGTGTGTCACCACGGTGTTTACGAAGCTCGATTGTTCGCCAAAGGGCGTGGTCGCAACACACGTGTAGTTTCCTCCAGCTGATGGTGTAGCGTAAATTTCCAATGTTCTTCCACCTTCTAGTTTCTTTTTATAATTTGTTATTTCCGCACCATCTTTATACCAAATAATACGTGGGCAATATGGTAGGGAATAGAAGCAGCAGTAAAGGGAGAATGTTGAGTCTATATAAACGTCTAAGATATGAGTTGCGTCTATAAGCTCCAACTTTACTTGATCTATAAAGAAACCAGTGACACGTGTGTTGTTGCCGTAAATGGAAGAGGAATCTCTTTCTACGCAAGCATCGAATTTTACTTTGATGACCGCGGGTCTTTTTCAACAATATAACTGGGGGACAAAATCCCCCTTTTGTTACCCAATCGTTTCTCATCTAAAGGGTGTTATACCCCGTCACCCCCCCCCCCATTTTCTAGGGCACTGTTTTTCTGTTTAACTTCGCCAAATATATGAATCACGTGCAAAAATCAGTTATTTTTCCGCAATTTTGCGGGCAAAACTGTCAAACAAGCACTCCCTGAGTTCATGTTATCACAACGCGGGGTTACACAACTTACCATCATGTTTTGTTAAATTGACTAACGTTTGTCCGTTTGTACTAATGCAGCTGAATGCATCATCAATTTCCTCGCCGCGAAAACTACCTTTGCACACCGGGTCGTCCTCGTCTTCATTTGCAGATACAGATAAAATTAAAAGCAATTTAAAGACAGCAAATATAGTTGAAAAACCCATCACATGCGCCGATATCTCTAAATAAATTAAACAAATTTAATAAATATCAAAATTCACGATACAGCCAGGGCTGCTATAAGTATATACAGGGTGTCCCAAAAAAACGCAACCACTTAAATATGCAAGAATATTAATATATTGTTCGGGTTTGCACCATAGTTCAGCTAAAATTACTTTTAGCATTGTAAATGAAGGATTAAGAGCCATTTTCAATTCCCAGAGGTGCTTATGTATTGTGCTTTAGAGCTGAATTAATGTTCTGCATATTTAAGTGTTGCTTTTTTTTTGGGACACCCTGTATATAAAGTATTGATATAAAGTCCCATTAGAGACGTTACGATAACGGGTACAGTCCAGTCTACGGGTATCGCGGAGCGTTATTTTGTTTGAGAACTAGTATACTTCCAACGACGTTTGTGTGTAATTTTCTGTACTTTAGCTCAATTAAACGTACGAACGACAAAAATATTATTTAATAACATAACTCTAACTTGTAGACCGAAACCAGGGTATATTAACCTCCTAATGTATCTCTTTGAGTCATTTTCACCGATGAGAAATAGTCCGGAGGTAAATTTGTCTGTATTTCTGTATTAAAATCGGTCATTGTTGACTGCGTAGGAATATTCGAAACCAGGCATAAAGAATACACCCATACATCACACGGGAAAGATGAGTACAGGCCATTTCACATCTCCCGTGCACCAATGGACACTGGTCGTGCATGTAGCGACATGAAATGACGAAATGGAAGCTGACATAGAAAAAAGTACTAAAAATGCTTTTTTTAATATCGAGGCTGCACGTTCGTGTCGTTTGGCGCAAACTATTGGCGGAAAATAATAATTCTTCATTCCTTTCACAGTAAAGTGATAAATTCTACCACATCAAGCATTTGTATGAGAGAATGTATGGTATATAGCGTGTGTCGCCGTTATACAGGTGCATGTATAAAAAGTCTACCCCAGGGGCCTACGATCTTTTGTTATTGAATAGAAGCGAACATGTATGAAGATTAAGTGCTTGTTTTAAGGCTACTTTTCTCCCAGGAAAATTATTATGCAGATCAGACAGGGAGATTAAACGCTTTCTGCGCTTAACCACGGGGTTTAATCTGATTAGTTCCACTTGACTTGCGAACACACAGACGAGTGAAGCTGTGCTTTTCTAAGCGGAAACTAGCTGTACCTAATTCCAGAATTCCTAATTCCAATTTCGAGTTATTATTATTATTCATTTCTTTAGAAATTTATTGTTTTCACAGTCAGTGAACACGAAAATATTAGCAAAGCGGGACAAATCGACAGGCTGGCTACGCTACTGCCTAATTCAAGAGCCTTTTTAAATCTGGCGAGGTAAATCTGCATTCCCTGACCCCTCCTAGGAAACGAAAAGTAAAGTAGCAAATAGCAAACATACCCAAATCACTAGAAAAAAGGAGTTTAAAGCCGACGATGCACCGAAAGGTTCGCTCGTCTCATGCCGGCAGCGCTTTTATACACTGGAATTGTTTTCGATCATTGACGAGTAAAATCTTTTGTCTACCACTCTGTCCTTTTTTCTTTTAATTGGAATAAATTTGAACTGATAAACACCTGCGCGCGCGCAAAGAATAATTTACATGATACCATTCCTTAAAGTTGTGTCTCCAACGTTATATATAGTCACTTGTTGTGGGTATACATGGAAAAAATAATTAAGTTCAAACGGGCTCTAGCTGGTTATATCTTCGTACGCGACAGGCTGAGTTGTTGGATATCATGGGGACATTTGTAACGACGATGGAGGTAAATTCGATATAAACGTAGGTGAATGCATGCTATGGTTACGCTATGCTTTTAATTTTCTATTATAATCGTTTGTGGGCCCGAGATAGCCGATGTTGCCCAAAGCGAAGTCGAGTGTCGAAATTTTATTTCTTTGTGGCACTGACAGCATATTATTAATTATTATGGTAAAGATCACATGAGTCCTATGAATCGGTTCAGTCCTATAAATGTCAGGTAATTTTTCACATTCACATAATTTTCACCCACATGTTTTTTTATAATGCGTACTGGGCTAACCGCAGACAAAAGGTTAATACCAAATATAGTTCCAGATCATTCGTCTGTCGACAGGGGTCTGTCGAAGTAAAAACGTTCGTCCTCGTGGACGGATTTTATTTATTTATTTAATTTAATAGTAATATTGATACAGGAGTGTCCAGTTCAGCGAAGGCTGGTTTAAATGGAGTCCTGATTAAATGGAGTCCTGATTTTCCGGGCAGTGCGAGGCTTGCTAGAAGATTTTGCACCCTTCTCTAGAAATATTTGCACCACGCAAAAAAATTTGCAACTCCCGATAAAAAACATATGGTCAAAATGACGTGTTCAAAAAAATGAAATACTCCGAAATTGGAAGGTTTCTGTGATGCAAATTTTCGCATTTTGGAGAGTTCAAGTCCAAATATATCCTGGAGTTCAAATATATTCCGGGGGGTAAGCACCTTTCTCTCTGAATTTTAGGTATACCCAGAGACTGCTACTTCCGGATCAACCTCGTACCCAGGGTCTTTACTCGTGGGGAGAAAAGACCCCGGGTGCGAGGTTTCTTCCGGATAGGGTCGGCATTCGGCAAGCAGGCTGATCATGAGTATGGAAGGCTACCAAAGTCTGTCCGTCCTTATACGAATGATTTGTTTGGTCTGTTTTCCAGCGTTTATCAACAGACAGGTCAACGTACGGAACAACTTCTCATTGTAGATCCCACCCAAACGGATAATTCGCGTTTAGTGCGTATAGATTTGGCTTTCCGCCGCCTCAGGCTCGCATAATTTTGCTGAACAATAAATAAGACGAATTCATATACGAAGAACTCGTCTTAGATAGGAAATTCGTATAAGACAGGAAACTCGTCTAATGTGAATCCGGTCACAGACGGCTTTCTCGTCCCAATTTACCCATCTAACTTTCCCGTCTAAACAGACGGTTAAGTTTGACCGGATCTCGTCTGGACGAGAAACTCGTCTAGACAGATTAATGAGACGAGTTTTTGTAATATCAAAAATTTCAAGGACGGAACAAGGCTAAGAGAAAACAAACAAAATTTTTATCGTAATAATTAAGACACCCTTTCAGCATTACCCCACCCATCACACGTATAAATTTAACCATTCCTATTCATATTTAGACGGGTTTTTCCATCAACTTTCCAGTCTAAGATGAGTTTCCCGTCTCTAATATATGAATTGGCTATAAAGAGAGGGGAAAGCCTCTAACCCCGGCTGCGTGCTTGCATTACAGACAGGTGATGCTGTAAACAGCACGATATTGTCAACATACCTCACACGACTAGTATTGAAACCATTTGTTAAATATAACTATTTTCGGAAAAACTTCCTGCCTTACGTCTCATAATCTCATTACTCTTATAGCCAACAATATAAACATCAATTCCAAAATAACCTAATGTCATTATGTCAAAGGCCCAAGCAATAGCAATGTCAAATTTTTAAAGAATCAATGCCAATACCTGAAGTCAAGAGTGCTTTATATTATGATGCTTCCGGATGATTTAGTGCTAAATTTTTATATATTATACACGTATAATGCAATTGTTCAAGAGTTAACAACTTTAAGCGATCTTATCCATTCGCACGGTCCCTGTATGGACTCTGGAAAATCCCTACAGCTGAAGTAAACTCATTTATATACTTCCGATTTTGTATTATAAAGCTAGTTGTTATCTACAAATCGCATTGATTTACTTGTTGCATGTATAATCGTTATTGAATACAGTACTTACTGTTTAATGATGATTTCAGAAGTCAAAAATCTTTATTCGTTGCACATATTCTCGGTAAGATGTATTCTGCGTAATAGTGAAATGTTTCAACGAACTGAAACAAACAGCGACGCTTTAGTAACTTTTTATATTCGGCCTCGCGTGACATTTGATTACTTTTCCGGTTTTTGTGACACCGGAAACGAAATCTTTCAGCCCACGCTTAACACGCAATCATTGTACGAAGTGGAGGGAAAAAGTAAGCGAACAGAGAAGAAAAAATTATCGTGATACAGCAACCATTATAATTTTTTCGTATTCAAACACAAGTGCGAAAATTCAATATCAATATTTTGGCCAGCAATTGCTTAGTAAGACGAAGATGGAAACAGATGGGTGAGCCGGTGAGATGGTGTTCAGTTGAATTTAGTTAACGATAAAAGCGAATTACAGTTACCGCAGCGCAGCCACAGAGTGACACTCTCAGTTCACATGCAGTTCTAATTCAGTGATAAGTATTCTGTATATATGTGATGTATTCTACCGGCATGCTCATATACCCCCAGAGGCCCGGTCGTACGTAGGCGTAGCCCGTAGGTAGAATTTAGTTGCAGGGCAAATAAACGAGCACTAAACACTATATAGTTAAAATAATAACATAAAAGTGAAAAGTTAATTTTCTCTTAAGGACACCAGTTTCCCCCTTCCCTCTGTTCACGCCCTGATGTCAATCATGTCATTCTATAATTAGTCAGAAGATGCTAATTTAGTTTCAACAGCCGCAACGGAACGGGGAAGGTTGCTCGATACTTCGCTATAAGTCTGTTTTCAAAGTCCATAAACAAGGTGAAGAATGCAAGAACATTTCGACCTGCGGTCTTTAATCACTGGTTCAGAATTGTGCATTTCTGTATCGCTATCGAAGAGAATACTATCAAATAAACCTTAAAAAGTTTAATTTTTCTTGGCTGAATACGCATTCTGCTATCTTGACAACTCATACACATTTGACAGCTCACAGAAGTATACACAAGGTTTTTAATTCAGACGATTCGTTTTCACCGTTTACTGCAGTCACATACAGGTCTTCATGGGATGATACGCCCGGTCTTGTTGTATATAATTGTTTAATCAAATTAGATCGTGATTAGCTTGACTGCATGCCTGAAGAAAATACGAGAATTTCATAGAACCAAAATCAAAGTTAAATTTAGTAACAATCTGATTTTGGACCCGGACCAATTAGAAGAAAAAATCTTTTTAAAGCATGCTAGTCTGCCAGAATACTTGTTTTGAATGGCACACCCTTCATCTATAACCACCCTCGTAAGTCGCGGTGTCCAGCTGTGAGTCGTTAACGGGAAGTTAATGCCATGTACAATTTGCACAGCACGACACCCACAGTTTTTACTTCCTGCAAAATTTGCATGCAGTCTCGCCTTATGGTATTATAACCCACGCAAAAAATATTTGTGTATTCAAAACTTCCTGGAAAACATAAGTTGTCGAGGCAAAACTTCTTCTGACGGCTCAGAAGCGATCGGATAGCTAAAGGTGATTTTTATGTAACTGTCACTCCACTGTACATTGGGTGTATTCCGAATAGTAAAAATAGGCACGCATACGTACAATTTCAGATCTCTACTACTATTAAGAAAACGTCGGTTGACAAGCGCTCACTGTTGAAATATAATTGTTACTATATGTAGCTATCCAGAGAAATAAATGTGGAGAGTTTGAGCACCATAAAACGACCTAAAATTTAAAAGACAACCTCTTGACGTATATCTTCTAAAGGGCATCGAAACGTCAGGAAATTTCCTTGTAAAATATTGGTTAACAACTTAACAGCCCGGTCCAATCCATTTTATCCACTTATCGAGTCCTTTCACATGCATAAGTGAATACTTCAGATAAACCGGTTTGTTATCAGGCGCACTCACAAAGCCTCGTGCCAGCAAAACTGTCACTGATGGAACTCAATATAGTTTTTATTTCGTTTATTGATCATATATCATATGCGCATGCGTGCCCACTCGAAAGAAAAACGGAAACTTCCATGGAGTTCCAAATAGAACCTTGACTGACATTAGATAACATATTTAGGGGTAATGAGTTAAAAAGAGGCATTTTATGTCTTTGAGAAGACTGATAGACAATTTTTCAAAATGGCTTAAAATGTCTTAAAGAAAAAAAATGTATTTACATAATTACAAATAAAAAATAGCTACTGAAGTCAAAATCCTGCTGTATAGCTATATTTTGGTTGTTTATAAGAAGCATAAGCACTATATAAACTAAACCCCAAGAATTGGTTTTATTTCGACAAATGAAATCGAGAGTGTAAAATAAAAAACTGAAAGTGCAGAAGAGTTAATTCAAGTATAATTCGTTTATTTTCGCTTTGTGTAGAAAAGGCTATAGCTATAATATGATAAATTGGCAAACAATGACACAGTGTAGACCATATACCTACACTTTACAAGTACAAACTTTTCAATGCCTTCTTCGTACCCGACAGTTATATATATTTAAGACTTAATAAGTATATCAGCGCCGTGTCGTCAACCGTGAAAACCGTCTTAAATTGTTCCGTTATATATAACACGAATACACACATATGACATGCATGTATTTGTTGATTCAAATCTATTTCATTCCGGTCCACTTAGTCCTATAACATTATGTAGCGACACTATGTAGAAATCGTGGAAGAGATAAACATTGCATGGTTGGCTACTTTGGTGCTTCTTCTATGATAATTAGCTCTGCATGAATATAATATCAAAAAATAATACTAAAAAGTACTCACGTATATTAATACCGTATCGTGGTAGCGATAGTCTGGTTGTAACATTTCACCATCTTTATGTTTGTTCGCAGGAATATAGTGAGGCCAGCTGAAGGAAACTGGGAAAAAAACATACATAGAGCCGCAATATAGCTTCCGGCTATGCTCTATTATATTCGGTAATTAATACAGCTGAGTAAAAGGAATAATTGATCCAAAGCATGCCTATAGCAACATCCGACCACAAACAGTAGTCCGTGGAAGACGACATCTTTTTTCTTGGAAGTCTATTGCCGGCTGACAGGTGCTTTGGACACATACACTGAATTTTTTCTTGTTCATCAGAGTGCATGGGTGAACTGATTCTGGTGATACAGTATATATAAAGAATTATTCCTAGAAGCATAAGAGTGCATATAAACAAAGTTATCCGTGGATAATAGGCCTATATCAAGTGCTTTTTCTATCTGCACGGCAAAACGATGCTGCATAAAGTTGAACAGTTATATATTATCATTAAGGTCTGGTTCACGTTAACGGGCAATAACAGATTGTTTTAAAAAAGTTGTGAAACAAGTCACGATACTTTTCTTTATTGCTGAAGAAAACTATTTCAGCTTATACACAGAAGGGTTAAGCTTATAGACCAAGAGAGGAAAATCGATGTCAAAAATCGCCCGTGTAGTCGGGACTATAGTTCCTTACCCATGCACTGTGTGCATATGAGATGCCACGCAAAATAACAAAGAGTCACTTTAATATATGTAGGACTTGTTTTTAATATATCAGTGATAAAATTCTACTAGTATATGAACGCAATCATATTATTCCGCATGCAAACATGATTTTATTGTTCAAACTTAAAGAGATGGATTCATTCCACTTTGAGCCGTAATAAATTGGATTTTTTGGTATGTGCATTGACGATGCATTTATATTTTCCTGCTTGGTTTCTCCTCGCATGCTTTATGGTCAACGTCATGAGAACGCCACATGAACTTTGCTTCCGCTTTGCATTCTTTGTCACAATCCTTCCTTGTGGATTTCTCCAGTAGAACGTCGCAAATGTTAAACTACAGTCCCCCTTTGTTCGTACGAAGCACGTTAACGTAGCAGACTTTCCTTCTTTCACTTTCAGGGTTGATTTAGGGACGTAGATAGTAGGAGCATGTTTGCATTGTGGGACTATAAAATGCATGATACATAAGAAACAATACTGCAACCCAAATGATCCCTAAATGATCCGTATAATTAAAGAGCGTTAATGGTCAGATTTGGGGCTTTTATATGAACCTGTATGGTAAATTTCTGTACAGATTGTTTGTATATATAGAGAGGGTTGATGAAAACTCGTTTTGAAATCACCCTCAAAACGCAAGTATATAATCGCATTTGCGGGATCATAATTATAAGTTTCAAACTTAGTTGCATACCGCCATCTTTTCGTAATTGTGGTTACCTGCATGGCGGGTCGTATTATCGTGATCATGTAGTTAAATGATAAATTGCCTATTATATTCAATTGCGAGTAATTTGCGAAAAAGTTTCTTACGGTGCATATAAACTGTAATATTCCATGATTGCCGGCCGTTTTGGTTGGAGCCTTCACAACGATACACACCATTATCAAGTTTACTGCTTTTGGCAAAACTTGATTATCTTCGCTAAATCGATATCTCGCTCCTGTCACGAGAGGAATATTATTCTTGTACCATTTCACGTGAACCGGGTACTGGCTTACAAAGCAACAATACAAGGTTACATCATCATTAACGTTGAAGTCCTCACCAGAGCTCGATGCGTCGTCAAGAGAAGGTGCAATCGGGGCTAAAACAGTAAAAGTTACAATAGAACATGGCTAAAATATTACTTTAAAATATTATTGTTATCTTGTATATTACTTTAACGTATATCTTTAAATTATCACTGCTTGCCAAAAATATCAGTTTAATTAATCCAAACATGGCTTTATAAAGTTCTTTATGTCGCTTTCAACAATCGCGGTCTCTAGCTTTTAAAATGAATTCAAAGATCTCTTTACCAAAGAGCCGACAATTAGCCTTTCTCACGATGACGAATATCCGCCATTTGGGGATAAAATCGTCGTCTCTAGCTTTTAAAATGAATTCAAAGATCTCTTTGCCCAAGAGCTGACAATTACCCTTTCTCACGATGACGAATATCCGCCACTTTGGGGGTACTTTCAATTTTCTTAAATAGGTTTAAAAAATTATAGCAATATGAGAAGCGTTATTATGGAATCAACAGACAATTTGAAGAATAAATTCAGCCTAAAATTGAAGATAGTTGGCGTTAAAAGGCCTCACCTTCACGATTTCGAAAAAATTACCCCAAAAATGGCGGCATATATTCGTCATCGTGAGAAAGGCTAATTAAGTTCATTTTGGTAAAATGGCTCACAATTGTTATACATATTAAACCATACCCCACTTAACGTATTTGAGAGCATTCTTGTTGTTATTTAATAGACGAATTCAATGGATGAACCTAATTACTTCTTTACATAGGATGGGAGCGTTTTGATTGACGACAAGACTTTCTTACCAACGCCTCAAGATTCGACGTCATAAAGTATTAGACCCTACCTTTAAAAACCGCAGTATATATTATTCATTTAGTGTTTTTTCAATTGTTCGACATGTGAAAATGAATAAAATAAAAAATCAGTATATAGCAAAGCTCGCGTTTATAAGCAAATATAGCATCCGCTTTTGATTGTTTTTGAAAATAGGGAAATATAAAAGAGATCGATTACCATTTTAGGGTAACATTTAATATGAAAATGAAATATCATTAATCCGTAAGATGGCTACTATATAGCTTAAATAATATGTATGAAGTCGGGGTATACGAATGCATTCATAAATACCCACAATTTTTTTGGACACTGATAGAAATATATGCCAAAATTTTCATGAAATCTGTATAATAAATACCTAAGATTCCAAACATTTATCGCCACCATACTTGGCGTTACCATGCAAATATTCTTTCGGGGTATTTGGTAGCTGTGTTAAAGCTCGTAAGAGGGATTTGTTTTAGAATTTCTTTAGGTGAAAACTTAATAGTTAAGAACGCCTGCATGTCTCGTCGGGTAGAAGAAAGACTAATTTCAATGTTAAAATATTTACCTTTCGAAGAATTTCCACTGTCAATACAAAATTTGTTATCACCAAAAATGCAAAGAGGATGAACTAAAAGAAGTACCAGTAAAATCACCAGGCTTTCCACAAATGTTGTTTCCGTGATATTCCAATTCATTTTTAGTATTCGATCGTATAGCTAGTCGCAGACAGATTTTCGCTTTTTTTAGCAATTGTGATGCAGTAATTCACCAGCTGCATGGTATATATAGCAGCGCAAACGCATTATGTCATCGGACAAAATAAAACTCCGCACATTGCAGTTCACACGAGGCAAATGCAAGGACAGTCATGGGATGTCTTCCCATGGTTGGGCGACAGGAAGAATACACATTAGAAATATTTCATATCTCTAATTTCCAGCAACTTCTAGGGAAATGGTTTAACATAAAACGAAAAAACAATATAGGCCTATATTTCAATTTACGATATCACACCCCAAATATGAAATATAAATCTATACGCGGAATAATGACACATTGAATTCTCTTTAACTCTTTGTTGGAATTATCACAGTGCTAACTATTTATGGCATATGACATTGTTCGTATAGTGGTGGATATTTGTAAAATTTCAAAAAATGATCATATACCAATGATATTGCACATATCAGTTCACAGCATTGTATTCATGCAGTTAAAACCGTCTCCTCAAAAGGTCATGTGAACAGTGCATGGGCGGAATTTTTGAAAATAATGCAGTGATGTCGTGTGATGAGGTGAATAAATCGTTTATTCATCATCTAAATTTATCTATCATCTAAATGACTAAATTATCGTAAAAATTTGAACACGCCATGATTTCAATCGCCGATGTATGGTTTCAACATGTACACAATATTTGAGATTGAGGGAGGGGTGCATGCATGGATAATTTCGCTTTATATACAGCTACACGGGTAAAAACCTATGCCTATATATAGGCCCTATATGGTAAAAACAAACAAGTTTGTCTCGTTGATTAAAACAGGAATGAACGAAGTTGGGCCGCTATATCCCATAAAGAGGCTGTAGATGCCAGAAGCTGCTATTGCTGGTCGAAGTACGGCAGTTGCCGTAGCGTGCGCCTGTTTGACAAGTAACGTCGAGGAGAAGATAAATATTAGGGAAGTAACCAGGCAACGGTATTAACGTGTAAATTCGCAGCGTAATAATTTATATCATTATATGTCATTATATAGGTGATTGTTAGCATGCGCATTGTTGATCATTTATAGCTCTAGCAGGCTGGCAGCAGTGTCATGCTGGCTTGGCATTAATCAGCTCGCCCCCTTAACTCGGTACTTGTGGACAGTTGTGGTATACCACAAGTGCGGGGAGAGAGCATTAGGGATGCGGGGTATGCATGCAGGGGTTTCCCATACATCACATCAGCCGTTATTCGGGGGTAGAATGAGGGCAATTTCATTTTTGATAGTGATGGCTAGGATCCCAAAGTAACTGCATGAGGTATAGAAAAAGACTCGATATCATTATGTGAGTACATGCACGCATAAAAAACTGATCCTGCACGTCCTTTGCCAGGGAGAATCAACGTGTCTACATCTATTTTAGTAGTTGGCTTGTTATAATAAAACTCAAAAACTCAAAAACTACGAAACGAATTACGAAATCTTGCATTTCTTTACATATCAACTCATGCAAATATGATTGGCTAGTTTCAAAAGGTGAGAAAGATGAGGATGTTTCAAATTTCCTGAGGAACATTTTTAGGAACTGATCAGAGCAGTTCGTTTCAATTCCTAACTTAAACGAACTGCTCTGATCAGTTCCTAAAAATGTTCCTCAGGAAATTTGAAACATCCTCATCTTTCTATTTTGCATGATCAACAATTTTCGGAATGCTTCTATTGGCACGACTGTAATCCAAGTATATTTCAAATGGTTTGACATCCCAGATTGGTTGCAGTGTTAGTCGTCGGGCAATGTTTTTATCTGTTATAATCATTAAATTTAACAAACAGTCTATTGCCATATACCATACTTCGGGAAAAATGGGGAAATTATATTCTTCCCATTACACGTATCTGACTAACTATATTCTGACTAATTATAAATATAAGTTGAGACAAATAGGGAATTCAATTGTAGCACAGTCATGTTCTCGCTCTTTGCATCCCAAGTTTTAGGCTTTTAATTCTTTGTTGTCTTGAGGATACTACCAAACAGGGTTGTACTGAAAGCATTCCGGATGTTCAACTTATAATTTTCCAACAACGATAATGATATACCGACGAAGCTATTGATTTACTATAACGAAGTCTCTTTAGGCGTAATTGGCGGTTTTTGGAAACCATATTTCGTAATTCCACCTAATTATATCTCTGAAAGTGAAAAAACAAACACTAGGGCAGGAAGAAGGAAACGACAGAAATACTCACAAGTAAAATCGAGAAAACGAGAATAAAGGCCCTGTAAATAAGACGGTGCAATTTTTCGTGCATGCAATGGCGTTGCAGAGCATGCAGGGGCGAGAGAAGCCGTGATCAGTGAGTATTCGTTGGAAGATGTTGAGTATAATTTTCATAGAAAAGCTGCTGGGTCAGTTACATCTACCTCATAAAGTGTGTAACCTGTAGGATGCCTTTAAGATGCACTTGCACAAAACCACTTGATGAGTTTGAATTAAGAGCACAGTTTTATTGTTATCGATGATTTGAATGAAAGTGCAACCGACGAAAGAAGCGAAATTGATTGCTCATCATTTTCCAGATTTCCGAACCGTCCTTGTCACTAGTAGGCCAGAGCTTTTTCTACAAAGATTTAACCAAATTCAAATGATAAAAGTTGATACCGAAAATAAGGAGAATGACTCGATATTTTAGAATATCTCAAAGTTTGCCTTCCACAAGTCTTGAACGAATTGATTCATATCCAGACAATTCGTATATAGTTGTCGTTACGAGGTAACCGTGGTTTATGAAAGCGTATAACCTATAGGTATATACGAGAGTCATTTCCACCGCCCTGAGATGGAGCTGGAAGCCATATTAAAAAGAAGTCCTGCATGGACTCTTTAAGCTCTTGGAACTGCTGGATTGTATAGCTGCTGAAGGACCCGTGCTCCTAACATTTCTTGTTATATTTTTCTTCGGATAATTTAGTCAGTTTTTTACTAATCTGCATGCATACGATTAATTCAAAGAGATTCATGCCTAAAGATATTTGCAAGTACTTTATACAACAATTATAGTATACAGTTACAAAAAAAAACGATCAGAATTTTATTAAATAATAAAGCGAATGAACATTTTGGATTTAAAGTAATTTCATGCAATTCCATGAAATAAAATACTGGATGTTTACATTCTTGCCATTTTCACATGCGTATTTGCTGTCTAGCATATAATGATGGTCCATACCCTAAACCTATTTTTTTATTTAAAAGTTTTATTACTCCTTTATCCAACATGCACATGCAGATATGTCTTGAATGACTTTCTGTACTGCAATATTAATTGTTTAAGAAACTTTTTACGACATTTCAAGGTTCATTCGAAGTACTATATAATATATAAGCTAGTGCTTGATTATCCGACATCGCGCGTTACCATCGACCAAACATTTTTCATCAAATAGCACTGCATGGGTTTCAGAAACAAATAGATATTTAAAGGACGAGAGAGTCTAACTTTTTGTTCTGTCCAATGACTGATTTAGATAACACAGAAAAAGCTTGCATAAATATACACGTTTAAACGGTGACGATGCATTGCATGCATGTTTGCCACGTTCTTGCTACTATAGTACTGCTATAATACTAAATGCTTTACTATGTATACCAGAGTTTATATGCATGGGCCACTAGCTTTTATCATCACTTTGTGCGCTCTCGCTTGTTTCTGTTACAGTAGTGGTATCCGTAGTTTCTAAAGTCAATGTGCTCGTGCTGGATGGTTTTTCTTCGCGGGTCTCGTCCTCAGTCTTTGCTTCTGTACTGTCACTTGCCTCCGTGCCTGTCTCCTTTCCTTCTTCATTATTCCCGCTTTTAGCTTCACTTGTCTCTGAGCATAAATTATTAAGGAATTTAACTTACTGAAGACCAGGTAAATCTATATCCATGCACGATTCCGGAAAAAATGGCCGCATGTTGTACAATTTACTAGAATTTATTATGCGGTCGCGGATATTGTTTACTTCGTGCATGTGAAAAACGAATTGACGTTCTTTGAAAAGAAAACAGAAAATGTGACCATTCGTTATGTTGCTTTCGTTGCGTTTAAATGTCACGTCATTCGTTGTTTTTTTTTACCAATCTTTCTAGTTCCGCACTCTGGCAAAATATGCGTCCATCACGCATCTTTTCTGTAGACCTAATTGTGAACTGTAACTTGAGTCCAAAAGGGGGGACTTAAACAAGACGCTGAGCCACAATTTTGCAAATCAACTCACAAATATGACACGCTAATAATGTATGCAAACTTCATTAACAAGCAAATAACAGTGTAATGATTCTACCTAGTTCAGACTCCGTGTTTACTGATTCTTTGCTGTAATCCACTTCAATGACTTTTGGCTTTTTAGCTGGAGGTTCCGGTTGAATATTTACTGGCAATTTATGACTAGGGCCTGTCTTTAGATCATACTTTTGAGCCTGGAAGAAAGACATGAAAAACCATTGAAAAACATGTAATTCATTGCGCGATAAAAATACAAAAGAGCATCGAGCACAATATCGATTTTTTTCAGCATAGTACAGTTCAATCATTATTTAATTGACATTTAATGTGATCATAAATTGAAAGGTAATTGTTCACGATCCTATGGAATATCCTATGGTATTCTTAGTTCCTTGACCTGCACTTACATCTGGGTTCCATGCCTCCTCGGGATCGTCAACTTCCGGTGCTGCTGGAAGATAATACAAACCGTTCTGATCTTCATCATTTTCCTCATCACTAGAAAAATACCATAATTCAAATATCAGAGAAAAAAGCTAAATTATTCTATACATGCATGCAAGTGGATTTAATGACATCCGCAGCACGTGATAAGCATGGTCGTAGTTCAGTTGAAACACACATTTACCTGCTACACAATGCTGGTATCCTCTCGATGGCGCAGACATCAACTTCGACGTCGTCTCCACATTCACTACCTGAGTTGATCTCTTCCTCTTTATCTTCGTCTTCCTGAAGAATGTATAAAACTTTAAACGAGCAACATGCAAAAAAAAACAACTAGAAATAAAAATGCTCGAAAGAATAATTAACCTTAAATAATAAAAACTGACACTTCTTCCACTTTAAATCTGAGTCAAAAAGAACATTAAAAAAAGATAAAAATACTTACGATATCGAATTCACTTTCATGTTCCTCATATTCGACGTTTTCTTCTAGTTCTTTGAAATCAGGGGCGAAGGCACTCCAGTTTTCCTATGGGATACAGTAAATATCAAAATGGTTCCAGAACTTGACCATGTAATGGAATTAGTGTTTGGATAATTTTGGCATCAATATTAGGAAATATAAGTTGCTACATGAGAATAATTACTGACATTGAAATAAACCATACCACGTGGTTTTGCGCCCAAACTGAGACAACCCCGCTGGCAATAGAAGCAATGATTGGTCGAACAGGATGCCACTTAAACAAAAAAATCCACAATTTCACGGACACTTTTAACCGTACACATGTATGTCACATCAAGTTTCAATCAGTCGAACTGTATTTGCACATACCACAACATCCAGGGGTAATTCTCCTTTAGTGCCATGCAATATTTTCACCAGATTTCCGACACCTTTCTCCCAGATATAAAGGGAATGCTGTCTGGAGGAACCTGTGGAACAATGACATGTGTAGGTAACATACGATATCTTCCAGATCATTTGGTGGGCAATAAAACACTTTACACGAGGTTCCCTTCATAGCACAACTCAAAGGGACTTGAGTACAAAGTGCAAAGGTTTGTGATATTTAAATGAATTGAACTACCATAATACATAATCGCTGCATTACTTCACCTGCAACAATATACTCTCCATCGCCAGAGAAACAACACTTTTTCCATAATGTTCTGGGAAAGGAAAAGGAGTAAGATCTTCTTTGAGACAACGTTTTGTCAAATGTAATGTCATATTTTGCATGCACGAAAACGCACCTGTTCACAAGATCCTGTAGTTTTTGAATTGGTTCAGGCTCGGCATTCTGACCTTTGCAAGCGAGGATAATTTGACCATCGAACACACGAATGATACGATCAGATGAGTTTACAAGAAAAGCACTACATAAAATAGAACACGGCGCAAAGAACTAGTTAATATACCACACGAACGAATTGGATCTAAATGAAAAGAATGCTTACTTCGATCTAGATATATTTTGCAAGGTAACCGTACCTGCCTCTCCGAGAGAATTCTATGGATTTAATGGCCACATTAGCACTTGTGCCACTAGAGATCTTGAAGCTTGTCACTTCCTGAAAAAACAACGTCAATTCTTATCAGTCACTTTCAGTGTGTTGGACCAAACACTATAAGAACTTTTTGATTTTTTTCTGTGCAAATACTGTATTTATTAGCGCTCCACTGAGCTCGATACAACCAAACAATCAGGCTGATTACCTCAAGTGACTCTGTGTCAACCACTATCACCTAAAACGAAATCGGTGTATTTTGAATCAGCGACGGACTTTCAAATTTAATGTTATGGAGAGCCGCCAATTATCAGAGATGCTAAACTGTTTGTTTTGGCAGAAATCTGAGAGTGAAATCCAGAAAGGTGAAGAAAAATCTCTACTCGATACGGTTTGCTAGGCATCATCCTTATATAGCCTGGGACACAAAGCAGTGGAAGCGAGTGAAATCAATAAAAATTAAACGGAATGTTAGTTTTATTAGTAACGGTCTATTGTCCGTGGTATGTTCTTTTTGTATCTTTTTATATAGTAAATACCTTGCCCTTTGCATTGCCAATGTAAATATGTTCTCCCTTTCTATCAAACGAAGCGACGACATTTTGTTCCGACTAAGAAATACAACAGCTCACTTTTAGTTTGAAAATAAGTTAAATGCTGATGGCAAACGAAGGCGAAAACACAGGGGCGAGCATGGTCAAAGCTAATTTTTTAGCTTGCCCGGTTGGTAATTGAAAAGTACAATGTTGCACCATCAAGCGACTAGATTGAGTTCCGAAATATCGCCTATTTGAACTGCCGCGATATAGTAGCTCAGTTGGAAGAGCATTGGACTAGCAAACCAAAGGTTGCGGTTCGATCCCCACCGTGGAACTTAAGCTAAGTTTTCAGCTTATTGGGTAGCTAAGTCAGAGTATAGCGCCATCAAAATATTATGAAGTACTCATAAAATGCATCAGAGTGTTTCATCACGAGGTTCAAACAGGTAATTCTTTTAAATGTGCTTGTACTAAATAATGGTTTATATTTAACTGATTGTCTAGTTGCGTCACTTCGCTAGCTGCTATTCCATTAGAAAATGAATTTTAATTTTGTGTTTTAAATGCGCTTATAAAATTTTTTCGCGTGCATACGCGCGTACGACAAAATCCCGACAGCACATTGATATATTACTGTACCTCCCCAGCTGTGGGTAAGACTTTGTGACCATGCTTAATATGAACAAATACGGGAGCCTGCTTCATGGGACATACCAGAAATTTAGTGCTGTAGAATTGAAAAACATGCAGAGTTGTTAATATTCATCACTAGCAATAAAGACATATCCAAGCTCTCCAAAAGCAGTGTCGGTCTATAAATCTGAAAGAATGTTTGTCTCATTTTCTAGTGTTTTTCCCCATTTTTTCCACAAGGTGTATTTCCATTTCCATTTCTATCTATGCATTTTAGGGATAGAAGATTGGTTTTTCACACCATATTTGTATATTATATGTTAAAACTTTATGGATATTTTCATTTTGTTATGTGCTCTGAAACTGTGAAAGAATGAACAAAACATAGAAAAGGTATGCTTAGTACTTGTCTCGTGGATGAAATTGTACTTTTATAACAACTGATGGAAATCTGTATTTGTCATCACATTCCCCAGTAAGAACATCCCATACTGCAACACACCAGTCACTTGATGCACTTAGTAATTTGTAACCATTACGACTCCAGCTAAAAGGGAAACTAACTTAATTTAAAATTTATAGACAGAAAAAAGGTTGCATTTGTAACATATACAGTGTGCTAAGAAAGTATACAGCAGGTTAGATATAGGAATTCTATACATTGTTCTATATATATTCACTGTTGCAAGCTATGTTATGAGTGAGCAGCAAATTATTATCTTATACAGCACATTTAATAACTAAATAGATAAATAGATTGGATAGAAATTTCTGTGCTTTTCATTGCATTTGATAAATTGCAGTAGTTAAAACATACCTTACAGAACAAACTGGATGAACATGAGCACTAATAATTTTACTTATTCCTCTTGTTAAGAAATCCCAAATAACAATGCGGCCATCATTACATCCAACAGCAAGCAATGTGCCACGACGGTTGAATGAACATGTAATTGCAACACTAACACAGTCTAATGTTCCATCATATTCCTATATGAAATAGCCATTAGGGACTTACAGTGATTACCTTGGGTTTCCATGCAGTTGGAAACAACTGTTTAGACATTTAGTTGTTTTGACCAGTAACTGTGCATAATTTACCCAATACCTACCTCTGGGTAACTTGGGCCGAATGATTCTAGAAATGTAAACATCAACATTAATACTACCAGAATATTTTTTAGTTCTCCATATTATTGAGTTGATATTTTGCAAGATATCTTTCCAGTATATACACTGAGGGAGATGTTGTACTGCAGGCAAATGGAAATTATTTCCAAAGAGAACATAAGTTGGAAAATGCATGATCATCAATGCTGATCTGTTCTAATTAAATTAGAAGCACGTGGATACTGATTGACTTAAATGCTTGTTTGGAAAATAGTTTACAAAACAACATTTACAAACTTTATACTGAGTTAGCCATTCTTTTTAATTGATAATTTGCTATTGATGAAGATACTGGACATGTGTACAGTATAACAACTGCAAATTATAATAAGCATATTCCTACAATATTGGTCACCAGAGGCAGAGTAGCAAAGTATTCTGGCAAAATATGCGCAGATGACTCACGTAATCTTCTTTAGTATCCTAATGTTACGTTCTTTCATTTGAATTTATCACAACAAATGATGTCCAAAGAGCAATTTAAATATTAGCTGTGGCGGGGAATATTGGCTATATATTCTATTTGAACTTGGCACTTACGTAGCAACTCAAGGTTCATTGTTGAATGTCCTCCGAAAATTAGGAATTCCAAGAAGCAAGCAAGGAGCTATTGCTATAGGATCATATGAATTTCCAGACTTACATCTTTGTCAAATGTTAAGTTGAATGTAACTTTATTGTTGTCTATTGATTGAAAAACGCGCCCGCAGATTTCTACAAGAATAGTTTTGCATAATTTTAATTAAATAATTTTTCATTATTTGAAATTTTGATTTACGAAGGCAGTGAACCAGTGAATACAAAATAACAGTTTATTTTAACACAACAAATTTAACTGTATAAAAGTATCGGCATGTCAAAAAGCTTTGCTTCACAGAGCTCAAAATTTGGGTATGACCCATTGGTATGAACGCGGTGCAATTAATATATTTAACGATGCATTTAACGATGCTTTGTTCTAAATGTTAATGTTTTAGTGCATTTTATCTCTAATAACCATTCGCCAGGATTAGGCTGCAGCCTGCCTATATGGGAATATATGGGTATGGTGAATATTCAATGCCCCATTCTTCAACGACCACGACAATGAACTAAAGTTAACGTTTTCTACAGTGGCATTACTACGAGGGGATAGGGGCCCATATCCAAACGAAATATTTCTACAAATAGACCAGAGGAGAGTGGCAGAGTGCAGTGAGACTGCAAAAATTATTCAAAATTTTTGGATAATTTATGAAGATTTATTCTCTGAATGAAAGTGAGGCTGGCTGGTCCAGTTGTACGTCGACAACGGCGTGGCCTCTGCGATTTTTTCCTCGTTTGTACGTTATTTTATTTTATCCGCATTTTTAGCGGTTCCTTCGTCGCAAAATAGTGCACAAAACTTTAAAATGTCTAAAAGGAAACAGGTATGTGAATTAATTCAGTAATAGCTATTAGGTATGCAACTAAGGTAGTGAAATATGTGTCGGTTTATCGCTAAAATGCCGTTCTAGTTTGGTGGTGTTCGTCTAAACATCGACGAATTTTTCCACAATTTGGTGTGTAAACGGGGTTAAATTTTCACCAAGTTTTCGGCCATTCACGTTGCTTTGGGAAGGTTGTAAACATATCTTCAAAAATTGTGTAGTGATTGTGAATATTTTTAAATATTGTATTGTTAACTTGAAGTTTAACGTATATACAATTGAATAGTCGTCATCAGGAGATCTGGGCTTGCAGACTGAGACTGAAATCAGATCGAAAGAAAGTATAAATGAACGAATTATCAAATAATTTAATACATCTATATTCCCTGATGGCAGTCTGTAACTGCTGTGTAATGTCAATGTTGTATGTTAAATTTGAAAGTTTGTATGATGACATGTTAAACCTTTTCCCACAATGGATCTATATTAAATAACTTTCTTGTTGAATATTTGGTTTCATGTCAATGTGACAATGTCTAACATGTCAATTTTACCAAACTGATTGAAACAGAATGAATTAGTCAATGCAAATAAGGAATACAAATAATCCATCTTCATGCCTTTAATAACCATGCTCCTATGGTGAATGGTAACTAACATGTCTTTAATGACAGCTAGTTGCAAATAGCAATTTTTGACTATCAGTGATAAATGTGACACATAGAGGTACTAGCTAAGAAATTTGTGATATGGGTGACGTTTCTATGAATTCTACAAATGTTTATGTCATTTTTTCCCAACTTGAGATTGGAATTTTCCCATCACAACAGAAGATTTAAGCCATTTGCCAATAGACAATTTGCATGCTAGTCTTTGCTAGACTAACTTTTTGTATCTTCAGAATGAAAACGTCAATTCAGTGGAATGTGACGCTGATCAGACTACGGAGAATCAGAATGGGAAAGGATCAACGTTTGTTGTCACAGTGGTAAATGACAGCATACAGGGCATGCATGAATGGACGGAAGAGGAGACCAACCTTGTAAAAGAAGCAGTTGATGCGTAAGAACTTTACCTGAGCATATAGAGTGGTCCTTTAGATGCTTCCTTGTCTCAATAACACTGAAAATATTGGCAATGATCTGTATGCTAACAAAAACAATCAACGAGCAAAGTTTCTGAGTCACCTGTTTAATACCTAAATTTTGTCTATTTTAATTACCAAGAATATAATTGGTTTACAAAGTTTATGCCATGTTAATTCGTTCTCAAGATGCCTTCTGTGACTTGAGCAAGTATGAAGGGCAGACTATAAGGTGTACATTAACATCATTTTATCATTATTTAGTGATGGTGGTCAATATAATTGGGATGTAATAGCCAGTGCTGTACCATCCAAAGATGTCAATCAGGTTTTTTTCCATATAGAAACTCTTAAGCTGCTTTACATAGTAACATTTAACATGAAAAAGGTGAAACATGAACAGTCTCTTATATTTTCTCATATCAGCATTATTCGAAAACAGCTTTCCTTTAGTTTAATACTTGCTTTTCTTTGGGTAAACTGTAAATGAATGCATGATATGCAATGCATGATTGTATAGAACTTAATGCTTTCCTTTTTTGGACTGTTATTAAGATTCTGCTCTCTCTTCTAAGGTGAAGGCCTATGTCATGGGCATGCAACAGCAAGGTACTGTTTGTTTAAGTTAATATTGCATGGTAACTATCATGAAATGACTGAGTTTTCTGTAGTTTTCATTAGTGTTTAAACTCTGTCATGCCAACACACACTTTAACATATGAAAAACACTTGAGCAGTCCTAATCAGGCTTTAATAATCTAATCAGGTTTTCTCTTTTCCCAATTTAAATACGTCAATTTGAAGACACTCCTGGAAGAGATTTTTAGGCCATGTGTTCAATTTTTTATTTCTTTTATCAGATAACTCAGCTAACCAATCTGCCAACATCATTAAAGCTCCAATTGAGGTGGGTATTATTTAATGTATAAAAGAACTTCATGAGGTAGGATTAAAGTTCAAAAGTTGAAAAGTACTTCTATAACCCTACATGAAACTAACAAATGAAGAAATTTTTAACAAAGCCTGGGTCTACGCGCACTTCTCAGCCGTCGAATTAACTTATGGAGGACCATAGATAACAAGCTGATTTCATTGCCTTATTTATTGTTTTTATGCGTTCGAGCATAGATAATAAAAAGCTCTAAATTTATTTAATTATTCATGGTTCAACTTATGAGAAGTGCGAGGTTTGACATGCAGGACTAGATCAATACGTAGCTGGACCAATACGCTGTTGGGCGAGATTTTTCCCCTCAGTTTTTTCCCCTCAGTTTTTTCCCCGTGAGTGCTGGGCTGAGAGAAAAGTGTTATATAGAGGATGAACGCCTAAACGGTACATCCAACCGGTAGGTGGGTAGTGTTTAGGGGAACCTTGGATTGAGACTGCGGTATAACCAGCACAGAAAGAAAAATAGCGAGGATTACAATATTAAGATATATCGGCAGTCAAACGACAAAGCATCTGATGCAGTTTGTTTAAATTCAGATTTGGACAGATCTTGCTCAAAAGCTGACGAGTGAAGATGATAAAAGTGCTTCTGTTTGTTTGCCACAAGTAGGTCTCGTTTTCATATTAACACAGTCTCGTTTTATTGCAATGATATCTTTGTCCCAATAACAGCCCTACGTCCCAGGTACACATGCTTATAAGCTCATTTAGGCGATTCCTATTCAAACTGTTACTGTACATACAGGGCAAAAACAGTCAGTGTAGCTATAAAGATCTGTGCACGGGCTCCTTTATTAATTTTTTCACCTAGCCAGGCTATAACCTAAAGTAATTGAGCTGTAACCTAAATTAAATGAACTATGCCAGATCATTAATATAAAAGATTATCTAATGGATGGAGAAACTAAAATTTGCTGCACATTCATTTGCCTCAACTACATACACGCCGTTGCCATGATCCTCGGAGAAATTTTGGCGTCTGGGGCGAAAATCATTTCTAAGGAGCCCTTTCGATGCACAGGGAAAATGACTCCCTTCTCCCTGACTTTTGCCACATTTGTGGCTATACAGTATCCGTATACAGACCAAATCTCGACAATATAATAGTACTTATCTGCTCGTATTAATCTCTAAATTTCTAAAAATCATGAAGTATCATGAAAAATGATTAGCTGGCTGCATGCGAACACTGTCGCTTCGACGAGTCACTTCGACGTTTCAAACAAATATCTGTTATGGTACATTAACTACATTTGGTAGGGTGATGCATAAATGTTCTTTTAGATTCCTGATGCAATAGCGTGCAAGATAAGGCATCTCGCTATTCAATTTTTCACCTCTTCTCATACACAATCATATTTTAGCATGCTTGCTTCATGCTATAGTTATCAGTTGTTTGTTATCAGTTTGATGTGATGGTTAATCTGCACCATGTGCTTTAGCACTCTCCTCGAAAGGCATTTTTGACTAATGCATATTTCTTGTCAGCAGTAGAAACCCGCTGTACAAGTTCATTTGTACGGGTTGAACGTGCAAGCTCGTCTGACGGATCGAGATTCCAAGCGATACATGATTCTTCTACATCAGTCCCAAACTCGGTATTAACTTGTTGATCTTGAATTTTGTGGTGTGTTCTTTGTATATATATCACCACTATTTGAAGTAGAAATATCTTTCTTTTTGTGTTCGAACATATGCGCATACGTCCTTTTGCTCAATTCGGACATCGAATATGACATCGTCCTTTTGCTATCTACAAAGAAATTAAAGTTTTGCGGTTTAAAAAGCATATTAAGCCGACGACAAACCAGTGTGCAACATACGTGAAACATACGTTCTCCCTTTTGAAACAGTGGGCATTGCATCATTATATTCAACATTTTATCAGCATTCAAACTATGCTGAGTTTTCGTGAGAATTGCAGGCGTTTTAACGCGAGATAGCGACAAACGCTTTTAGATCTTATTACGGTTATTTCTGGAACCAGCATCATTTTCACATGCACATCTTATTTTTCCACTTCGTGAACTAGGTAAATTATGAACATTTTATGCTCGTTTGCCTTTTTTCAGGATGCGCTCAGATATGCACCTCGCCTCAAAGTATTGAGGAAATTTGATTTATCATGTCCTGATAAATCAAAATAAATTTTCAGCGTGAAAACCTAGCCAACATCGTATTTAGTTATTATCTTTTCTGCCTTTTTATAATCGTTACAATCTTCCCACGAAACACGTGGTCCACCATCCTATAGTATATAGGTATATACGGTAGTTTCTGTTCTCGTGTAGTTGCATTTCTGGGTGTATCCATGCATTGTGTTTTGTTAAAATGATCAATAATGTTATAATCCCAGCATAAAATATTTCACTTCAGGAGGAGATTTATGCAGTCCAAGCAGAAATACGAGAAATGATTGCTGATCAACAAAACAAACTAAACAAGTTATTCTCCAGCCTGCGAGGTATCAAGAGGACTGTGAAAAAAGCAAAGCGATTAAATCGAAGAAAACTTGCAGAACAAAATGCAAAGATTGATACCTTGATATCATTACTTGCTACAAACACTTTGCCAAACCCAGCGACATTGTCTCCCACTGTCGGTTCAAGTGAAAAAGACAAAAGCAAAAAGAAGATTATCCTGTCCACGACTCGTTCCAATGCAGCAGGAAAAGATGCGTTGGCGTGTTCAACAGCTGAACACAAGCAGATACTGCCATTGATTACAGTCAGTGGACCTACAGATATGGAGTTATCACCGTATAGCTTGGGTTGGTACAGGTCATTGCTATGTTTTTAAAGCAATTTACTTTACGTTTTTTGATAATACATATATATTCATTGCATATTCCATTGTTTAATCCTACTTTCATCGACGTATTTGCTGATTAATACGAATCTATATGTAACTAACAACATTTTCATCGTTAGTTCCTATAGGGCAAAATACGAATATAATGTTAACGCGACAGCAGTACAATGACGCGTATTATCGTGGTAAAAACATTCGAAGATTTGCTGTACGTCTGGCTGAGAAAATTTTTGGTTTGGATGTATTGGCTCAATCAACCGTTTCTGGCCAGCAGACAGGACTGGAAAAACTTGATGTTGACAAATTAAGTGCAATTCGAGGTAAGACGTTTTCGAAAACTATATGATTTCGAAAAATATTTTTTTATATGATTTCTCTACATAAAAGTAGAGTTTAAAGTTAACTTTGCATATATCCCGCATATTTCCATCCCGCACATGGTAATTACTCCGCCTGCGTATGCGCAGCGGAGTCTTAAAATGCCATTGTCTTTTTTCCTTTTCGTCGTTTTGGGCGACAGAAGTTGGTATTTCTACAGGTAACCCAAAACATTTTGACCGAGAAGCCTTGGGTTACACGGTCCACGGATGAATTAGGTACATAAGTTGGCATGCAGGCGAAGTGAACGCCTTGAGCAGGCGTCTTGTTAAGACTTGATTTATTGAATTAGATGCATGGAAACGCACGGTATGTCTATCTACCTTACTGCCCGGGGTCTAGAGTTGCATTCCAAGAGACCCGAACTAAGGAATCTCTTGATTACCTTCTACATTTTCTCGACTGTGTTTAAAATTAATTTATAAGTCATAAGGCAAAACGAATTTAAATTGTTTCTGATTGGCTGCATGTGTATATATTTCATTCGTTTTTGCAGTGGAGGTAATGTCTCGATTCATGCAAACCAGTACGCTGGATGAACGAGAGGCGAAATGGAAAGAATGTCTTCTCAGTATTGGTAAAAGATGTCAAGTATTGCGATCTGGTAGAGCCCTGAAGCAGGAACTCCTGAACCCAAGCTCTTCGTGCGACGATGTAGAAAGCTTGGCTCTGGTGCCAATTTCCAACGCAAGCGAAGAAAATACTGCAGCTCAAAGTATTTCCACCCCGGCTAATGTTACCCTGGAGGTCGACAAATCTTTAGGCGTCTCCCAAAAACCAACACCGCAGATAAACTTAGGTTAGTACTACATACTCAAGATTATTATATACTTGCCAACCTCATACCCAGGGTATATAATTAAATTCACTATGTGTGGCATGTTTCTAAATTACAATTTTGGTTGGGTCGTGTAAACTAGCATGATGATGTCATCAATTATTCGATTATTCAATTTCGTATTTTAGTTCCACTAGGAGGATCGCCAAATGTCCTCATTCAGAAAGAAGATCTGAGCGAAGCTGTCAAACGTGGCAAGAAAGCGACATTTTTAGCGCTGCGTTTAGCTGAGAAGGTGTTCGGCTATGACGTCATGCTTGGATCTACGATAACTGGCAGAGAAGGAACTGAAAAACTTGACAACGATAAGTTGATGGCAATCAGAGGTGGGCAATAGTCCTGTTTCCTTACATTTATGATCAATACAAGATAAAGGTATCTTTAATCCTGAAAATTTGGTTGACTGTTTGCCCTTATACTAAATTCCCATCTCAAAATAACTTGCCCCATGTACCTTTAGTTATTGTTATAGTGATGCTAGTTTGCGAAGACATAGTTCTTGCAAATTACCTAAATTACCCAAATTCCTAAAGCTAGATATAACGAACTTTTGATTTTTAACAGAGGAAATCGTTAATCGGTTCGCTCGGGAACAACCGATTGAACTACAAGAGGCCATTTGGAAGAAATGTTTATACAGCATCAGTACGAAATGTAAAGTTTTGAGAGCACAAAAGCAATTAAATCTGGGCGGCATTATCTATGATGATGAATACAATGAGATGAAAGAGTGTGGTGATCTCGACCTTCTAGCAAACGTCACGTGTCCTGAGAATCAGCGCGAAATACATAAGGCATTACTGGAGCAAGCAGGACATATAGTGACCAGTGAGGATAATGTTGCACAAGAGAGTGATGTGGTGCAACAAGAGGGCGAGATTGCAGGCCAGGGGGGTGATATTGTTGAACAAGAGGGTGGTATGATTACTCAAGATGGGAATGTAGTACAACGAGAAGATGATATTACTTCTGAGGGTAATATCGTGACTGCAGAGGATGGTGTTGTAGCAGGTACAAATCATATTACCGAAGATGAAGTGGCTATCGAACACGAACAGGAAGTGACTGCCACAATCCAGATTGACCAGTCAAACGGGTTGTGTGAACAGCCCATGCAAGTTGGAGAACTCGTTGAGCAGGAAGGGGCTTATGTTTAGCCAACATTTTACGGGACATCACACCCGGCAAAATTAACGAAGTGTACATAACATCATGTCTACTGTGAAATATTTTAGGTCTCTATTAACTAATTATGTAGTGTTTGCTATGTTGGTGATAATGATTCGTATTCATTGTACCATTGTGATTATTAAAAGGATTTGGTTATTACATTGCACTGCTGGTAACATTGCGTTTCATGGGCATTAAAAAAGTTTTTCCTTAAACTGTTCGCGCAATGCTAAGTACAGTACAACGAATATACAGTATTGTCATTAGGACGTGTTGCCGAGTTTTATCATCTTATAAAATCGAAATTATCGAATGGTCAGAGTAATGACCAAGAGCAATGATCACATATAAACATAGAACAGTCGGTCTTGAGAGTCGTACAAGGCTGTGAGACAATGGAGCGTTGATATGAACTGGTGTTTCTCCGGCAATCCCAAATACCGCACCACAATGGTGTATTTGCGTCCCTACTACGAACCTTACGAACTTTTAGAAATTACGTCGTACCTCTGATTTTTGCCACGGGTTGACGCCCTTGGCTGGCCTGCGACCTGCCTGCGACGCATTTTTATCACAGACCACAATATAAACTGGACAAATATACTTCTGCTGGCCTCTCTTATTTCCACCCTTATTCGTGAATCGTGATATTTGCAAGTTCCAGTGGCAAGTTCCGATCCAAGACCGAAATGATCAGACGAACAGCATCACATGCTATCGTATTTTTCTCACTTGTACTGTATTGTTCCGCTGCGAATATTCTCATTCTTGGCATGCCATTCTACAGCCATCTCTTTGGACCTGCGAACGTTGGTAACTCTCTACGAAGTCAGGGGCATAATGTACGTATTGCAATACCACCTCAGCTGGAGGAGAAATTAAAAGGTCATGGCGTTAAATTTTTGCTTTACTACTGCTTAGCCGACTTCCCAGAAGATTCCCTGTTGCGGGGTTCCATATTTAAGAGTTACTTTGCGACAACGTCGTTTCTCCAGTCATTGTATCCACATGCTGGTGGTACTGATATGAAACAGATAGTTCAAAGTATAGCAACCAAAATAGTTAAAGATGCCCAATTGCTAAAAAACATTAAAAAATTTAATCCAGATTTAATCCTTTTGGACTCTGGACCATCTGCTAGCATGTTGACTCTTATACCATACAAGTTAGATGTTCCATTCATTATGATTGGTTCAGATGAATTCCCTCACTGCACTCGTACTCCAATCATTCCAACTGTAATTCCATTTAAAAACTATCCTTATACAGACCATATGACTTTTCAAGAGCGAATTTACAATACTTTCATGGCTTTTCAAACATACTGGAATTATCCATATGTTAACTTGTCACTGATTGATGATTATGTCCCAGAGAAACCATTTATCTCACCAGTAGACCTTCAAGCCAAGGCAGAAATGTGGATAGTCAGTGAATTTAACTACAACCCACCCGCAATGCCTAATGTGAAACGAGTCAGTCATCTGCTAGATATCACATCCAAGCCACTTTCTCCAGAGTTGGAGCTGTTCCTAGAAAGTGCAGATAATGGTGTTGTGGTTGTCACATTTGGTACAGTTCTAACATCTGTACCATCTCAAATAATGGACAAATTATTAACTGCATTCAAAGAAACTGCATATAAATTCATTATCCAGAGCTCCATGCTGCAAAACAAGACTGATAAATTTTTGTTTCGAAAGTGGCTTCCTCAGTTTGATTTGCTTTGCCATAAAAAGACAAAGCTCTTTATTAGTCATTGTGGATCCAATGGCTTACAAGAAGCATTAATTGCCGGTGTGCCAATAATTGGCTTACCGATATTTGCTGATCAGCCTCACAATGCTGGGAAAGTTGTGAGAGAAGGGTTTGGCTTAAAGCTTAGTCTCAAGTCATTTTCTGTTGAAGAACTTGTTTTAACTATCAAGGAAGTGGCCACCAATCCTTCATTTAAAGCCAATGTAGAGAAAGCTTCTGCCATTTTGAAAGCTGAGAGAGTGCCACCTGTTGAAGAGGCAGCATTCTGGATTAACCATGTTCTCACATTTGGTGGTGATCATTTAAGGTCTTATGCACAGGATATTCCACTTTGGAAGTACCTTGGCTTAGATATTATAGCTTTCTTCTTAGTTCTCTGGCATATCTTTATTTATTTATTAATAAACCTTTTAAAATGTTGTTTATCACACTGCTTCAAAAGTAAGCAAAAAATAAAAGGTGAATAATGAGGTAGAAGGAGCCAGGTGGAAGGTGCCATATAAAATGTGTATAAATCAATGGCCTATATGGTGTTGATGCTCTAACACTTAAACTCAACACGTGCAAATTTTACAACTGACTGCTGAGGGGTATGAACACTGAACAGTGCCTAAAATAATAAATAGAGTTAGAACACACTTTTAGTCATAGGGTGCAGATTGGGCAATATATTTTATCAGCTATAAATTTCCTAGCAATTTGATGCACATCTTAGGAAATTTTAATTTTTATTTGTGGCCATAATATTGGAACCATTTGATACGTAACTTCATCGTGTAGACTGTAGTGGACGGGGTCTACTTGCGAATGCAAATATAAAACGCTAATACAAAGCCCCGCTCAATTCTCAAATATACATTAAACATAGTTAATTATGGAATTAAAGTTTATATAAACTCGGGAGTATTGCTTACATAAACATCGACATGAATCTTTCGGTTATCTCAGTAGATTTCTCATTTTGACGAGCACACGAAGCAACGCCGCATTAAATATTTCGACCTGGACTTTGTGCAATTTTTACCTTGGGACTCACCTAACAACCCCTAGGCCTAGATCATCTCCTACAGGTCCGAGAAAACGTCGTTTTGTTTTTTCAGCTTTCTAATGTTTTTTTTCGTAATTTACACGTAGCTACAAAATTTCCCTGCTGATAATCTGTTTTTCGAATTCGGTATAGTCTCGCTATAGGCATTCAACTAACCAAAAACAGGTTAAGAAATGACATGATTTTGCCTAATATATTTTAGCCCAATAATGTTTGTTTTTATTTTCAGCTTATGATTGCAGCTGCAGCGGAGTCTGTGAACACTCTCGGTAATACATTATTCGCTCGCTGCTCATATAATATAGCCATGCAGACGTATATAGTGGAGTGTGCGCACAGGCTAATATAGTATAGTATGCCATTAAACTTGTTGCCGAGTTGTTGGACTACTAGTGTCCTATGTTAGTATACTCGCTCTCACTCGTGCTCATAATCCGGGTAGACTTGTATAGACCTGTATAGACTGAGCGGAATGGGACGAAATTACAGGCAGGGGTAGGAACGAGGTTCCGAAATTGCCAAAGCAAGATATTTCTAATTCTCTATAGACTATTATAATGATTTATATTCGTTTTTACACAGTTAATGTTATTCATCGACTCTTGCGTAATTTAATTTGTCCATCTCTCTGCAGAAGCTGGTCAACCAAACTATGCTCAGATTTACTTGTATATCTCAAGTTTACTGAAAGGTGAAACTCCACCGTCGCTTCCCCCATTGGGTATGTGATGAACTATAAAATGTAAAGTTTGATCTATATTTATTATCATGCATAGATTTACTCTCAGACTTCAATATATTAATCACCCCATTCACTGCCATGAGCAGTACTTATACTAGCCTGGTTACTTAGATCCGTTTCAGAGGTCGAACTTTTCATGTGGCCGAACCTAATGCTAATGAGCTACAGAGCTAGAACTACTTAAACTATTTTACTATCACATTTTCTAGAATCATCGGTTGTGCTCTCGTTAATTCAAGATATCGTGAACAAAATAAGGACGAGTGATGTAAGTGGTCAAATGCATTACCTCTCCAACTGGTACAAACAATTTCAAAGTGAAAAGGAAGCTGTGCAAAAGAACGATAGTAAGCAAGAGACTCCACCGCAAACTAAGGTTCCACCAACTGCTAGTGCGGTTAAACGTACCTCATCAGGACGAATTGTACGACCACGAGTTGATCTTTCATTACGCATTAAAGAGGAAGATAAAGCAACAGACACTGAAGGAAGCGGCGAGGATGGACAAAACGATTCAAAAGAACATGGAAACGAGGTTAAAAATGAGCCTAAACCTAAACCCAGGTCAACGTCCTTAAATCCATTTCGTATCCCCGTTAATTTGCTTAATTTCAAACAGACACGAAGTTCGTTAGTAGCGAAGCAGTCGCCGAAGTAGTTGAAGTAGTTGGGTTTCTTTTAAACACTCAGAACAGAAGAACCTCAACCATCATGTTTTATCCGAAAAAAGCTTCGTTGAATCTCGGTTAAAGCTTCGTTGAGGCTTAAGTATTTTGTGGCCTGGCATTGTTAAACTTTTTTCGAAGCTGTTGAATATTTTTGTAACAAGTAACGAAGTAAACTGGTTGTATTTAAGTATAACCACAGCCCAATGGTACACCTCTGATAGAATTCCCTGGGGGCGTACAGTACAGGTGTGTGACACCCCTGACATGCCGATTTTAGTATCATAAATGATTAGTATACAATTTTGTCAACATTGAATGAGCCCCCGGGTGAGTGTTCCTTAGGGCAACTTATCTAATTTAATTAGGGCAGGTATTTCACAGCCCAGAGTAGCCCTAAAAATGAAGCATTAGACCAACAAAAAAGACCAATACTCTATGAAGCATAATTTTCTCACTTTTAATAATTACATAAGAAAGGTATTATTCTCATTTGATTAAATATGAGTACTTAAATTATTTACATCAAATATACTGTGTTACCCTGTTATCCATTCAATAAAAACTGGTGCATCCATGATTAGACATGGGCAACACAAATTACAAATATATATTCAACTAGAATTATTTCTGAAAAAACAAAGTTACTCTGGTTCAATGGAAACATCTTTGGCATCAGCCTTGCTTCCTGCCGGACTTGGAGTGCGTTCAGCTGTTCTTGGTGGTGGTGAAGGGCTATGATTCTTGCCAGCTTCCTGTGATTCAATTTTCTTGACAGCATTAATGTGTTTTGAAATTCCGATGTCCCTTTCATCAAATTGTTGTGGAATTGGTGATAATGGTTTCTCTGCATTTTGCTTGCTTGCACTTTTTGGTGGTGGTGAATTTATTGTCAAAATTTCAGCATCTGCAGTGGCAAACTTTGATTTTCCATTTGCAACTGCAGATAGTTTAGGTTTAGCCTTGCCATCATGGGAATCCCAGGTGCCAAGAAACCCACCCCATGGACATTTTTGCGACCGTTGCACACCTCCTAGCAGATGTCCTCTGTTGTCAGCGATAGGTTCTGTATAACCTTCAAGATGGGATGGTCGCTAGTAGAAGATAGTAAAAGAGAAAAAGGAACATGAATTACACATGCTACTTTTTGAGTTGATGCATGTGTAAATTAATTAACTCTATATACATTTTTTTCAAGTACTCAGCCCTTACTAGAATATCAGTAAAATTTTTGAATAGACTTATGATTTATGTGATGTTTTCTTAAGTGGAACTAACTGCCAAGCATGAAAATACTTAATCATGGTAAGATCATTCTAATTTCTTCAATATCATTTCTATATGATATTAAAAAATAAATTGATGGAACAATGGATCTTTTGGGTTTACACTAATCCAATGGATCAAATGTCTGCATGTAGGATTCCAAATGATCTTATAATGAGCAAAATCATATATCTGAATGTCACTTGGATTCCAAAGCATATTGCCGCAAGAGTACTACGTACACCCTGACGTGTTTTGAATTAAACCATACAAGATTTCTAAATATACCTCTTTAAACGTCGCTGGAATCTCCCAGTTTTGAAGTCGTTTCCCAGCAAATGCATTTTCGTACTGAAAAGTAAAACCAATGGCAGTGCATACAGTATGAAATTCGGAAGACGTGAGACGAATTAAACAAGCTCTATAGATGTTAGCTACTACACTGAAATGGTATTTTTCGTATAAAATGCTCATATACACACAATTTATACCTGATTGGCGCTGAAATTCGTTGCCATTTTGCCAAAAAAGTCCCCTATTTTGGCTGATAACTTGTTTAGTTCTACGGTAGTTGTGACTACAATAATTTGATACACATCTATTGCCATGGTAACAGGTTGCACGCGGGTGTTGACATGCCACAGTTACAAATTGAGCTCAGGAGTCAGGATTCCAAATTTTCGTCAATTTTCGACATTTCAAAATGTGATATGGTTATCTCGAAATGGTGAGGACAATAGGACGTCAGTGGGATTACATTCATGAAAACAATACATCATTTGTGCAAATGAAATCACATTTTAAAAAATTTCACTAAAATCGGGGATAACAGGCCTAGGATATACGTCCCATTTTGTTCGCGTCAAATGCATTTTAAACAATGGATAATCATATGATAATGAATCAATAAGGGACCAGTCATTATAAAAATTACGTACATTGGTGATAAAATTGTTATAATAACAAATATAACAGTTAAAAAACATTTAAACTATACAGGGTGTATCAAAAAAAATGTCCCAAATGTAAAATTTCCGTTTTGCAGGATATTTTGCAGAATTTGGCAAATTTTTGTGTTCCTAGAGATAGTTAAGACTTATCTGGTATACCTAGGCCAAGTTTGGTTTTTCATTAACAAAATTATGTTACCGGGGGGTGGTTCCTTTCCACTGATATTGAGAGGGCTTGCGCGCGAAAATGTGAAGCTGAAATTGAGATATTATTTAGCTGTCTAAAAGTAGGAAAGCTTTTTAATAAACTGTCAAAGTTTCAGGAAAAAAAATTCATACTGGGAGCAACGCGCGACCCCTAAAAGTGACAAATATTTCATTGCGCGCAGTGGATTAAATGCATGGTTGATTTTAGCGTGACCGATCTCATGCAAGGCTGGGCAAATGAATAAATTAAAGCGAGAAACTAAACAAGAAGACGAAGCGATTTAATAATAAAATTCTTATTCTTGATGTTAATCCTCAACATTGCCATCATTTCTTTCTAAGCAAACTGCGGCTCGTCTGAGCATGGTAAACACTGAACGGCGAACCACATTTGTCTCTGTCCTGCTTCAAATTACCCATTTCGTTCGAAATTCTTTCTTGCAAATCACCTACGCTACCACCGGCAAATCTAGGCGAATGGACAGACAAATGGTTCGCTGTTCAGTGTTTAGTATGCTCAGACAAGCAGCAGTTTGCTTAGAATAAAATGGTAGACATGCTGAGCATTAACATCACGAATAAATCGCTTTGTTTTTGTGTTCAGTTTCTCGCTTTAATTTATTCATTTGCCCAGCCTTACATGAGATCGGTCACGCTAAAATCAGCCATGCATTTAATCCACTGCGCACAATGAAATATTTGTCACTTTTAGGGGTCGCGCGTTGCTCCCAGTATGCATTATTTTTCCTGAAACTTTGACAGTTTATTAAAAAGCTTTCCTACTTTTAGACAGCTAAATAATATCTCAATTTCAGCTTCACATTTTCGCGCGCAAGCCCTCTCAATATCAGTGGAAAGGAACCACCCCCCCGGTAACATAATTTTGTTAATGAAAAACCAAACTTGGCCTAGGTATACCAGATAAGTCTTAACTATCTCTAGGAACACAAAAATTTGCCAAATTCTGCAAAATATCCTGCAAAACGGAAATTTTACATTTGGGACATTTTTTTTGATACACCCTGTATATACCACAATGCTAATCCATATCCATTTATAACAAACGCAGACAAAATCTAACATCTATTAATGTGCAAAATCAAAAAGCTAAAAATTTATACTATAGTAAAATTCGTAGACAGTTTTAAAAAACTTGTGTTATAGAGTTTAATTTGAAATCGTCAATATGTTCGTCCTTCGCACGAAATGGCGTTCTTGAACCTCTCGTACATAAATGCACTGATTTCAGAATTTCAAAGGACAATCTAGTTCTAATCCACGTAATCACAGTTGAGTAATCTTCTCCATTTTTTCTCGACAAATTATCCGCTAGATTCTTCAAGAATTTCTCACATTCAATTCCTACTCCTCCATTCGTTCCAAAAACCAGTGGTGTAAAGGTGCCCATTTCTACGTCCAAGATTCTTTGTTGATATTTTCTCTTCTTCTCGTTTTCTTGTTCCCTAAAGATATCGGATGTGGCTTTGTTTTGATAACATTGGGAGTTTACATGCGTTACACGGACGTCAAAGAATGATGTAACTCCTCTAGCCCAAAACTCGCCGGCTTTGATATCTAGTCGCGCCTCTGGGCTTCTGTTGGTGGACTGTAAACGAAATTGTTCATTGTCCAATGGAATGAGCTTTGGTTCAGATTCAACGTTATTGCATATTCTGCTAAGCAACGTTGTCAGCAGATCACGGACACCGTCGTGCCTTCGGGCCACAAAACCTCCTTTCTTACAGGATAAAGCGTGATTTACGGAAAATGTAACCCCACATACACATTGACTTGGCAGATCAGACAAAGGCATGTTATACCGCATTCTTAATGAATCCCTGAACTTCTTTGTTGAGGGTCAAACCCTGTTCTTCAACTGGTATCGAGTTTAACCACGAACTTGCTCCTCTATCCCGCGCTTGCTCAACATGTGTTAGGAGATCAGCTGAAAGAGACTCATCAATACGGTCTCTTTTTTCTTTGGCGTTCTGCCTCTTGATCGACTTCTGTTCGTTCTTGATGACATTTGTGCTTGCTGGCATTGAAGTGCTTTGAAATAAAATTGCCTCCACATGTGGGCGTGTTATTGATGTTGATGCAGCATACTGCTGTGGCGCTTCTTCACTTAATGCGGGTATCCCTAAACCTCCATGTGCGGTAGGTAATGTGATGACTTCATACAGTTCTCCAGACAGAGGCTCCTCTTGCCCAAACAGAGTTGGGAGAAATAACTCGTTAATGACTTCCTCATTATTAATGCCGGGTAGGGGGCCGGAGGAAATTTGGAGGGGCCACCAAAGATTTTTGACCAGTGAAGGGGGGGCTAGCAAAAATTTTGAACACGAAGGGGGGGGGCAACAAAAAGTAAATTCTATAGAATAGTTTGTAACATGTAATATCAAAAAAGTAATAATGGATATATACACAGTGTAGAGTGTACATATAGTTGTGTTCTAGAGTATATGGAAGTAAACAAGGATATGCAAGTAAACAAGTATGAGGGCAAGAAAAATAGTGACGAAACTGTGAGTCATTTAATTCAAAATTGGAGGGGAAGGGGGGGGGCTATGAAATACATTGCCTCAATAACGGGGGGGGCCTAAAACAATTTTGTTATAAAAATAAGGGGTCATGAAAAGTTTTTGCTGTTTTCATAAATTTCCTCCAGCCCCCTACCCGGCATTAATAATGACTGGTCCCTAAATGAGGTTTAACGCGACCAAAATGCGACGTTTAAGTTCACAAGTTTTCCTTGCTAAGTTTTATTTGCTCGTGTGTACGCGAAAAATTAGACAAATTTTTCTTGACAAGTTTTACGATAATATGAGTATATTTCACGATCGTATATTTCATACGGTGGCTCACGGAGGCCATCCATATAAATACGTAAATACCAATCTACAAAACTTCAAAACGCAATTTAAATATTTCGAAAGGCACTTTACATGTTTTCAAACGCATTTTAAATATGTGCCAACACACTTTAAAAATTTTTAAACGCACTTTAGGTTTCCAACACACTTTAAATTTTCCAACACATTTTAAATTTTCTAACACACTTTAAATTTTAAATGGAAAATTTGAAGTGTGTTGGAAAACTTAAAGTGCGTTTAAAAATTTTTAAAGTGTGTTGGCACATATTAAAAGTGCGTTTGAAAACATGTAAAGTGCCTTTCGAAATATTTAAATTGTGTTTTGAATTTTTGTGGATTGGTATTTACGTATTTATATGGTGGCCCCTGTGAGCCACCGTACAAAATACCTGGAAAAGGTTCAAAACTAAGTAAAATTACATTCCTTTATGAAAACAATACTTTTGAACACGTAAAATCATACTTTGATCAATTTCAAAATTTGACAAAAAACGGTAACTGGGACCAAAGGAAAAATCGTAATTTTCGTCAATTTTTTGAAATTTCAAAATTTGGTTCCAAATGCCTCGAATTTTTTTCAAAACTAAGTTTAATTATATTCGTTCATCAAAACAATACTTTTAAACACGTAAAATCATACTTTGATGAATTTCAAAAATTTCAATTGGTAACGGGAGACCAAAGGAAAAATCGTAATTTTCGTTAATTTTTTGAAATTCCAACATTCGTTCAAAATACCTGGGAATGGTTCAAAACTAAATAAAATTACATCATTTGATGAACACAATACTTTTGAACACGTAAAATCATACTTTGAGGTTTACATGTAAAATCATACATCGGGGTTGGTGTCAGATTACGTTTATATTTACCTGCTAAAAGATCCTGCTTTAATCCATTACAACAATCATATATACCATTATAAACCGATTGAATTGTTGTTGTTTCGATAGTTTCCAGTTCAGTGATAGTTTCCAGTTCAAAATGATCGAAACCAAAGTTCGAGTTAACCAGATATATTCGGCAGGGAAAACAAAATTATTCGAATTAGCGAGAAGTTCAAGTTTAGCCAGTTCTAGTAAGCGAAGTAAATTACTATGAAACCTTACCAAACCAAATTGGATTTAGTTCGAGTTAGTGAGGAGTATATATAAGGATACCCTTACATTTTGGCCAAATTTGACGAGTTTTTGAAAATTTTCTAAAACTCTGGTAACTTTCTCAAAATGGCTTCAAATGTTTTCTGAGACTAATTTCTTTCTAATTTCGTTTTTTATCTCTGTATACTTCTTGCAACGTTAAACGGGGCGCTGTGGGTTTTTTCACTGTGTGTAATAATATATAATGTTATGAACACCGATCTGCTAGCCTAGTCGTTAAGACCCGGCCTTACCAAGTTTGATCATGATGATGGAGCAGTTCCGACTGGAATTTTAGAGTATTTTCATTTGTGAGTTATAGGGAAGATGCAAACATTTTTCCAGAGCAAGCAATTTGAACTTCTTTGGAACGATGCAGGCGTTATTCATCATGGAATGAAAG